CCTAACCAACCTAACCCTAACCCTAACCCTAACCCTAACCCTAACCCTAACCCTAACCCTAACCCTAACCCTAACCCTAACCCTAACCCTAACCCTAACCCTAACCCTAACCCTAACCCTAACCCTAACCCTAACCCTAACCCTAACCCTAACCCTAACCCTAACCCTAACCCTAACCCACTTTTATTATTACTAATGTCGCACCATAATGGCGTGATTTGTTGCGATTCGCTTGGCGAGCACTGCTGGTCCAATAGCAATTGACCCGCATAGTCTTGGCTTGCACGATTAACAGTCCCTGAAGAGCTTTAAAAGCGAAACAGGTCGGGTTGGCTAATCCCCATCCCCTGTTGGACCTGCATCGCTCTACAAGCAACGCAACAAAGCCTCGGTGAGTGCTTGCGTTGCCTACTACTCTTGCGAGCCTTCGGCTCGCACCCCCCTCCCAACGCGGCTTCGCCGCGAAGGTTGGGGGGCTAACCCTAAGCAATAAAAGCACATACACGTAGCAAATTTTGAATAGGAGGGAGCATTATGTTCTAGCAGCGATTAAGTATATCAATCAGAGACGAGAAGGACTCATTCTCACCTCGGGAGTCATTATTGCTTGAAGCTGAGATGTAATGCGGTTGGTTAACTGACAAGACTCTGCGGTTATTGGTTTTTATATCCATTTTGCCCGGGCAATAAACACAAAAAGAAAAGATAAGGTCAGATGTAGCAACCTGTGGAAATCTGAAATCTCTGTGGTGAGCTGAAGATGCTAAAAATAACGGCAACGTGGCTGTGAAATTTGACTGCTACCGCTATCGGAACTCGAATCGAAGACGCCCAGACCATCTGATGCCCCAGACGACTGATGCAATGAAAGTTCAAAGGGTAGTACAGCCTGTAGGCGATATGTGACTTACGTATGTATCCTGTTTGAAGTACCTTGAAGGCGCCCAGTCTAAATTTCATGTAGTTCAAAAGAAAATAATGAGGTAGCAGCGAGGTGAGGACTAGAGTTTTGCCAGAGTAGTGAGGGTGATATACGTGAATTATTTGTTATACCCACCGATCCACATCCACAGTATTTAATTTGGTTCTAACAAACATTGAACAGGTTCAATAGGGCCCTATGGATAGCAAGCATACAACTTTCGTGTTCAATCATCAGAGTTACTCCTCATTGTCGGCGGTGCCTTTGTCTATGCGCTCTATTCTCTCCCCGGAAATTAAGACATGGTATCAAGGAGCAGCATCAAGTTTCAACGTTTGAAGCGCTTATCATATCGGCTTATTCAACCCCGTTATTCTTTGGAATGGTCTCGGGATAAGGGCGGAAAGAAAATATATTTTAATTCGCGTCCCCCTCGATGGACTAACTTACTTTGGCATTGACACATAAAAGTACATGCTGTACTCAACATGTTATATTGTTTGGGCGGAGGAGCACTTAACTTCCGGTCAAAATCTGAGGCCCGGGATTCCGAATACACACTCAAGAAAGTCTTTCCTTTGGTGCTTGGAGTGCTGGAAGTCGAACATGGAGCATGGACCTTTACGGGAAAACGAACTCAAAATACAGCCTCCGTCCTAACTGCAGGACTCAAGGGACCAGGCTAAAAACTATACTTGAACCGCCAGTCGGAATGGCTCTCCAGGTGCTCTGCTGATCGAGTAAACTTCCTGGTCCTTGATCTTTTTCTTCTCGCAATCTCGCCTTTTATTTGTGGTAGACTGTTGGATTTTTGGAAGGTTACCCGTGTTCAGCTCTGGGTCCTGCTTTTAAATTCTTGTCCATCAGCTATTTCCGGCTCCCGATGGATTGATAAAAGACCTTATTTTACAATGCATGCGACCCAATGGCATTGTCGACTGCAGAAACTGTCGTAGAAGATGTTGGAAAGGCCTTGGTCATCACATAACTGGATGCTGGTATACATCAACGATGCACAGCATCGAGGAAGCATCCAGTAGTTTGAAGATGTGTGAAGGCTCGCATGAAGAGCAGGAGTCAGCGATTGGTGGTTGATCGGAAACCGGCCCGCTGTCCCGTGCAATTGACGCGTCCGTGACATTGCGTGACAATAACCTCTTTCCCTTTCCTACAACGACGAACTCCACACTCCGGAAGACGAGCAGCTACTTCTTTCGTCAAAAACTGAAAGTGATGACTGTTTACTTGTTGAGGATCTCGCAATATCGAGCTGCAACCTGCCGTTACTCGCTCAACTCGATAGCTTTCTTTGATTGCCTAAAGTTTTAGTGGTGCGTAATAAAAGTTTCTTTGTCGTTATCATGGCGCTGACTCGGCCGTAGGTATAGCCCTCTAACTGGCAATGCAGCTGCTCGTATGCTGAAAATAAAGCTCGTTTTCATTCCCCACCATTCGAACAGGCTAAGGAACCCTCTGTACTGGTAAGTGTGTAACGTCCCACAGTGGTATATGAAATTTAACGGAGATTAGGTGGAGCTGAAGAATAACTTGTCAACAACCGCAGGATCCTACCAAAGTCGCCCGGATCAATTCTCGAAGCTTTGTTGTGCAAGGGTGCATCATGCACCTGCGGGAGATTTCGCCTTGGACTGGGAAGACGTCTTGTCATCATATCACCCTAAGCCACGCATGATAGAGATGGAGCAGAAATTTGACTCAAGGATAAAGCGTATGACAGGATACCGAGAGGTGGAGGCTTACGGAGAAGAGGCTGTCGAGGAGGACACTGCAGAAGTACGGACTAATGAGCTCGCCTGAGATCAATGACGAAGCAGACGTTTACCAGGTATGATCTTCACTCTGTTGGGATTCGTCGCCCTCACGCTTAGCAGCTTCCGACCTCAATGTAAAGGTTCACCGTTTGCAGTCGGCTACGTAAAGGCTCAGCGGGACTTTTCTACTGACAAAGGGTGCTCGCCGCTTGTGACCAAACTTTCCTCGCGTGGCGCATACATCGACCATTTCTGGCCCATATCTCGGAAGCGTGACGCAGAGGGAAGAATAGACGATGAGAAGAGGCAAATTAGACTTTTCCCGGCCAAAATCTCGGACGCGTGACGCATAGGACGACTGGATGACCACAATGCAGGAGGACGGTCGCCAGCATACCCAGAAGGAGGTTGACTGTGATGAGCCATACCGAACTCGCCATATATGTCCAACGGGTCGAACGGCCGAATAACTCCTCAACAGCTACCGCCCAGAAAGCTCCACCCAAAACTCCTCCCGGACCTTCCGGATCAGCATTTATAACCTCGATTTTTCCATCATCCTAGGGTCTATCTACCAAGCCGCTCAGCATAGAGTAACCAAATATTTTGAGGAAGTCACCCGGATGCAGAAGTCTGGGCGCTCTGCGAAGACCGAAGAATGGCGCATGTACGGCTCCTCGAAATGAAGCCGTACGTGTACTCGTTCGTGTATGATTCGCCGAGGGTAAGGGTGGATATCTTGATGAGGGGCCTCGAAACTTGACTTATCTGTCTCCTAGTGTAGTCGTCTATCCCCTGAAAAGAGCCAAAAAGTACCCGTCGGAGCACGAGGACTCGCCGCCCGGAAGCAGTCTCGCCCAAATACCCAAGGATGGTACGGAAATGTGGGCAAAGGGGCTGTTAGGCGCGATTGTGATTGCAGTTAAGCCACAGAGTGCTGCTCTCTCACTTCACCGGTCGATCTCGAGCTAAGGAACTCTCGTTCCTGTTGATTTATTTGAATCAGACCTTACCACTGGGTTGGACACGGCGCTAATCGGCATTGGAGAGGCTAACAGCCCCCTGGGATAATTGGAGGGTTCTCCCCGGGTAAGTTTCCGTAATTTCATTCTTGTTCACACCGTTTACTGATGTGTCTTTTGGATATGTAGTATCGGTAACCTCTCGTACAAGCGCGTTATCATACCCTGAAGCTCCGTTCGATTACGGTTTCCATTGGTACTGGAGATGGATGAACCGCTGGCGCGGAACAAGTTGTAATCCCCGGAATTGTCGACGATCGTAAGTCATTGTCGGATTCAAAGCCTCTCCTTCTCATTTTCTGCCTCTGCTGCAGTTTTCTTCCTGTCGTTCGATGAAGAGAATGGGGTGTCCTCGCCAGTTCCGAGCGACAATCCTTCACATCACTCTCCTTCGACGTCGTCACACAGACATTGCCTACCCTCACCTTGAATGATGCTCATCTTGCCGACGCCTGTTCTTCTTGAAGGATTTGCGGGGGAAAGAGCCTCTTTCGGGTCAGTCTTCCTTTCCATTCATATAAATCTATATCTCACGTCCGGGATGCAGATGAGGGTATGGCGACAGATTCATTGTGTATGACACTAACTTTGCTTTGTGTACTTCGCTGTCTGTCAGTTTCCTTGTGATTAATGATGGCTTTTCTAACACTCCGTGCGACAGGTTGGGTTGTATGTCTGTATCCTCACGAAATCCTCCAGATCAGCTTTAACGTCTGCAGAAGATTCGGCCGTGGACTAGCAAGCCGGCCGGTTGCCTTTATGCTAGAATAACGAGGATGTCGTGCCGAGATTCCTGGAGACGATGTAGTGGGAAGGGAGCCGCGCACGATAAAGTTGTCGCGAGACGGAGCAGAGATTCGGCTTGAAGGACGAAGGGGACGATGGAATGCCCAGATGTGGCAATGCCGTCGAGGAGGATGCCGAGACCCCGAGGCTAAGCTCGCCGAGATCAATGCCGAAGCAGGCGCTTAGCAGATATCGTCGCCATCACCGTTACAAGCTCTCGACCGCAGGTTCACTGTTTGCAGTCCGCTACTCAGAGGGTCAGCAGAACTTTGCGACTGACAGAGCGCTCCTGTCGTCGTTTGCGATCAAACGTTCTTCTCACTGCGCATACATCGACCTGTCCTGGCAAAAATCCCGGAAGTATCGCTCCTAGGTTCGAAGAGACGATGAGAAGGGATGAATTATACTGCCAATATGGGAGAACAGAGGCCTGACGGTCATGAGCCATACCCAAACCGGAAATACGTGCAGCAGGTGGAACGGCCGAATACTTCCTCAATAGTCACCAGAGTCCGAAATCCATCCAAATTCCCCCTAGACCGTTCAGATCAGTTTTTACAATATTCCTTTTTCCTCGTCTGAACGACCATCTTCGGGTCCGCCGGATATCTTGAGGAAGCCGCCAGGATGGTGTATGGGCGCTCTGTGATGACTGAATGGCACGGCAGTTACGCCCGGCCTTTCGGACGGAACTTTCTGATGGTGCGAGGGTCGGTATCTTGACAACGGGCCTCGAGAGTCGAAACTTGACTTAGCTACACCCTCTTAGCGTCCCGCAACCACGAGCAGGATCCGGAGTCATGCTCATCGTTTTACCCCAGTCGTTGACACCCCCAGTCGCCCACGCCAGGACCCCCCGGAGCATGAGGACTCGCCACCTAGACGCGCTCTCGCCCAAATACACCCGAGGATGATACGTAAGTGTGGACAAATGGGATGTTATGCGCGATTGCGATTAAGCCGCCCAGTGCTGCGCTTCCACTTGGCCCGTCGATTTCTTTGACCGTGGCCCTCCCTATCACTGGGCTGGAATCAGTAAAAGAGAAGCTAACAGAATTCTGCCTCCTGGGATTACTGGGCGAGTAAGTATCTGTAATATAATTCTAGGTCTCAGCGCTTACTGATGTCTCTTGGATATGTAGTAGCAGTAACCTCTCCATACAAGCTCGTTAGAGCCCCGTTCGATTGATGTCTCCATCCATTCTTATTGGAGACAGATGAATCGTTGGCGCAGGGACTGGGGATCGCCAGCGATCGTGAGTCATTGTCGTCTTCGAAGCCTTCTCCGCCTCATTTTTTTACTTTAACAGCGGTGTTATGCCTGCCTTTGATCGAGAAGATGGGACGGGAAAGAGGATCTTACCAGTTATCGACGGCCCATGTCAATGTCTCTTTCCTTCCGATATCGCCTGCACCGGCCTTGAACGTGACTCATCTATCTTGCCTACGACCCAGTTTTGAAGTATTTGCGGGAGACAGCTTCTTTTGGGTCAGTCTCCTTTTCCATTGTAATAAATTTATATCTGACTTCTGGAGTGTAGATGAGAGTACGAACATGAATTCATTGCATGCGGCAGCAGTTCCCTTTGTGTACGTCACTGTCCGTCGGTGTCCTTTCCTTTAGTAATGGAGGTTCTAACACCGTCTGCAACAGGTTAAGTTGTATCTCTGTATCGTGGAAATAAGAGCTCTACTAGTGAGATTCCTCAGCGCATTATGCGTGATCATGAGTCAAAACTTGAGATGTTCGGCACCGAGGGACACAGTCTGTTATTCCACTACTCAGCTGTGCTTTTGTGTTGCGATTTCTCTCTACCTCATTCGCAAATACTTGGCCAGGAAGCCTGGGATTACTATCCAAAGTTCGCCTCGCCGCCGTGAGGCATGTGTTCTCGACGAAAACAAGAGCTGGTTGCCATCGAGAGAGTCAGCTTCGATACTGAACTCAGAGCGTACCCAGATCCAGGGAGGGCCGGTCGCTGACTAGTTACAAACTCAGGTGCAAGTTGAGGGTCGGTCAAAAAGTTTGATCTTTTCTCACGTCCCAGTAACACCAAGCTATGCTAGCGTGTCTGCCCTGTTTCTCCACCGAAGTCAACCGATCGCCTAATGACATCAGGTGATGGCATTCCCAGAAAGTCCGGGAAACGACTTTCCCCTTTCTGTCGATGCCCTTCCAGCACTTGGGAGCTATGGCCATTTCTTCAATGCAGTTTTGAATTTGAGTCTCGACGTGTAAATCTTGCTATGCCGATGTCCATGCTATACATTGTCGAGCGCCAGGCGTCAGATTCCATCGATAGCCTCGGATCACCGGAAAACGTTACGTGTCCCACTCAAGCTTGGCTCACATACTTTGATGACGACCAGGGAAATATGACAAGCAACGAGAGGGAAACCATGGAAAGCAGCTATGCACTCTTCACTGCTTGCATTACATGACCCGTACGTCTACTTTCCCTCTGTTTGGCGACTTTGCTTACATTCCATTGTTACAGTTTCAATATCTCTCGCTCAAAAGAGAGCGCGCAACCTGCCGACCACGCTAGGCTGCAAGGTACCACGATGAGATAGGGTCGACGTTTTCCTTGTCGGGCGGACTGGCACTGCTAACGCTTTTTCTCCCAAACGCGAGGTATCATCATAGAGTATGGCCGTTTTCTCAGGCATAGTGCTGTGGTATTCACAATCTACGATCACGCTCCAGGAATACTCAAGGAGACCACGCTAATTTTATACTTTCATCGGACAGTCTGTATTATGGAGCATCGGGTCCTTGTTTCATGTCTTCCACGTGTTGACGATTGCGTCGTTGTTCTCAAGGCTCCTCACAAGCCTGCCATGTTTACGACGGAGACGTATAAGGCAAGACGGTATGGGATGATCCCTTCCGATTATCTTGCTTCTACCGTGTATAGCCTCTTCACATTACAATAGGACGTTTCATATACGACCGTAATTGACGTTCAGACGTAATTGTGATTGAGACACTTAGCGCAACTGTTGTTTATCTCTTTGATCGATCGTCTGTTTGTAATATGTGTGGCGGGGTGGCATCCAGGGAAAGGACACAGCCATTATCACGGCGTGCGACTCTTAGCGCGTCATGCGTCTGTTTAGTCTGCTTTCAAAGATATCAGCCAATCGAGCCACGAGAGACAGAGATATCTATAATCCTATGCTGGTCACCACACGCCGCGGCTCATCGGCTGCTATTTAAACATGCACTTCGCTTCTACGGACGACATTATCAGCATGTGTTTTCCCGCGAATCTCGAGCAACACACGGTGTTAACAAATTGCTGTTAGGTACCTTAGCATCGAGGGAAATAGAACGGTAAGGGTAGCAACTGCTTGCAATTACGAAAGAAAGCATTTCACTATAAAAACATACCTGACTTTCACTTCGTTTCTTCATTCCTCATCCTCACTTTCACCTTTACATTCCCCTCGACCTCAGGCTTCAGCATTAACATGAGCAGCGCTAAACAAGACACGCCTGTTCTTATTTTTAGTGGGGATAAGTCCCTGCTAACGTCGTCAATGCGACATTCCCGGACTCTGTCGATCAAATTCGAAGACACGAAGAGCGCAGGCTATTTTCAATGGGAAATTCTGCCCTATCTCGTCAATTTAAAGGAACTCAAGCTTACAGGCTACATCTCTTGGCCTGGGAAAAAGGACGGTTTGACATTGAACGAAACTGTTAACCAGGTCACGCTATCGAACGCCACATTCATCTCTTGGGCGAGCTTCGATGGGTTTATGGTCTGTATCGAAAAGACAACTTGGCTCATTATCAGAAATAGCACTATTGTCAACACCACAGATGAGATCGACCCATGCTGGAGAGTAAACGGCATTGTGGCCCCATTGGATGAGGTGGAATTTGTGGTGACCGAGGACACTAAGAACGATATGATTCCGTTTGCGAAATATGCAGCAACTACCCTTTCCGCGATGGCCTATATAATTCTCCAGGGACCTCTAAAGTTTGTTTTTGACTCTCTAACCTAGTGGGAAACTATCAAACCGGAAAATATTCTTGCGCTAAAGGTAACTTTGAATTCTGCATCTGGTGAGTTTTTATGGCTCAAGGTTGTGTCTAATTAGCCCTCCTGGGCGAAACTCCGCACGGGAGTTTGAACCTGTATTTTCTCAAAAAAACATGGATCGTATCGAAGTAGACAGCATACGAGAGTCCGATATTGAATTCTGGGGGAGAACATTCGATGAGGTCAAAAATATCAAGCAGGCTATCCTAGACTTAAATTTCATATCGCCTGATATCACTGCGGAGGGCAGATGAGCTGGGAAACATATGTCGACATCTCGATAGAAGCCTCTCGTATCCGATGGCACCATCTATTGACCTCAAGTTTGACGGGAATCGTGTACGGAAAGAGGATGCACGAAGAATGGATGCCATCTTGAAGACTTGTTTCCCTGATTCCAAGGGGAAAGGTCTTATTACTCTTTAGCACGTCCTTGCGATTAAGCATACAACTTGAACATTATCCCGCATCGTAGTGAAATATTTTTAGTTGAAAGAACTCATATTCACTCTTGTATCCGCCGCCTCCATTCTTAATCCCGATAAAATATGAAGAGGGTCGCTACCATAAGCAATGCTACCCGAAATATTTGAAATACAGGCAGACTCAGCAACTTGTTTAGTCTTTTGGCGCGCTATGAAGGCCCGAAATGCTCCCATTATGGACTCTTTCAAGGCTTCTAAATTGATGGATCCCAAATCCATTGATGTGATGACGTCCTGATGGGTGATGGTAGTCAGTCGTAGCTGTTAATCCCTCATACCCTCCCGCTGAACGGGAAGGGAGGATGCGCTCCTGCATAATTACATTGAATAGTTATACATTATTCGATCAGATCCGGATGTATATCCGTCAGTCTCGAGGCACGGCCCTTACTGAGAATACATTACGGATAACAGATTCTGGCGGAGACGTGATGACCTATAATCGATGTAACAACCCATCCGAATAATGAACAATTGGGAAAACGCCCTTCAGTATCCCGCCAGCCGGGGTAGTCGAGCCCTACTTAGTAGACACTTGAAGAAGGCAATAATATTTAACCAATGAAGCAATTAAGGGAATGGAATTTGAAGATCTCGCCCCTGAGCTAAAGAGTCATAGATACAGGTCTGATTGGGAGCGTATACCGGGAGATGCGGGTTACTATGGAATGTCCATTGAAGAATTACCACAAGATTACCCCTTTTGTTCGTTAACTCCAGGATGTGCCGGTAATGTGAATATTTACACACCTCATACTGAGTGCACCATGAGACACAATACAGACTGGAAAATCCAGTTTTTAGAGACGTACCTGAGGTAGTATTCAGGGAAGAGTTATCCGTGTTCCGACGCATCATTTCGAATAGCCCGCATAGTCTTCGGCACCTCCAGGAAAGGAACGAGCCAAGCTTAAATGCAACGACGACTTTGAGGAATGTCTAGGTAGCCTACCACAGAGTCTGCGCAAGTAACCTTATTGAACGATTCTAGGTTTGACCATAGAAGCGCTATAACTCCCTGCGTCGGAAGAGCGCGAAGGACGACCTAGAACAGCCCGTGACCTAGCCAAGACGAGTATATTTGAGGATCCACTAAGACGCAGGGGCCGAGTCATCCTATCACCCGTTTGTAGAAGTCAGTCGTATTTGGGAAAAAATGCTTAGACGTGGACATGGGTTAGCATCAAGGAAAGACGAGTGATAGATGCACGTACAGCTGTCTAGGCTCCTCAGTTGGATACAACGAAAAGCACCCCACTGATTTACTTTACTTGTCTAGTTCTTGTGGCAGAGCTATCCCCATGCAAATTCGCCAAGTGAACTTAAATATCCCTTGATTTTGTCAATTTGTATCAGGTCAATGAAATAACACTTAAAAACTGAACATGCCAAACATTTTGGGTGCCAAGGCGGGATACAGCCTGAATTCTACCTCCTTGTCATAATAGATGCCACACATTTTTACCGGGAAAATGCGAATGGTTAGGTGCGTCTGAATGATCGTACAAAGTCGCGTGAGCCTAGCCGGATCATCTTCTCGAGAGCTTGCATGATAACCGTGTAAGCGAGAGAGCTGGCTTAATATGCTGGTGCTTTTCAACTATGTTAGTCACGTCAAAAAGGCTCAACGTTGAACAAATGAGATGAACCATTCCTGTATTTAAGACATATTGCAAGTTAGACCGGGAACCGGGACCATGTTCTGCGGTCGGGCGCTTGAAGTATAAATTATAAGACGGGTCGCCTTGTTTTGAAGGGAGAATATTCGTAATAAATTACATACAAAGGCGGATCCGAAGCCCGGTGTTGGTATCTTGATTGTCCATCATTATAGATCGACTGCTCATGCGGTACCACGGGACGCAATGTAGAACATAATTGCATGGCAGATGGAACCTTTAAAAGATTTCTGGTGAGAACGTTCGTGCGACGATGTAAATGTCGCGTGATGATTCATGAAACCCAACACGAACCCCATTGAACGCACCAAGCCTCTGCCAATTCAAACGTAGAATCCACTAACCGTACCATGGGTTCTTGTCATGATCAGGTCAAGTGAGCGCGCTTTCGATTGCCGATAATTCTTGGCTTGGCTACAACTCTTGGCTTCGCTTCCACGCAGGCCAAGAGCTGATTACCCCGTCCTTAACTTTGTGGGGTAGTCGGTGCTTCTAATATCGAAGATCTAGGAAGAACTGGTCTGTTATTTTCTGGAAAGGCGCGCGAGCAAGCCAGCTTTGGACGAGCAAATGATGGCGATAACTCCGGATTGATATTGCATCTGTGGGAGCCAGAATGAGCATCTGACTTGAATGCCATGAGGACTATTCTTACCCTGAACCATGGACTAAGCCACGAAAGGATGCTGTTAACAATCTATCGCAAGCTCATCAATCGCCCTTGTCTAAAGTATACGGAAGAGATAATCTTAGAGACGCTTGGCGCTATGATACAAAGCGTTCCCGTAAGGAATGTTCTCAGTGATATCAACGACTGTCAAATAGAGTTGTTTTCGTAGACGTATGAGTTCTTCCTTCTTCCGTTAACGACAGATTTGACAATTTGTCAGAGAAAATGAATATTGCGGATGGTAAGTCAGTACATCTAGTGCGGCGCTTGTAACAATATTGAAGGTCCATGCCAGTCATGAGCGACATAGTCAGCGAAGCGAATAGCTCTGATCAAGAGAGAAAACGAAGGCAGGTAGCGGTGCTCAAAAAGTCGGAATTACTTAATATGTAGAATCGCGCCCCTAATCACGTTTCCGAGTCCGACCGGCATGAGCCGATTCTCTTCTTGCTCCTGTAATACCACCATCTCTTCTCACATTTACCGCAGAGCATGCCAATTTCCCTCAAACTCCTCAAGGAAGGTCTTATTCCTGTTCTGAATACTCGCCTCGACCTTGCCGTACACGCGGTGGACCCTTAATCTTGGCCTGCGCTTGGCATCAAGAGCAAGGCGTTCAAGGCGACTATATGCGCTCTTTAACGACTTATATTGAAGGAAATCCTAGAATAATGCAGTAAACTGGTCATATCTGCGGATTATAGAGCAAAAAAAGCAAATGTAGGCCCGACTGTTGTAGTACCATTTCTATTTTTTTCACGCATGTCTCTCTTCTACAGCGGTACCGCCCAGGCCGAAGCCATTTTCTAGGTCTCGAATATCCCCGGACGCATATATCCAGTTCAAGGCGCATACATCCATGGTTGAAGGCATTTTCAGTCAGACAGCTGGCAGGAAGCTTATTCGCTGAAGTCTCCGGAACACGAGGTGCGTTTACTGGAATAGCGAATCTGACATTCATTGAATATGTTGTTCACAGAACTTATGCTGTACTATGCGAATTTTTACGACAGGCCCTTGTTCGTATTTTTCATTCTTTCGCCAAGTATAGTACAATCAATCGATAAAATACAGCCCATTAACTACGTGACAGTCATGATATGAATGCGTTCAAGAACATCGTCAAACATTCATCGACTCCTTTTGCTGGTCCGACGCCTTTTCATTTATACTTGCCGAATCTCGTATATTCCGTGGACCTGCGCGTCTGTGATCATCGTCATCCACCACAGCATTGTCATCTCCACCGCCCTCCTCGAACGCCGTTTTATGCTTCTCGAAGTGCGACCCATGGTTCTCAGGCCCCAGTATCGTCACAACGATCAAGAACGCTGCGACACATCCAATGAGAATTCCCTGCACTTTTGCGTAATCGGGCACATTCTCTGTCGTACCGTCCGCGTGTGTGATAGTCGTGCGCTGGTGAGCTGCTCCGGTGGCCTCTATCTGAGCGCTGGCAGATGATACCATGTTACCGAGCTGGTAGGCGACGCCAGGGAACGTGGCACGGAATGCAGGCGGTGACATCTCGGAAAGTTGGATTGGTACGACACCCCAGGCACCTTGTACACCGAATTGGATGCAGAAGGCCCCGGCAGCAAGGGCACCAAAGCTGCTGGGAATGATCCAGAGAGGAATGAAGCAGCCAACGAGAAGAACGAAGAGGACGATGGTTAATCGCCGGCCGATGTACTGAGAAACGAAGCCTGCTAGTGCGCCTCCAGCGATTGCGCCCTTTACACCTGGTCAGACTGGTATGGAGGAGTGAGAAGACGAATCAACGTACACAATTTCCTATGATTGTTGCAATGGTAGCATTGTTTCCGCTGATACCTTTCGAATCTTGCAGATACGTGGGATACAAGTCTTGCGAGCCGTGCGATAGGAAATTGAATCCTAACGGCGATATTAGTCGGAAAGTTCCACGAATAGAAGGCAACAAACGTACCAGTCATGAAGAGCAGTGCGTAGATGCAGAGCAACCAATGCGTTTTCACCATTCTCCCAGTCTCCCTCATAAACGTCTTCGTCTTCTCTAAGCTATCCGTCTGACCATGCTCCCTCGCCTTCTGCTTGAGGAAGAACTCGGATTCCGGTAATACGGCCCTGACAGCCGCCGCGAATATACTGATGCCCGACGCGGTCCAAAATAGCGCTCTCCATCCGGCCGGAACTGCGGGAACGAGCTTGAGGTTGATGCAAGCAGCGAAAAGGTAACCAACGGCGTAACCCTGCTGCATAATGCCACTGCCCAAGCCACGCGCCTCGACGGGTAAATTCTCAAGGGCGGTACTTGCAGCCATCCCCCAAATACCGCCCATACCGATACCGAATAATGATCGAACGGCGAGGAACTGACCGAAAGTGTTAACGAAACCTGCACCAAGCTGCAAAATGGCGACGAGGACGAGGTTGAAGACGAGAGGCCATTTCCGCCCATAACGGTCAGAAAGGATTCCGAAGACGATGGCGCCAACGACTCGCAGGAGAAGCGTCAACGTTATCGCGGTGGTGATATCCGTCGTTTGCTTGCCGAATTGAGCAGCCAATCGAGAGACGGTGAGGGATACAGAGAAGAAGTCAATCGCATCGCAGGTCCATGCAAGCCATCTAAAGAGATCAAACGTCGATCAGCCGGTGCCAAGCGCGCTTGGGCATCGTCATGCATGATAGACTCACCCTGAAAAGAAATGCGCCCATTGTATCCAGGAGAGTCCGGCGAGGACGGTTAGGAGCGGTCTTGCCTCCTCGTCAGTCTTCTGGCGTCGGGGAATTAGATTCAGTAAAAAGTAGGGAGCCATGGCTGGGTGGGCAGGAATGGACTAAATCCCAAAGCGCCAAGGGTTCCCCACATCCGCCTTTTATGGGCTTCTTGAAACGGCAATCATCACAATATGTGGGGTTATCGAAATTCCCACGGCTGGTTGAACATTCCTCCTTATTTCCATTCCTTCGGCACCTTTATGTTTCGTCAAGTTCCGTTCAATCAAAGTTCGGCTTTTAGCTCGCGAGTGCCCTGCTGGTGTATGTTCGCACTCATATGTGAGTGCTCGTCTCCTCGATGTATACCGCAGCTGACCGAAAGAATGGAGATAGGTCCACCTTCTTCCGAAGCTTCCTCCATTCTAATTATGTCAACCACTGATCGCGAGCCGTGCCGTACTGTGCCATGCTGTTGGTGGCGTACCTATCAACGCTCGCACCCTTGATGATCCCTATCGGTGCGACGGGTCGCTTTGTAGGCGGGGTAGTGCCGGGCCTGTAGAATGACTCCAAGTTGATCGTGGGGTCTGTCTTCCCGTTCCTGACGGCGGCCAGTGCGGAACAGAGAAAATCTTCACTAGTATCGTTCGAGACATGCTTCACGTCTATGTGGCTCTTCGTTCTCGACTACGACAGCAAGCATACCTCCTGCCCCTCTACGTACCGAGACCGATTCACCGTTGGTATTTTAGACCTTCATTTCCCATCATTATCCGTTTGATGATCCGGTGTTACGGGCGATATCTATGCCGTACTCGCCTGAGCATTAAGAAGTCCACCCCCAGTTTCATAACCTATCCGACGTTTCTCTCGCAGCTTCTCTTCATTCCGCGCTCGCGCTACACGAATGTTTTTAATTCCGCCGTCTGCGTACTCCTCGTCGTGGACGAAACTTTCTTCAACATGTCGACCTGCTCTAGAACGAATGGGGCCCCACGGCACGCACTCACATTAACTTTTGATGCATGACAATACCAATCAGCTGGTCTGGCCCTTTCCCCTCCCCCACATTGCGGAGCCCCGTCCCAGTGGCCTGGGATGCTTTCCAATGCTCCTTCAATGGGTTCTCGATCTACAGGAAATTAGCATCCCTTCTTCTGGTCTTTGTTAGTCTGAGAGCTTGTACAACACCTCCTCGGTCTTCGGACGATGCTTAGCGGGGCTATATAAAATGATGCGCTCTGCGTCCATATTCACTGGCAGCGTTATCACTATTCCGGCTCAGCGCATCCAAAATGCCGTGGAGATCCTTCCGCACAAGCGCGCCCTTTCGGATATTCTGGTAGGGCCCGAAAGTTTTTCCGCAGCTGTGCTAGGGGCTCATTCGTTGCCGCGACAGCAATTGTCTGGAAAAACTGTTACACGCGCTGTCGTTACGTCGACCCATTCGCGACTGCCTATGAATTACCATTTGACAACCTCGGCTCATGAATATTTGAGTTCGTATTTGTATTCGACCTTACTGATCGTCTCCCCCAAAATCAACCCTAAGGATGGCAGAATGTGCAACAGCGTCCAGATTCTGTGAGTATTCAATGCCATATGTCGTATCTGCGTCTCATATGTAGTAGTGTCAAAAGGCAGAAGCCGGCAGAATCAGAACCGTTCGGGCATTGTGTGCCGACCCGAGCCGTACATAAATAGATGGACCCTACCGTTCGTCACTATCAATGGCAATCACTATACAAGGCGGCTGGCATTTCCGCGTACGACGGTTAACTTGACGGTACAGTGGACACCGAGTGACACTTATATGGTGGTCCGGGTGTCGCCCCGCAGAGGAGTTGTTTGTTGTTGCCCGTTCGCTTTGCATTCTGCAGGATATGCAGCATTTTTTTCAGAGTTCCGTGTTCGTCGTGGAGAATCCAAGGGTCAAAGAGGGCCCTATCTGACATATGTTTTCCATCGCCGTCTTCTTTGGAAACGCTGACTGAGGGTGTTTATTACCGAGCCTTGATAAGTCTTATTTATAGCTCATATTTCCAGAATGCTCAGAGACGTGAGATAGGGGATTCCTGAAACGATGATCACGGCGGAAGAGTGACTTTGGTAAGGACTGCACCGTGTAATGGATTCTCAGGATCACAGAGCGCGTTACACGTGTCATAGCGAATTCGAAGGAAGGACAAGTTCTGTGTAGCAGAAATTCTGACGTGACTGAGCATCATGAAAACCCATTGAGTTGTAATGTTCTGTATGCCATTGGATACGATGAAAGTAAGAAGCCCCTTGATTGATGAGAGAACGTCATATATGCGATGACGTTGATCGATCAGAAATACTTACTCGTTCGTAGGACCCGTGACGAAGATACCTCGGATAGGTTCTCAGTGAGTAGAGATTCGCGAGAGGCGGTGTTATCCATCGATGAGATCTTGAGGGAATACACCATAATGATAACGAAAAAGATATTCGTGTTCCCAATTTGGAACGGCGGCCGTTTGTACACGTTCTATGTTTAGTAACGGGACATGAGTACCGAGATGATAATATGAGTTGAAGCGTATGTAAGGGTTTCGTCCAGGCCTATGTATCATATGCGCACGTCGATTCTCTCTTTGCTTCGTCTCATTATATGATGTATATCCGGACTGCGAGCTCTCCTCCATCTCGATTCTGGTGTTACCATCAACTAACGGAGATTACTTTCTTGTATAATTAGGTCTTCAAGAAGCATGAACTGCGAGAACGGATACGTAGAAGAACGAGATTGAAACATTTGGTGGTGTTACATTTGGGTCTATGAAATCGGAGGACTGAGCAAATACCGAGCACGATAGCCTGTGGTACTAAAATCCAAGGGTACATAAAGAGAACGCGACGGTTTATGTTCCCGGGGGTTCAAAGCGCAGAGGTTCCTTTCGTATCCATAATCGTCACTCACCATAAACGACCTTCAACCCTCCGTCAATCAGATTCTGCAACATTCGAGCGTGGACGGCACCGAGGGTGAGGGGAGAATGAAGATACAATGTCTCCATCTGATCCATTTCTGGGTGTCTGCTGCGATCCTTAATCATCTCAACGAATCTGGCGTGGTTACAAGTTATCACTGCTCCGCGGAGGTCAAGCGTCCGGAGATGAGGCAGGGACATGCGCACTAGTAATGAAACGAGGGGGGATACAACGTATGGTGATGGAGTCGTTGAGGAAGACGATATAATAAGGTGCTGGAGATCAGAAACAGATTTGAGCAACGTCAATAGTTCAGGCAATATGTCTTCGTTATCACTGTCTGCTGACATACTTGACATAGCGGTACCACCGAATTCGAGTTTTAGCGTTGTAATCGCATTGAGGGCCGGTATAGTGGGGAACATGTTGAATTCCCCGTAGGAGACAAGTCTCAGATAAGTAAGATTGGGAATGGAAAGCAAGGAGAAAATCTGAACGTTTCGGGGTCGCGAATGCCAAGGCCAAGGTAATGGACCTGCCCTTACATATAAGTCCGTGAGGGTCAATGAGGTGAGGGTCGAGATAAGGATAGGTCTATGGCCTGCAGGGACTGCGAGTCCGCTCATTTCGTATGCAATATGGAGACTATTCAGATTCTTCAATTGTCGAAGGGTTCCGATATCGTTCCCATCAAAAATGGAAAGGCTAAGGTGAACAATCTGAGTCCACGGGAAACGGAAAGAAAAATGAAAGCGGTCGCAAGCCCTCATTGTGACCGTTTTCAGCTTGGGGGCATATTCAAAAGCGTCAATGACACTCTCTTCACCTCCCGACGATAGTGGGCCCGAACTGAGTGGAAAAGGGGTTGTAAAAGCGAGATGACAGAGCTGATCTAAACGTCCTCGCCACCATGAGAACGCCGGATAAGATATGAGGGAAGTATCGATGCGAAGATTTCTTATCGAAGAACAGCGCGAGGAGATGAGAAAGATCAATGGATGGTTAGAAATGTCTACATCGGCACAACTTGAAAGCGACACAGTAAGAGGGAAACGGTGAGATCTCTCGAGTCGTACTCCCGTCATAAACATCTGACGAGCGACTAGAGGGGTTTTTTCATCGTGGTTGATCACTAGTGACATGGATGACCACACTTCCGGTGCTTTCACAATGGCTAACCTCCACCTATGAGAGACCTGTGCCAACGTCCAGGGCGATTCACTGTTATCAAGGCTATTTCGCTGCACGGTGGAATTCATAACCTCGTATGAGGAGGGGATCGTCTCGAGAACGATGGCGCGGACCACATCAGATGGTATCCTTCGTATAGGAGAAGATAGCGTTCTGGCATCATCGATGTTTGTTTCAAGAACGCTACGCTGGCGAATTAACGTTTTAAGGTGCTCCTTGGCCTGCGCGATCTTCTCATCAAGGTCGGCGAGACACCTAGGCCCGCTCCTGACGGTGTTCTGGAAATCAGAGAGATCGACGTCCGACGAAGGATCGTTGCATCTCAGCAGCTCTGAGATAAGGGGTGAACGTTCATGACGTGAAAACGTCGTTTTCATGGAGCATCCACATATAGGACAGGTATGAGGAAGATCGGTCGTTGTTGATGACATCTGATGGGTTTAAGAAGTTAGTTACGGAGTCGATGACAATACAGAAATTGAGAAACTGTACCTGTGCTGAAGTTAATCAGTGAGAAAGAAAACCTTGAGGTGACCGTAGTGGAAAGAGAAGCATGCTCGGTTGCACCGGATCACACGTGTAGCATTTCTCACGACATAACGAGGAAGCACCCTGCAGCTGCGTCGCGTGTTTGCCTGAGAGCCACATTGTACTGAATTTCAACAAGAGAAAAACGAAACCAAACTAATTAACGAATATTCATATACGTTTAGTGTATCGGTTGTTTGAAGTCAACAAACGTAGCCAAAAGGAGTGAACGACCTGTTCATGCAGAGGAGTACCAGTCGATGATATAAAAGTCCAAGTCCGTCAGTCCTCCCCGCATCGCGTTCTCCATGTGCAGCATTCAAGGAGGAGCAGATACGTGACACTATGCGGTCATATGCATAAAAAATCTAGCAAAATTCAGATAACGCGATGGCTACAGACCGGGAGACTCGGAGTCAAGGTGAAGGACATCCTTCCGCAATCCATATCATAACCTCCCGTACACGACATTCAGTCCTTCGTCACAAAGGGACCGCCACCTTCGACTGTAGATTTCATTAAGTGAGAGGGGAGCACCCAAGTATACGGTCTCCAGGCGATCAATATCTGGGTTATTTCCTTGCCGGCGAATATTGACCATATGAACGAAAATGGCATGATCGAATTTGAATGCGCAGCCACGAAGGTCGAGCGTTTTGAGACGAGGTAGAGTAGTTTGTGCTGGAGATGGGAGGAGGGCAGATATATCACTCCCTGATAGCGCCGCGGCAGACTTGAAGACTAGATGGCGAAGACGAGGGACCGAGTTCATCAGCGAGGACAGTCTGGGCAAGGCGCATGCCTCCGATCTCATAGACCTCCAAGAAATTTCAGGCCTACGACGTATTATTTCTAGTGTTCTAATCGCATTGGGAATTTTCAGCTGGGGAAACAAGGGAACTCCGTTATAGATAAGACTTAGGACCACGAGGTTCGGGGTGGAAAGCGAAGGGAGAATCGCGCTGTTATTGTCGAGTTTCAAGGAAGTGAGATGGGGAAGAGAGATAGCTTCGGATTCCTCTGGCATCCTGGGCGCCATACCCTGAATTTCCAGACTCGTGATATTCTTCGCTTGTCGAAGAAGCTCAAACAAGCGATGAATATCAGAAGCTTCCATATTGCTACGTTTAACCGTCAAATGGGTAAGCTGGACCCAGGGAACCAGGGGAATGGCTTGTAGGTGTGGAATATCCGCTTCGAATACTCGCAAATTTGGTGCATACTCGAATGTATCAAATATCTGCTCCATAGGCCACCTAACATTGATCGATTCGATTTTTAAATGATGCAACCTATTCCAACTCCCCCGACAGCGGGAAAGGCCTTGCAGTGAACAAAGAGGATTGGATAAAAGGTAAAGGTTTTTAATAGACGAGGCGCGGGTCGAAATGAGGGAAAGAAAAGGATGATCCGCATTGTTCATGTTACTGAGAAGCGATAAGGTGAGAGGCGCATTCCGCGATCTTTCAAGATGGAGTTCAACCATGAACATTGGGCTGCGAATAGATGCCAAAGAAGTACTGAGATCGTACGTGATATCGAGAGATATCGATGACCACAGCTCCGGCGAGCTGATAATGGTCATTCTCCAGCTCCGGCAGACTTGAGATAATGTCCATGGAGATCTCGTTCTATCTAGACTGTTGTAGAAATATATGTTTGAGGACATGATCTCTGAAGGGGAAGGGATGGTCTCAAGAGCGATGGAGCGGAGAACGTCAGGGGGAAGTCTTCGTACTGGAGAAGAGAGTACTTTGGCATCCTCGATATCTGCCTCCACAACACTACGATGATTGATAAGAGCCTCGAGGAGCTCTTTGGTGTGCGCGATCTTCTGATCAAGATTCGCGATACGCCCAGGTCCCTGCTGGATTATGTCCCGGAAATCGGACAGCTCGCCATCCGAAGGAACATCGTTGCATCGGAGTAGTTCTGAGATACGATGCGTGCGTGGATCACCGGAAATTCTTCGTGCCATGAAAGATTCACACGTGAAGCATATATCAAGGAAGGTAGCCATGTTCGACAACATCTGGCGGATCAAAGAATGACTCTTTTCAGCTATGGTGAAGGATAATATTTAGGGAAAGCCGCACCTGAGTTACAGTATTCGATGAGCAAGAAAGCGTTGAAGTGATCGTAGTGGTAAGGGAGATGTTCGATGCCACGATAGGTCGCATATTTATAAAACTTCTCACGAGTCCGGCTCGGAACCCGACCGACACGTTGTACCAAACGCAAGCAAGAGAAAAGCATCATAGTGTAGATGGTATCATAAGAATCAAGAGTACGTATCGACGGGGAGAGAAATAACACATCGAGGTCATCCTAGGGAAGCATACCAGAATATTAATCTGCCACGTTCTGGGCTCCATACACGACATTCAACCCGTCTTTTAAGAGATTGGACCAGATCTCTGCAGTAGGACCATCTAGTTCGAGCGGAGTGGCTAGGTAGAGAGGTTCTAGTAGATCACACTCTGAGTGATCCCTTGTCTACGAGCCTTGACCATCTCGACGAAGCTCGAGTAATTACAATCGAGTTTCCAACCACTGAGATCGAGCACTCGGAGGTGACGTAGAGGCATGTTTGCCGATGACGGGATACCTACGAGTAGAGATATATCATCAGACGATAACGCTCTTGCTGATTTAAGAGCGAGGCAGCGGAGATTCGTAACGGTATTCGGTAGTGTCAATAATCCAGGAAACGTGTATCTCTGGTAACCCCCAACGGCAGATGATAGCCGTGTCAGTTCGAGCCTGGTGATGACGTTGGGCTTAATGCTGATATGGGGGATCACTGGAGCTGCAAAATAGGTAATGTGCAAGCCGACGAGATTTGGGAGAGAAAGTGAAGAGAAAATGTCCCGGACATCAGGCGATGTAGTAGCCTCAGGATTCCGAGACTTGAGCGCCAACGACGTCAGATGGGGGAGGTGGATGGGTTTATGTCCTTGAGGATGTCTTCACAAATTTCCGCTGCTGCGTATGTCCGCACTCTTGACATTATCCAGCCGCTCATGAAGTGGGAGATCCTGCTCCTCGTCAATTCGAAGACCGCAGTGGCTAAGCTGGAACCATGGCATCTCCACGGCGCGAGGAAAATGACGAATGGGTGCAGTGAATATACACAACTTCGGCACATACTCGAATGCATTGATGGCCCAACCTCCGGCAGTGTTTCGTCGTTTGATTCAAGTATGAGATGTTCCAGGAGATCCAGACGTCCTCGACATCCGGATATTGCTACGCGAGACCTAATAAGAACGTAGATACGAAGATTGTTCAGCGCAGAGGCATGAATAGAGATAAGGGCGAGAAAGGGGTGCTAGGACACATCGCTGGGGCTCCATAACGACAATGTGAGGGGGCAATTCTGCGACCTCTGGAGTCGGATCCCAAGCAGGAATATGCTTTGGAGGTTTGACCTCGGCTTAGGGTTAGCTTATTGAAGAGCAGCGCGAGGAGATGAGAAAGATCAAGGGATGGTTAGAAATATCTACATCGGCAAAACTTGAAAGCGACACAGTGAGAGGGAAATTTTGAGATCTCTCGAGTCGGAGTCCAGTCATAAACATCTGACGGCCGACTATGGAGGTATTGTCATCGTGTTTGATCACTAATGACATGGATGACCACACATTCGGTGCGTTCACAATGGCTAACCTCCACCTATGAGAGACCTGCGCTAACGTCCAGGGCGATTCGCTATTATCAAGGCTATTTCGCTGCATGGTGGAATTCATAACCTCGTATGAGGAAGGGATCGTCTCGAGAGCGATGGCGCGGACAACATCAGATGGTAACCTTCGTATAGGAGAAGATAGCGTTCTGGCATCATCGATGTTTGTTTCAAGAACGCTGCGCTAGCGAATTAGAGTATTAAGGTGCTCCTTGGCGCGCGCGATCTTCTCATCAAGGTCGGCGAGACGCCTAGGCCCACTTCTGACGGTGTTCTGGAAATCGGAGAGCTCAGCGTCCGACGGAGGATCGTTGCATCTAAGCAGCTCTGAGATAAGGGGTGAACGTTCATGACGTGAAAACGTTGTTTTCATGGAGCATCCACATATAGGACAGGTATGAGGAAGATCAGTCGTTGTTGATGACATCTGACGGGTTTAATAAAGTTAGTTACAGATCCGATGACAATACAGAAATCGAGAAACTGTACTTGTGCTAAAGTTAATCAGTGAGAAAGAAAACCTTGAGGCGACGGTAGCGGAAAGAGAAGCACGCGAGGTTGTAATGGATCACACGTGTAGCATTTCTCACGACATAGCGAGGAAGCACCCTGCAGCTGCGTCGTGCGTTTGCCTGAGAGCCACGTTGTACTGAATTTGAACAAGAGAAAAACAGACAAAGCTAATTAACGAATTTTCATGCACGCGTGTCGGTTGTATGAAGTCAAAAAACGTAGCTGGATAAAGGAGAGGACGACCCGTTCGTGCGGAGGAATACCAGTCGACGATATGAAGGTCCAAGCCCGTCATTATTCCTCTCCGCATCGCGTTCTCCATGTGGAACATTCATGACGAAGCAGATAAATACGTAACACTATGTGGGATCCATAAAAAATCCACCAAGATCCAGATAATACGATGGTTACAGTGTCCGGGAGAGTCAAGGTGAAAAGAAATCCGCCCGCAATCCATATCATAAATTCCCGTACACGACCTTCAGTCCTCCGTCACGTAAGGACTTCCACAATCGACGATAGAGTCCATTAAGTGAGAGAGGAGCACTTAAGTATATGGTCTCTAGGCGATCAATATCTGGGTTATTTTCTTGCCGGCGAATATTGACCATATCAACGAGCTCGCTATGATGAAATTCGAATTTACAGCCGCGAAGGTCAAGTGTTTTGAGGCGAGGTAAAGGGGTTTGTGCTGGTGATGGGATGAGGGTGCATATATCATCTGATGATAATGCTTTTCCTGACGCAATAACCAAATGGCGAAGATGAGGGACCGAGTTCAACAATGAGGACAGTCCAGGAAAAGCGCATGGCTCTGTAGACACAAAATCGAGTTGGCTGCGTGTGAGTTTAAGCGTTGTGATCACATTCGGTGTATTCAGCCGGGAAAATAAGGGCTTTTCAACCATGAGAGCGTAGATAAGGAAGAGATCGGTGAGGCTGGGGATAAAAAATGAAAGGAAATCCATACTCACAGCCTCGAGCCACAGCGTCAAGGAAGTGAGAAAGGGGAGAGAGATGGCTTCGTATCCTTCCGACAATGACATCCTGAAATCTCTCTCACCGATAATTTCTAGACTCTTGATGTTCTTCGCTCGTCGAAGAACTTCAAGGTCCAGAGCATTACTGGCTCGAAGACTTAATTGGGTAAGCTGGACCCAGGGAATCAGAAGAATTTCCTCCGGTTTCTTCGCGCTCGCTTCGAGCACTCGTAAATTTGGTGCATACTCAAACGAATCGAATATCCGCTCTATACGTGTATCACTGGCCAATCCGATTTTCAGATGATGGAGACTGTTCCAACTTCCCCGAGAGCAGGCAAGGCCTTCGAGTGAACAATCAGGATTGGATGGAAGATAAAGGTTTTTGATAGAAGAGGCGCGGGCGGAAATGAGGGAAAGAAAAGGATGTTCGGCGGTTCGCGTGGTATTGAGAAGCCGAAAGGTGAGAGGAACATTCCGTGACCTTTCAAGGTGGAGTACAAGCAAGAACAATGGACGGCAAAAAGATGACAAGGGAGCATTGGGACGGTACGTGATCTTGAGTAATACGGACGACCATAGCTCCGGCGAGCCGACAATGGTCATTCTTCAGCTCCGGCAGACTTGAGATAATGTCCACGGTGATCTCGTTATGTCTAGACTGTCGTAGATATTTAAGAACATGATCGACATGATCTCTGAAGGGGAAGGGATGGTCTCAAGAGCGATGGAGCGGAGAACGTCAGGGGGAAGTCTTCGTACTGGAGAAGAGAGTACTTTGGCATCCTCGATATTTGCCTCCACAACATTACGATGATTGATAAGAGCCTCGAGGAGCTCTTTGGTGTGCGCGATCTTCTGATCAAGATTCGCGATACGCCCAGGTCCCTGCTGGATTATGTCCCGGAACTCGGAGAGTTCGCTATCCGAAGGAACATCGTTGCATCGGAGGAGTTCTGAGATGCGAGGCGTGCGTGCATCACTGGAAATTCTTCGCATCGTGAACGATCCACGTGTGGAGCATATATCAGGGAAGGTGACTATGTTCGATGACATCTGGCGGATCAAAGAACGATTTTTTTCAGCTATGGTCAAGGATAACATTTAGGGAAAGCCGCACCTGAGTTACAGTATTCGATGAGCAAGAAAGCGTTGAAGTGATCGTAGTGGTAAGGGAGATGTTCGATGCCACGGTAGGTCGCATATTTATAAAACTTCTCACGAGTCCGGCTCGGAACCCGAGCGACACGTTGTAACAAAAGTAAACGAGAGAAAAATATCATAGTGTAGATAGCCGACTTCGATGCGCCTCTAGCCTATGGTATTATAAGAATCAACAGTACGTATCAATGTGGAGAGAAATAATACATCGAGGTCAAGGCCGTAGGGAAGCATACCAGAAAGGTCCGCAGTAATCTCCCATCTCCATACACGACATTCAACCGGTTATCGAGATTGGACCAGATCTCTGCAGTAGGACCATCTAGTTCGAGTGCAGTGGCTAGGTAGAGAGTTTCTAGTTGATCACACTCTGAGTGATCCCCTTGTCTACGAGCCCTGACCATCTCGACGAAGCTCGAGTAATCACAATGGAGTTTGCAACCACTGAGATCGAGCACTCGGAGGTGACGTAGAGGCATGTTTTCCGACGACGAGATACCTCCGAGTAGAGATATATCATCGGACGATAACGCTCTAGCGGAGTTAAGAGCGAGACAACGAAGATTCGTTACGGTATTCAGCAGTGTCAATAATCCAGGAAATGTGTATTTCTGGTTACCCCCAGCAGCAGATGATATCCGTGTTGGTTCGAGCTTGGTGATGACGTTGGGCTGAATGCTGATATGAGGGATCACTGGCACTGCAAAATAGGTAATGTGCAAATCGACGAGATTTGGGAGAGAAAGTGAAGCGAAAATGACCCGGATATCAGGCGATGGAGTAGCCGCAGGATTCTGAGACGTGAGCGCTAACGACGTCAGACGGGGGAGGTGGATGGGTTGATGTCCTTGCGGAACTCGTAACAAATTTCCACCGCTGCGTATGTCCGCACTCTTGACATTATCCAGCCGCTCAAGAAGTGGGAGGTCCTGCTCGTCGTCAATCCGAAGACTACAGTGGCTAAGCTGGAACCATGGCATCTCCACGGCGCGAGGAAAATGACGAATGGGTGCAGTGAATATACGCAACTTCGGTGCATACTCGAATGCGTTGATGGCCCGACCTTCCGGCAGTGTTTCGTCGTTTGATTCAAGTATGAGATGTTCCAGACGATCCAGGCGTCCTCGACATCCGGAAAATGCCCCAAGAGACCTAATAGGAACGTGGATACGAAGATTCTTCAGCGCAGAGGCATGGATGGAGATAAGGGCGAGAATGGGGTGCTGGGACACATCGCTGGGGCTCCATAACGACAATGTGAGAGGAAAACTCTGCGACCCCTGGAGTCAGATCCCAAGCAGAAACATGCTTTGGAAGTTGGACCGCGGCTCTGGCGGTTATTAACAGCGACTCTGTGACATTGACCCGTGACGTGGATGACCACAGTTCTGGGGAGTTCACAATGGTTGATCGCCATCTACGAGTCCATGGAGATCTCCTAGTATCCACTGGCCGTTGCTGAACTCAAAGTTTGGTAATGGGGAAGGGATAGACTCGATGCATATGGAACGGAGAACGTCAGGCGGTAGTCTTCGTATCGGCGAAGACAATATTTTCGCATCCTCCGGTTCCTGGCTCGCGCGATCCTCTTATCGATATCGGCGATACGGCCGGGATGGCTACATTTTGGAACTCGGATAGTTCTGTCTCGGAGGGGACATCATTGTATCGCAACAGCTCTGATACTCGGGGAGAGCATGTATGTGCTGTAAATGGTTCCAAGTCTTGTTGACTGAACCACATGTGGGACACGTTGGCGCTGTATGGGAACCGAAACGGCCAGGGTATGATGTCATTGACTAGAACTGCGGCGTGGGTGGGGTTAGCACAGCTACGAAGGCTATGATTGGAGGGAAAGCATACCTGCGCTCTGGAAGACAACCTTGAGGTGATGACCGCAGTAGACAGAAGGTTAAGGTCAATGATGCACGAGGCGTCGAAGGCATTAATGACGTGTAATTTTCGCACGTCTCACCAAGAAGATGCGTGCGACCCAGTGTTAAAAAATTAAGACTCTGAAGAGCAGATAAATATGAGGAAAAGAGTCAAATGGAATAATCGCGTTTCATTGTCAGCGTTATTGACATTGAACGCCTTTCCCACAGAACTCCAAATATTTTTTAATCATAGCCAATGGCAGCGACAATGCGGGATAGCAAGATAATGTCGTGACACCCTCATGCAGGTTCCGGATCAAGTGTCGGTCGGTTGCAGAAGTGAAATTTCAAACTCAGACTGTGTTCTAAATCGGGCTGAAAATGCGGTCACATGACAGGACGCGTTCTAAATTTACGCAATCAACATTCCCACGATCCATTCCCTTCTCAACGACGACGACGATCCTTCCCTTCCTCCTCTTCTGCGACGACCACCAGCAATGTCCGTGTCGAGCACGCCGTCGTCTAAGCTTGCTCGACGGGGGCCATTCACGCCTAGCAAGAGGCCTCTGTCGACCTCGTCTCTATCTTCCATCTCGTCGTCGTCGAGCAGCAGCAGCGACCTCATGAACCGCCTTAATCGTAGCGGCTCGGGCTCTTCTGGTGCCAGTAACATCCTAGGTTCGACACACAAGCGTTATAAAGCGCCAGTGTCGTCGGAATCGAGGCCCAGGACGTATACCAAACCCCTCTCGACGATACCGGGGTCGCCGCGACCGAAGACCCCATACGAGCGCTCCAAGACGCCCACAGTCGAGGACTCACCGACTAGCAAGATGGACGTCAGTAATGTCGACCCCGAGGCTGTCTTGGTGGATTCTGAGACGGTCGAAGCGGATGTATCTGCTGAGATGGACGAGGCATGGCTGAGGACGATGAGCGCCAACCATGGGAACAAGGATAAGGTGATGGTCTCTATCAGGTATGTCTTGCTCACTGTTTGTGTCGATGTCTAGCCTGATTCTGTTCTAGGGTACGGCCTTCGAATACGGATTCAGCCTGGGTCGCCTCGTCGAGCGCCAGTTCCATCCATCTGGATCCCGTACACGCGAAATCTGGCGCTCCCAACCCCGCCGACAACAAATTCGACTTTGACTCTGTCCTTAACGGATCGCCGAACAAGCCCATTTACAGCACCGTCGCTCAGTCACACGTCTACGCTGCCATGGAGGGTTACAATGCCATCATCTTCGCATATGGTCAGACGGCGTCCGGGAAGACGTATACCCTTTCCGGTGACGAGAGCGAACCGGGTATCATTCCCCGTGCTATGAAGGACGTTTTCAGGTTCATCAAGCGAAACGACGGCAGGGAATACCTCCTTCGTTGCTCCTACCTCGAAATCTACAACGAGTCTATCCATGACCTTCTGGCGCCCGTCGGAAGTCCGGTTGTGATGATTCAGGGTGGTGGAGGAAACGAGGTCATCTTGACGCCTCTTCGCGAGGAAGTCGTGACGAGCTTGAAGGGCGTCAAGGATGTGCTGAAGCGCGGGGAGAGCCATCGACGGACGGCTTGTACCGACTGGAACGAGAGGAGTAGTCGGAGCCACAGTGTCTTCCGACTCGTTGTTGAGAGTAGGGAACGTGGTGAGGCTGTCGACGAGTCGTTCCACGGACGAGTTACTCCAGCGCCGAGTGGAAGGCAGACACCCGGTATGAGCGGGAGGCAGACGCCGGGTCCTGGTAACAGTAGCAAGCCAGGTCCGAAGTTGCAAGCGAGAGGTGGAAGGAGTGTTCAGACGTCGGTTTTGGTGAACATTCCTTCTACTGGCTCTTGGATCTTTGCTGACGACGTCTTTCGTAGAGTCTTATTGATTTGGCTGGGTCGGAAAAGGCAACGAGTGATAAAGAACGTACAAGAGAAGGGAAGTACATTAATACTAGGTTCGTCACTGTTTATCTTCTCTGCCTTGTGCTGATTGCCTTGATTAGTTTGTTGACCCTCGGTACCGTCATCGGGACCCTATCGGAAAATGCAGCCAAAGGGAAGAGGTAGGTGATCCACTCGTCTTTTTCTTGATGCTACAGCTGGGCACCCTTGTTGCACCTGCGGTGCTACTGTTCTCCATCTTCGTAATTGCTCTGTTCCCACTATCTCAATGATTTCCCATCTCGACAATGCTGTCTTGCTGCTGTTTTCCCTCACTTTGATTTCTCTCTGTCTTCCTGTCTTCCTTTACCTTTCCTCGTTATCGTCTCTACTTCGCGATGCTCATTATCCCTTTAGTGATCACGTCCCCTTCCGAAACTCAAAGCTTACCCGGATGCTTCAACCGTCGCTGTCTGGTAATGCCCGGATCAGCGTCATTTGCACGATCAACCCTGATATTAGCGCTATTGCCGAAAGTACGAGTACGCTTCTCTTCGCCAGACGTATCAAGGGTGTCAAGGTTCGCTTCGCCATCGTTTCACTCGTCGGTGTTAATGCCCGTGTTTTAGCTTAACGCTCAAAAGAAGGAGATCGTCGATACGGATGCCCTCATCGAACGTTACAGGAAGGAGATTGAAGACCTCAAGGCTCGTCTTGCAGAGAAAGAGGCCGCTGTTGATGACCGACGCCAGTCTTCCGCCTCCATTAAACGAAGACTGTCGGTGAAAGAGGTAGATGAATATCTATTCCCTTTCCCATTGCTGATTATATTTGATAGAAAACTGATGAATCGAAAGCGATGAAGGACCTGAACAACAGGATCCAGCAGCTCACGAAGCTGATCCTAACGAGCCAGACCGTCGATGAGTCATCAGCAGACTCGAGGCCAGGAAGTCCCGTTAAGATCGACTTTGATATGTCTCCCTACCAGGTACGCTAATCCTCCCTTCCTTCATATATATATCGCTGACCCACCTTGCCCATAGCTCCAACAAGAACTCCTCGCCGCCCGTGTCCAGCTGGAATCCCAGGCGACTCAGATCCTCTCCCTAGAAGCCGCTCTGGAAGCGCGTCCGCTCATGCCGCCCGAGAATGAGAAGGACAAAGTGATTGCCGATCAAGCGAAGGCCATCAAGGAACTGGAGATGGTCGTGAAGGGGTACGAGAGTAATCTCGGGGAACCATTGAGGGCCGTTAGAGAGGACGTTGAGCGCGAATGGCAAGTAAAGGTTGATGATGAGACCAGGAAGAGGGAAGAGAAGGAGCGATGGGCGGACGAGCTGGTGAAACAGTTGGAGAAGGAGAAACAGGTACTGTTCTCTTAGTTTGGTTCGTTTTCTTCTGCTGATCTTACATTTGTAGACGCGTATCAAGCTTGAGGACCAAGCCCGTGCGCTGACGGCGTTTGTGACTAAGTTGGATGCTCTTGGGCTTGGCGGGCTCTCGCTGGGCTCGTTTGATAAAGAGAATGAGTCTGGTGGGTCGCCTGGGAAGCGCGAGAAATACGTGAGCCTGCTGGATCAGGTCCCAGAGGAGGAGTGGAGCATGACGGGCGATTTCAGTTTCGAAATGGAGAAGATACCTGTGAAGAGGGAGCCTTTCGGCGGGAAGGAGAATGTCGCACTGTAAGGCATGCTCTCTCGAACTGGTGACATTTTCATTACGTTTTTTTTGTTGCTTTTCTTTCGTTTTCCTCGCATATGGCATATTTCTTAACTGCTCATTTATTATCCATTTAACATTTTTGTGTTTCCTGCTGTCTTCCTTTTTTCGGGTTGATGGATAAAATGTATACTTACGAACGGATAGGATATGAGCGCTTTTTTTGCTTTTTAATAACAGTTTATGCTGGATATACTTTTTTTTACATGTTTCGTCCAAGAGGGCAGTCGAGCATATTGTTGTAGGAAATATAAAAGGTTTCGAACCTAAGAGTCAGGACATGTATCTGGTCATTCGTAACAAACTGCTCGGGACGGTATTTATTCTAGTTTTTAATCTTCATGTTCATCAAAATTCCGATATCGTAGGTATCTAAGTGAATCAATGTATTCTCTTTTAAAACAAGATATGAACCGTATCTATCACTGTAATGTGCGGAAAATTAGTTCCAAAATGGCGACAGTTGAAGAATACACACCGACTCGTAGCAAGGAAGGCCCAGAGAAAAACTCTGGTTGGTAATTCAGAACGAGGGCGTCATGAAAACCAAGCCGTGACAATTACCTTCAGTATCCGTCGAAAGAGCTCTCAAATGAAACCACATCTAGACCTTTCCAATACCGAACCTTTTCAAATCCATGTCCAGCCTCATTCACGTGACTTCGAATCGGCAACCCGTCCATCAGGGAACCTCTTGTCTTTCCGACGACCTTCTTCGGACGAGGCCCACTGGTTAGCTGAACAATGGCACCGTGCTGTTCGATTCTGCGGAACGCATCACGAGTATCATCATCCATCCACAGCCGGCAATGAACAGATATTTTCGATATGGGATGGAGACTGAATGGGTAATTATTACGTTGACACTCGAGGAGCTCGAGATCTGAGGCGTCAGACGAGCGAAATTCGACCGAATGGAGTTCAATAGTGGTCAATTCTGGGCAGAGCAAGGTGGAATCATGCCTGGGAGCGAGACTCTTGAAGAAGGACTTAATTGACGGATCGTGAATCGGTGATGTTGGGTCGACAGGATGCGTTGAAGTATAACTTCTGTGGATATGATCGTCCTCAATTTCGAGATATATAACCTGAGGGGTCAGCTCCAAGAGCCTAGGAACGAGGTCATAGCGCGACAATTTGAGGGTCAGCGCTTTGAGCGAAGGTGTGACTTGTGAAAGGTAGGTCTTTGTCGCATCCACGTAGTGGGGGGTGAATGGGATATCGATGATTTCGAGGTCGACAAGGTTGGGTAAGATGAGAGCTGTCATAAGCGGGGCAGTGACTCTCTTGAGACAAACTGATAGTCGCTGGAGGGGAAGGGTGAGTGATCCATGGGAAAGAGGGTTCCACGGATCTTCCTCTATCCCGCTATTGTCGTATGTATCAGTAGTAAAGAGGTCGAGTTGGCGGATGCTGGTACATTGGGAAAGGATCTGTATGAGGTTTGTGTACTTCTCTTCTGTAGTTTCCCTTATAATGCGCGATAGACTAAGGTCCTTGATACGTGCGTAGGAGGTTGTTGGGAGGTAGAACATATCTTTCAAATGCGAGAAACGAATGCCTTGTAATTTTGGAGCATCACCCAAGAACTGCAGATTATAGGACCAACAGTTCATGTCCACGGTACACCGGGGATTTGGCAACGTCCACGCGTCCTCCATCCTGAACATTTCGAGGCATGGGGTATGGGTAATGCCGAAAGGCTGAAAATAACGCAAGAATGGAGACGGAAACGACAAATCCAAGGATAGTCTGCTCAGCATCCCCATGTACCGTGCGATCACACTATTTCCCAGGTTTACGGCTTGAGACCTGTACGTATATTCTGAAGGGCGGATCTTAGTTTCGGGAAGCATCAAAGAAATGCCGAGCGGTAGCATTCCAGAGCGTTGGATCCACTTCTCTGCTCCAGCCAGATGCTCGTCGTCGCGGATGATGATATGGACGGACGACCACAGCCGTGGGGTAGACAGAGCTAGACTTCTCCATTCTTTGCAAATATAGGTCAGGATTAGTGGCGACTGTTTCGATTGCATGACTGCGTTATGGTGAACGGGCAGAGTGTGAACAAAGATCTCTTGTAACGTCTCTGCAGGAAGGGAGCGGATTGGGGAGAAAAGGGCCTTGTGCGAAAAGAGGAGCTTGGCCTTTTCTTCGCGAGAAGTCAAGAGCAGTTGGCGTGGGACTTCGAGGCGTTCCAATTGGTCTTCGACATCCTGGATTTCTGTGTCGATAGTTGAGATCTCTGAGTCAACGGTAGAACAGAATCGACGAATGGACAATTTCTGTTCATGTGTCAGATGGGGCAGTTTTTCTAGGTGCAGGTATCCAGCCATGAGGGAAAAGGGGAAGAAGACAAAGAAAGAAATTTCGCTCATCAGTGGCTATTCTATTTAATTATACGTGCTGAGTGCACCTTTTGACGACAATGACTTATGCATTAATGGGGTAGTGGTAACCTGGGTCGTTGCCATCGACCCGCCGGGGGTTCGATTCCCCCTTAATGCAGTCCTTTGTGAGGAATGTTTCAATAATTATCTCTTCTCAAAACCATACACATCAGGCCTTGCCTTTATTTTGAATTCCGGTTATCAACCAACGTCCGGAGTCCGGACTTTTCTTGTTTTCAAATTTTGGGCGACGGGTGATTAATATCACTCTATATCACTCTCCACCGCTAGCCTCCTATACAATCCGGGGTTTTGTGCGTAACTGTACAATCCGTTGGAGTATTGACATCTGGAGACTGGTGACCCCCTCGTGTGTCTCGTTACTAACCTACACTTCGTTCCTACAAGTTTGCAGGCATTTTGAATCGAACATCAGGTATTATCTCCGTGGTTCCATAGCAAGGCACTCATACGCCCACTAGTGTCCCTCAGTCCCTCCAATGCAATGATGCACCTACGAAAGCAGAGCCATCGATTTCCATGAGACATGCAAGGGGGTACCCGAGCGCATTGCGAAAATTGACGAAAGGATTGCATGTGTTAGGAAGACACTCTATGAGCTCGTACTTGAACGAATTACGATAGAGCTAGATGCCGAGGACACCAAAGCCTTGTCTTATTAGCTCGCCGGAGCCTTGGTCAACTTCGTTGCTCTTCCTATCCAATCCTTCTTCGTCCTCGATTTTTTTTTTACCAGATTTTCATGCTTGGATTTCAGTTTGAGAGGTTCCAGAACGTTTCCCTCACCGTGCCATGGTTCAGCACCTCCAATATGTTCTTTCACGCCTTGATCTCTCTCGTCATTACATGCGTGTCACGTATAAATAATCTCTGCACCGTGAGTCCTTTCCATTGTGCTTGTCCAGAGGTCCAAAAGGGTCAGAATGCCGGAGAAATTAATCGACCGAGATGATATTCCGTCTTGCAATTTCGCCTGTGGCGCTTCGTTTCCTTACTACTTAATAGCTCAGAAGCAGCGCAAGTATGATCCCATCTCTTCCAGACGTTCGAACAGGACGACAGCCGTTCGTTTACTCGGCCCTGTGCTCCAATGACCGACCGAGAGTGATTTGTCGCGTTCGCGTTAGCGACTGGATTATCATGCATAGCCTTCCTCTCACTAGAAAGGTACATTGTCGTGTCTGGGAGAACAGACTTTCATTTACCTTGAAAATCACAAACCGTTCGCCAGAAACAAAAATTACCGCCTCGTCATATCCGTGAATATACTCTGGTCGATGTTATGTTGTAAAGCAGATGAATTTTGCGGGACGAGGATTCTCCCCTTGCCACGACCACATGAACCGAATTACAAAGACGCAAAACGAACCGGCTCAAACCTCGAGAGACATTCTCGGACGATTACCAACTTCGCTGACATGCCCGACAGATACCTGAGTAAGACTCCCGCCACCGGTATATAGATTTTTACGACGATCTAAACGTAACACTCGCAGGCGTAGGATCCTTGCCATTGAATAAAGCTTCTCATGTTAAAATTGGATCACGACTCCTTCGGAATCTCCGACATTTAAATGTATACGTTCCAACAGTGAACCGGCATCGTTTTCCAAGCTCTTTCCGTCCCTCAGCGGCGTCCTAATAGTTATTCTCTCAACACAACGTGCAATGAATCAAACCCAGGGTAAACTCGCCACCGGAATCATTCATGTAATCGAAGAAGTTCCCGTTCGTAGCTCCATGGCGATCATCCAAAATGTACTTGTCTATTCTAGGAACGGGACCGATATCACTGCCATTTCTTACCCTATATCTGATTCTCACCATCTATCAGAACGGCGTCTTTCTGCTTCGCCAAGAGTTGTACCTTATCCTAACTTCCATGTTCCATCTCAAACAGCGGTAGAGAACCTCCCCATGACGAGCTGATGGCACCCACGAAATAAGACGCTCACTCCAGAGATAAACCCATAAAAATAAATTTTCATATCGCGGCCATTAGACTCTTTCATACATACTTATTTCTCAAATTTGCGTAGCAGAGATACGTAGGCTCCGTCGCTGGAGACCGTCAACCATAATTGAACCAAAACGTGATGAACGGCTATCTTGGCTGAGAGCATGTACTAAGAATAGGTGGGCGTACATGCGAAACATATGATGCCAGCGTACCTAGGTAGTGCTAGTAATCTTTCGTGATCCTACGAGGAAACAAAATGTCCGATGCTAATGCGAACAAGTACCAAGTCAAGCGATTGCGAACGGCTAGGGGACCACCACGAACCAGAAATATGCACTGAGCATCAATCTAGACTTTCATCGCGGGAGAACCACCACCAAGATGAAAATACTGCTTATCTATTGCTTATCTTTGATACGCAGTCATGTCGCTGAGAGAAACCACCGACATTGCTCAGAAAATAGGCGTGCGCGCGAGCGTGAAACACGAAATATCTCATGATTTAAGCGCACTACATACTGCGGATCTGTGGTATTATCATCATCAAGGTTCAAGCCTAAATCATAGAAGGAAATGCGAATATGAATCAAATTTATAGCAATCCATTGAACCTAGTTGCGAAATCGATACAAATACAGGAATAGGATCTCAGTACAAGTTATGTTTCTTGTGCCACTCCTCCAAAGAAAGCGGGCCGTAATCCTCATAGATTTCTTTCTCTCCTTCGGGCAGGCGAACCCAGTCCGGCTTGGAGTTGAGTTTAATACAAACCTATAGTCCGGTTTAACCTCGTGGTCATAAAAACTAAGCTGTGAATGAAACATACCATACTCTTCGGTGCTTGCAAAGGCGTATCAATCGCCCCCGCGAAGGGATGGATCAGTTCAGGCCTTCTAGAATCATCAGGAACCCCACGAAAAAGTCAGAGGCTCAGCCGCACCAAGTCTTATCATACACCCAAAGCATTGTCGAACACTTCGAGCAAAAGCTTCTCTCGGACGTAGCGATCCGCTCTTTAGGCGTATCTCGGTCCAAGACGGCTTTGTAAACACTGGGCGTGGTAAGCATGCACCACAGCGGCGACAACTCCCCTCCCGTACCTGATATACTCTTTCCCTTGCTGGACTTCCAGTGTATCCGAGTACCCTCCCAAGTTAATGGTTCCACCCCCGGAACCAGCGACTTTGCGGCAGATAGAACAGAAGCAAAGCTACCAGTTATCAGGACTTCTGATCAGTCGTTGCAGCGGGCAACTCACCTGATATGGAACAGCGGTATTCGACTTGAGCGAGAACCTAACAGCACTGCAGTGGCAGCTTCCTTTGAGAACAGACATCGTGGTTGGTGGCTGAGAGACACGAGTGAAAACGATCATCGGATGAGTATTATAAAGACGACGTGCGAATGAGGTCACCTGTGCGCTCACGAATGACATAGCTGCGAATTATTTAGACAAAAGGGCAGGAAAGATTAGTGTAGCTTACTGAAGGGTCTTTTCTGAACGTTTTCATTTTGAAGAAGGAACAGGTGCCGTAGACGGGGGAAAGCGACCCGATAATTGGCAAACATAAGTAAAGAAAGGCTGAGAAAGGAGAAAAGTGGTCAAGACCGAGTAAACAGAAATACGCTGACAAGATATAAATAAGGTTGCATACAAAAGTATTGCTCCCAAAATAGTGGAGTGGTCTAAGGCGTCAGATGTGGACTGTGTTATTGTTTGATTTTATGTTCCAGGCTGCGGGTTCGATTCTCACGCCGATCAATTTTTTGTTCTATAATTTTGCGAACTGCTGTATTTTCTGGTGATCTAACATCGACAATCTCAAGCATCTTATATCTGTGGCCTGCGTGAACACTCGATTATTGTCGCGAAATCAACTGGACCCGTTGGTATAAGAGGACAGAAGTGAGACATCTGTAGTTGTTTGGACTGTTTGGACATTCAATGGGTTTAAAGCTTGCTTTACGCAAGTCTAATTGGGGTAAGGGCAGAACGGTGATTGGCACCGGGAAGCAAAAATCAATTTATCCACGGGACCGGGATCCTCACAGTGCCGTCGGAAGGACCGAGATCCTTACGGAGATTTCAACCCGACACTTGCTCGAAGACCGGGTTCTCGCAAGTTGTCTCTCGATTGGTCACCGGTAAGACAGGCCACATCGCTCTCTCACTCGCTCTCTCACTGTCCTACCAGGTAAGCTTGAACGGTCGCTCTCAGATTCACGTTCTCACTGTCCTACCAGACTCAGTGTCGGAGTTTTTCAGCTGCCCTTCCTCCCTTCCCTGGTTACTGCGGGCTTCTTCGACCGACCTTTTCATATTCGTCTGACTTTCCCTCAGACATTTCATGTTTTGTACGATTTTATCTACTGGTATAAACCTTCGGACGCATTTTTTTCCCTTTATTTTCTTCACTCATGTACTGTATCTACCGGCTGCGGCACGACGCGTCGAAACCTATGTTTAGGGGCCCCTGGAGACGTTTCCAGGGGCTGCTTTCGGCTACGATCTCAGTACTAAGTGAACGATGCAATTAGATCAATACAGTTCTTCTGTTATTTATTATCGAACACTTCTTTTTCACATCTATTCCTGCGCGGCTGGTTCCTTGTCCTCAGGGCCTAAACCACTTCTGTTCTTTGATCTGAGACGGGGTCCGTGAAAAGAGTGGTGTTTCCTGGCACCAGTAGGGAAGTGACACCATCAGCCTTCCACTAGGGTGGAAATTTTCCTCTGAAAGCAACGGTAAGTTACAATTTCATTTATCCACCAAGCTGAAGTATTTTTGAACCGCATTTCTTGTGCAGGGCAGAGTCCCCCTCTTCTCAACTTACTCAATCGAACTAAGTAGTTCTTGATATTTTTAACTTACATCGCAAACGTTACAAGGACAACAATACGTCCACTCACGGTTTATTCACTCTCGGACAAATCTTGGACGAGTTCCTGTAGCTGCCAACATCTTCGCCGTGAATGTTTTTATTTCACGTTCCGAAATGTTTCCGACCACCCAACGCCGTTGCGGTCACTTGAATAAGTCATACAGGTCCTTTATATGAATTATTGGATATAGCCAGTCCAGATGGGGATTACTCTTCCCTCGACTCTTCCATGTCTGGAAAACTAAATTAGTCAAGTATTGCAGTGTATATCGCCCATAGATTTGTGCCTGTAAACTATGCGTACTGCCGGTACCATATCTTATAACTTACGAATAAAGAAAGGTCTAATCTTATATTTTTTATTCTTCTTAAGGACTCTCCGTAACATGTCGCACCCCTTTGGATCCATCGAATCAGAATCGGTCCACAGGCGGTAAACGGATTCGCAATGTAAGCATCTATGATGTAGTGGTATAGAGGCCGATCCTCAGACTGCGCAGCAATTCTTTCTCGAGTTCCCAACACTGATTCTGTCAACTTCGGCAATGCGTCTATTCCGTCATTGGTCAGCACCTATTACCCTGCTCCAGACAATTCAATTGGCTCCACTGCATCCGCGCCCATGCCGTAATACTAGAGGGAAAGACAGACGTGGTGAATGATTCATGGAATTGTGGGATGCGGTTCTGCCTGTTCCCGACTCTTATCTTTTCACGTTCGCGATATGCCGTCACGCTTCAGATTTGCAGGAGGTTTGTCCCTCCGGTGTTGAATAGGTGGGTCCTGATGGGACCGGTGATAAGTGGGCTCTCGTCCGGAAAAGCAGTGGATATCTATAGAATGTTATCTTGTCGGTCTACAGGAATGCGACTAGGGAAAAAAATAAATCATACATGACTCTATGGATATTAGTGATAATACAGCGAGTAGTAATACAGATAATGGACTTCAGCAGCGTTTGTCTAGATGCATACCAGTAAAAAATGACTTGCCAAAAATAGTTAATGCTCGGGAAAGAAAGAAAGTAGACCGTTAGGATGGTCTTCCAATGTGGACATCTCAACCTGCGATACTTGACGGCGAATCACCATCAACTCATCCCAAAGGTGAGGAGGAATTTCTTTTTGCTTCCGCAAAAAGAACCGAATACGATCCAGCCACTCCTTCATAACATGAAACCTGCTCTCGGAGGCTCCTTCAGACCAAGAAGGCACACCCTCTTGGATAGATAACAATGAAATTTGCGCCAGCCAATAGAACGGAAGAGCATTTTGCGCAAAAGGTGGCTCATCATCACCATCCTTCCCCTCTTCCGAGTTCATCGCATCTGGACACGACATCCACATGCGAAGCCAATTTGTCAGCGTATATTGGTTTGCGAACTGGCTCCCTCGACGGTCCTCGTTACCGGTAGGCTCGGGTGACGAAGAAGACGCTGCATCATTATCGCCCGTCGTGTGGGAGCAATAAATGTTACGGAGGATTGTATGGATCAGAATAAATTGCGAAAATGGATTCAAGGGCGTTGGTGGAGTCGGAAATCGCATCTCGCCGAGGCTAGTTAAGGCTTGCTGCATCCCGACACCGTACAATCTGGTTGATCCCATTCCGTATGGTGACGGTTTCTGTAGCAGACCGATCCATTCCGCGGCATTTTGCGCCTTCCATAACGCATCATCGCACGGAAGATTCATGTCGAATTCTTCCGTTTGAAACGATGGGCGCATCGAGAAAAAGACAGAATGACAGCAATCGTGGAGATACGAGAGTAATAGCGCTCTAGATACATCGCGCCCATCAGTACTAGCAGGATGTATATCGGAGATTTGATCTCACCGTTTCACAGTCTCCTGAAGTGCCCAGTCCCGCCAAGTTTCTTCCAAAATAAGGGGATCATTCAAATCGTTAACTGTCCAGGAGCGTGAGCGAGAGATAGATTCTGTCCGGCGGATCATCTACAGACTTAGTTAAGCCAGATTGACCTATAGAATTGAATGATCGACGAACCATAACTAACATCCCATGGTAGACATTCGACGAAACTCGAAATTCAGGACGCTGGTGAAATAGACCAATAGTCTGGAGTAATACGACGGCAAGTATTAGGAAACCCTGCTCCTTGGGATTACTTGTAACTTTAGTCTGGGCGGTCACAAATACATTAGTATATAGATATGTTTTCGCTACTGCGGAGAGGACATACAAATTCCTGGATGAGGGCATCCCGTGTTGAAGATAAAGTTTCGGTAATGAAATTGGCGGCCCGACGCGTTTTGAGGAAGAGAGCACCGCATGCTTGCATCGCACGAATGAGGACCGGTGGTTTATCTTCTATCGTCCACGAACCCTGGTGAACGAGTGGTATTTGTGTACAAAACGCCGAGAAGAACAGATATACTGAAGGGTATATCAGCTATCAAAGTTATTACGGTATGATGGCATGTGGGCACCCACGGTATTGCTGATTTTCTGTATCGAGCGGCTGAGCGCTGCCAATAGCTTCTGAACACTCCGATGATGCCGTATAGGGAGGTGAAGGATTAGAGATAAAGGATAATGACGATTCGTAATCCGAGGGGGTAGGAATAGAAATGGGGCTGAGGGAGGACGGCATGAAGGAAAAATAGTCGCTATTTAACCCGGATGTACCGTTACCTTCATGCCATGGGAATTCAGGTGATGGTTGCGGCGCAGAGAAGGGATATTTATCGAGGAAGTAATCGAGTACGCCATTGGAGAATAGTTTTTCCGTAGAATCATGCAGTTCACCATTACCATCAGTAATAGTGACTGCATCTTTGATCACAGCATCAAAAATATCGGACAGCGAGGAAGAATTTAACGAGGCGGGCGAGGAAAATGACGACGCGTCGGCTGATAAGGACAGGGCAGAGTGTAACGCAGGCGATATGTCGCTGTCGCGAGGAGATGGAAGTGAATCTGACGAAAAGGTAGGTGATGAAGACAATTCTGGTGAGCCTTCAGCCGGCATTGTCTGAACGGGTCTCTTAAGACGACGTTTCTTGGCGTTATTCTTCTTGTCGCGCGAGATGGCCGGATCGTTTACGTAGACACATTTCTTTCCGCGAGAAATGCACTTCGAGCAGGGGTTCTCGAGATTGCACTTCACTTTGGAATCTGCACAGGCCTAAAGAGACGTTGAGGAAAGTGGTAATGCATCGTGATAGTTTGAGACAGACCTGGCAAGACTTTCGTCGAGACCGATGGGTGATGAGTCTATGAGATCGCCGTTAATTTCGCTTCTGGTATGGACGATGATCACTCACGGGTCGCCGCATGTCCTCTTGTGCCTAGTCAGAAGATCGCTTCTAGTGAACTCGGCGCCGCACAACTGCAGTTCGAGTTAGTATAGGAACGCCTTAGCCCCAAAGAACGCTGACCTCGCATCGATGTGCACGTTCATTGGTATCTGTTCAGAAGAGATCTTAATCAAACACAAGGGCTTCTTAGTAGTGCGAAAACTTACGTGAACGAAAGTGCCGATGCAAGTGCGTCGTTCTCGTAAACTTGGCGGGACAAAGAGGACAATGATTGGTTTGTGGCAATGTGGGGGCGTTCCCTCGATGAGAACGTATACGAGAGAGATCCCCGTTCGTCTTCAGTTCGACGGCAAGGTCCATGTTCTGAATCTTCGGGGAGTCGTGGGGTGAAGATGGGAGGGACATGGATGAAAAGAAGCAAGAAAAATGGATGGAAGAGAAGGTCAAGTTAAGGGCGTGCTACTCCGTCGTCCATGGAAGACTCGGTCTGTTGAATCAGCATTTAAGTATTCATCACGATGCACATCTATAGATCGAGCTGCTTACGTTGTCAGCGAGGGTGAGAATTACGGCAAAGAAATCAGATCGGTACTGTATCTGATGACCGATGGAAATAGACACGGCCCTACATATACAGGTGAGAGAATACACAGCCACCTTTTTCATCGGAGGAAACGAGGACTGCAAGCCAGGAACCAGCACTGTGATCGTAAAAGGCAAACATCAGAATCGGGGGATGTCAAGCGAACCAGCCCACACCGAAGATAGTTATCAAGAGGAGGTCGTATAGCGCAGCTCATTGATGAAACATCGTCTCCGACCACAGAGCGCGCTTGAACAGTCAGCATCAATCGGTTGCAGGATTCAGATCTGGCTCAGGAGTCATCGTTGACAGGAAGATCCTAAACAAAATTGTGCACATACAAGAAATGGAACGTGATTATTCACAGCCGGGCGGATAATAATCTGCTAATTGAATCACTTCGGAGACATCCTTTGCCGACCTTGCATTACGGTGCCAAGGCATACATGATGTATTTCCAGAGTTTCGGGGCATAGAAGATCGTTTTTCTCATGGGCAGGGGCGGACTGGGATTGTAAACCGCCGCTAGCCCTGGAGGTGATTACACTAAGACGAATAAGCCAATTGTCGTTACAGCACGTGCCTAACACTTGATGCTGGCCAGTCGAACCTAGAACCGAGACGAACCTTCGGCTTGGGTACCTTTATCTTCGTTCAGTCATCCTTGGCGTCGTAACTTGTAGCGAACTATAGAAGCCCACTCTGATGTCCATGCTCATGATAACGGTAGTTGCTATCGCCGAAAATGAGGACGAACTGACGTCATGCATCATAAAATCTCTGAACCTCAACGGTTCTAACGGGGAGAATCCGGAAATGGGGAATACCTTGTTGGAAATGAGAATGAGTAAGCTGTGCGAAAACTAATCAAAGGAAACTACCGTGAACGGACTGCAGTCAGCTATCCTAGTGGGTAATCCGAGGCGCCTTTCGAAATATTCAGCTCCAACCGTCCATTCTGAGAGACGGCTTGCCAAATGGCCGCCGGCCCCCACGGAGCTATTTGGCTCCGTTCTTCGAAAGGAAGCAAGAACACGGTAAATTTGACCTGCAGAGCAACTGGGTACAATGATGACCTCCGAGGCCAGCGGAGTAATGACCAGTTCCTGTTATCTGAGCTCTTCGACACGGTAGATGTCAAAGACGAGTTGATGAAGAGGCAGTAATGCAGTAGATTTGCGTCGTGCTGATAGTAATCGTAGCTTGGCGGTGGGTGACCGGAACAAAAATGGTCTTTAATGGTGATATCTGTGGCGTGGAATGAGATTACATGTTTCATGGTAGAGAAAGATGATATCTTGAGGGCGGCACTTGTAATAGGCAAGGCAACGCGATCGACGTTTGAGACAGGAAAGGTGAAGTGGCGTGGGAACATATCCTCACGGTCCCCACCGGCCGCGCTTACGTAGGGCCTACTTAAAATCTTGACTAACCGGAATTATATATTCTACGTATTGTATTTCGGTCGGCGTTCGGTACGTCGTTGATTCAATGATTCATAACTTGAAGAGGTGCAGGAGAACAATTTATTCTGTTCCTTGGACCCGGTACTGATGATAAAGGTATTAAATCCAGAGTGTGGCAATGACATAGGAATACTGTCTTCATTTCAATGTCTTCGATGAGTAACACCAACGTATTTATTTTTTACTTACTGCCAACAGGAGAAACGCCACGCCGATTTCTTTTCTAATGGTGCGGTTTGAGCATCAATTCAATTCTCGGCCTTGTATTTGGACTCGCCTCCCATTTCTCACGTTCTTGCTGTCAGTAATGTCGAATATGTTTACAACCTCCTTCCGAGTGGTGCGTTAAAGCTTTCATCGGTAATGGGGCTATCGATGCTAGGAGCATCTCGACTATCTCTCACGTAGGTCTCATGGCGCCCTACCAACTATTCTTAATTCCAGGGTATGTTTCACCTACCATCAATTGATCGAGGAGATAGACATATTGTGTGATCAACGTTATCAACAGCACCTTACTACCACGGCAAGGAACTTGCTTTTGCTAATGTGCTCATTCTGAATGTACCCTCTGCATTCACAGAAAAGTCAACTTTGAACTCAAACTGTCCCGGATATGTTTCCGTTTCAATATGTTTTGATTTCCGTCCAGACCCTAGTATTCAAAAGGAAACATATTCAAATTAGTGTTCAACATCTCGTCATTACACCAATGGCTACGGATATACCCAAGTCACCGCTGCGGCATATGCCTACCACTACGGTTTTTAATAACGCGTGAAGTTCTGCTCAGTTGTCAGGATAAGCAATTCCAAACTTTAGTATTCTTAGCAAAGATGCTGCTCGTTCCCACAGACGGGTCCGCTCGTAAATCTTACGACGGTAGACCCACTGCAAGCTCCCTAGCAAGTCTCTTTCTATTTTTCTAACTACTGAGCCCGAAACTACATACCCAACGTAGCTCGGTAAACAGGCGCTATTCTTAACTACGGCCCTGACTGCGGTTGTTGCGAACGATAAGGCTAGCGGGACTCTGATTTGAATACAGGATCTACGTACCTTCTGGCAGGCACCCGGAGCCCAAAGCTCATATAATAAGAATTGAATCCGCGGTTCCGCGCCTCGACTTCCGTTCCAATTCATTTAAAGGATCTTACCTTGTACAGAAATTACATCACAGACGATTGTAGACGCTTACCAGCTTTTCTCTATTATTGGGTGCGCGCCACCATATGTTAACTCGACTCTGTGTTTGATATCTCTCACAGTTTTTCGGCGCTGCCTCTCCGCAGTTCATGGCTCTTCATTCCTACACCTCCTTGGGGCATTCCAATCACGTATAGACCACCATCTTGGCAGGCTAGAACATATATTTTTGCTCTCTTTTATTTCACGGGACATCAACACTCCCTTGTGTATTCCTTGATTAGCATCGCGGGTGCAGAGTAGACCCGTGTCACGAACGTATGGTTTTGTTTTCGACGCGGCGTGGCGTTGCCGCAGCAAATCCCAAGAGCGAAGACAGCGCCATATTTGTAAGGAGCAGGCTGATACTGGTTGATTGGCATTTAAGTATGCCTGTGTCACAGACTCTGGTCGCAGTACTAACCTCCCACGATACTGAAAGTGAATGGTCCCATCTCTTCGTCAATGCCACCCCGCGTATCGGCCTCAGTTACACGGTTCAGATGGCCAAGGCATTCACGGCTTGTCGATTTCAGCATCCCTTCCTTTCGTCTCGTAGGTGTGGCTGGTTTCCTATTCTCGAGTAATCCCGCTGAAGTCAGACTCTTCGCTCGCTATTCGAAGAATCACGCCACGAAACAGAGCTGTCATCACTTCAGTTCTCGTGCTCCTCTACAGGCTGTACATGATCGTCTACCCAAATAGGCGCAACCCGTAAATGTACCTTTGGTTTGTACTTCTTCTGAGGATTGTGCTCGTGGAAGGCTTCCATTCTCATTCTGACACTACGGTGGACCTTTACTCCGCTCGATTGCTTTGGAATGATCCGAGGACGTGCAAGGTTCGGTCTGAAATCACTCATTCAGTAAACACGAGAAGAGAGAAATAACAACTCCACCTACCCAAACCACGATACCCACTTGTCATCTCCCTTCTGGTGCCGGAACTCCATCGGGATCACCTCAAGAATCCACCAAGATCTTGAACGCTTGAGCTGATCGTAAATAGGAGACAATGCATCTCGGAGTTCCTCTTCCTCCTCCGTCCCTATAGGCCGATACTCTTCGAGCAACGCGCTTGCATGGGCCTCGTCCTCGGGACCAGGCGTATCGCTAGGCAGCGTTCGACGACGAAATGCCGATACAAGCCTTTTCGTCAGCGGTGGTCTTGGGGGTCCTGTTCGTATCATGGCAGATTCGACTGGAAGGGGCGGCGGTCGCGGCGTAACGAAGGGATAGAGGGTCGTGGGATCGAGACCTAACAGTCTTAGCCGCTGAGAATCGAACATGATTCCCGTGTTCGTCTTGAAGCATTCTCGAATCATCCATCGTAACGAGATTCGTGCCAGAGAATATCGCGTTGAATTCTTCACGGCCCCGCCTCCGACGTCTGTTGTTACTCTTTGTTCAATAGGCTATCTTTGTCGATCATCGAAATACGTACCACAATGACATCCCTAGGCATCAAAGGAACCAATCAGCAAAGATCCAAGATTTAACAGGCGAAGGCATGACTCACCGCGAACCACACTTCTTCAATATCGGTAGGCTTTCCAGAAGACGACGAATGGAGCCTTTCCATCTCGTTCATAAACTTTTCTTCCTGAGGGGACCATTCAATCTCTGACTCCTTCTTTTCTTCATGCGAGCCCTTGCGTGTCTTTATCGTACTCGACTGGCTCGTACCTTGAGGGATACCCTGCGTCGTCCATCTTGATGTTCCGAGTAACATTTCCCTAACGCTAGGTCTGTTCCAAAGGTTGGCCTTGAACTTGGCTCTACGCTCATCCAGAGAAACGGCATGACGAAACGTTCGAAGAATAGTGTTGGAGGTAGTAAACGGCAATCTTTTTGGTATAAGCCCCACTGAATCCACCGTGTCCCTGATATTGGTAAGCATCTCACGGAGGATTCAAATGTCCGAAGCGTACCATACGCCCAAAAATTCAATCTGAACATCATTAGAAAACGCTTGTTTGAAAGCTGTCGATTGATCCCATCCGACTTCGTCCGTCCGAGTGTACATCTTGTACGCGAAGGGAACCTGCTGCCAGTTATCTGCTGGGAGTAAGCCTACTTTGTGGATCATTCCGGCAAGACTAACGGGTTAACGTAACATCAGACAAATAGTCCAACACTAAATGATAGCGGGTAGGTTACCTCCTAGCAGTATACGCGCCGCGAGAGAAGCCAAAAATACATATGCGATCACCCGCGTGGTCTAGACAATTTCATGTAGTGCTGATTGCGGTTGAAAAACAATGCGACGAACAATTTTGCATTAAGAACTCGTATCCCGCTGAAAACGATATGTCAGCGCAGGGATGAAAGATAAGAGACGGGAAGGGTACCCATGACATGAGCATTAAGATCCCAAGCTATCATAACGTCAACAGTCTATCCACGACATTAGTAGTAGAATTCCAAAGAAATGGATCTCGTACCTTGTATATTTTCGACATGAAAGGGGTGGCGATTTGAGGTGACGTGTAGGTACCAATTCCAGACTAGAGAACGTTAAAGAAGCCATTCCTAAGCCATGCATCATGTCATACCTGATAATAAACCATCTGCTTCGAACGGTCATCCTTCTTCAGTAACGAGAAGAGCTGTACAATATTAGAGTTATCGGAGTCGAATTGATCTCCGGTTCCGTCAAAGCAAAGCACCAAAGTACGATGTTTGTGTTCTGGAGGAATGACTTCCGATATCATGTTAGGATCCAGGGTCTCTTCTTTGACTGGTTGCTTCCGCGATGCCGTGGCATCCGCTGGGTCAGTCGTTTGCGGTATGTCGGCAGCCAGTTGCGGAACAACAAAAGTCCTTTCGGCGTCTCCTACGATGGTTTCTGCAGTAGACAGTGCGGTAGGACCTCGTTCGTGATGTGAATCGGTAACGACTGTGATCGTCATGGTTGAAGAGAGCATGCAGGGTTATGGAAGGCGTGCATCAAAAAAGGTCTCTTATGAAAAACTTCCCAAGTACTCGGGAGCCGTTTGGCCCGGCATTGGCTGATGGACAAGGATTAAAAAGCGGTGCCGAGGGCCGGGGTACGGGTACCTTTCCACAAAGCCGACAGTTTGGAAATTCGATCATCGAGCCCTCTACCATAAAGAATGGCGGAAAAAATAAGGACGAAAAGACGGGAAGACCACGAAATATACTCGATGAGCAGAAGTTGCTGAAAGTTATTCCATTTGGAGATTAAATTCCGGGTTTCAGCCTCTCTGGATTTTGCAGGTAGAAGAGAAGAATTATTTTGAGTTCGCTTGTCCTTGCAGGGTCAATGATCGACATTAGACGTTCGGCGCTCCGAAGGTGGAGAGCGATATTTAGGAGCGTGATGCTAAGATGCGACAGCACCGGATGGCTCGTTCCACCGACAAACTCGATATAGATGACTATGCGTTACACACTGGATTAAAACAAGCCGTGTTTAAGGTGCCTGCCTAGAAAGAATCAATATCAGAGTGTCCTAAGATGCAAGGGTAAACTTACAAACGTTTCGCGCTCCCGGGTAGAAGAGTACATCGATGGCCATGTGATTCAAAATTGACTTCTTTAATGATTATTATCCCCTGTCAAATGACCATCATCCCGGATCCATCGCTTTCCTCGGGAATATTCGCACGTTCGTATAGTTCTGAAGTCTGGGCAGCTTCGGTGGGGGATGAAGTGACCCAGTACTGCGCATGGTCCAAAAGATTGTATCAAAGTTCTTTGTCGAACAATGTTGGGTGGAGTCGCAGAGACTTCGGAAATATAACAGTGTCAAGGTTGGAGATTCCTCAAAGGCGCCATATGAACTCACCATTACTGACCAAGTTCGGACTGTGGATTTCGGATACACAGGATGATGAACGCATAATTTCTGGAACAGTCGGATACCGGAGAGCGAAACGTCGCAGGCAACAAACTGCGCGTCGTGGCATGCCGGTAAATTTGAGTCATCAAAGTCCATTGACATGTTTAGTCCGTAGACATGCTACGAGAGTGAAGGTGTCCTGAAAGGCGCGCATCAAGTCTGACTGCGGTGAAATAAGGATAGTGCCAGGGTGAAAAGACACGACATCCGGGAACGGTTCCAGGCCTGTAGCTTCCGAACAAGTCGAATTTAATGGTGGGAAAAGGGTGCTGATATCCCGCCTGGCTCATGCCTGCGAAGTAAGAGACGTTGTTCCGGAGCATTCTCCCGACGGAGAGGCAGGGTTGACCCTAATGTCGCCCGTGAGTTACAAAGCAATGAACGAAAGGAAACACAACGAATATCAGTCTCCGATTGCGGACGTACCATATAGATGTTTAACCGTCGCCCCTGCATCCAGAATATTGACGGTGATACGGCTCAGTCTGTCACAGAGGCGTTAGCAGCGTCTAGAGCCTCGACGTCACAGCAGACCTTGATACGCAGTTGGTGGAAAGAGAGCGGAATGAAGACACGTGTACTTACCGTCACTCCGGCATTTTCCGAAAAATCTCGCTAAGCGCTTTCAGGCCCCGGGAACCTCCCGCCAAGGTTTGTCCGGATTTTAGCATATTTTAGGCCCAAAAAAAGCGAAATCTTTGTCCGTAGATACCATATTTCAGACCCAAATTTTGAAACCTTGTCCGTAGTTAGCATATTTTAGGGCCTCTGGGGCCTGGAGGAATGGCACCTGGTGGAATCCCTAGTTGGAGAAGCACATAGCGAAGATTTATTGGGATCTGAAGGAAGGATGGAAGTGACACTGAAATTTCATCCGGAAAATGCAAGGCGAAGGACCCCAAAATTTGGCCTAATTTGGCCCGCGGCGGACGGACCGGCAGAAGCCTTGTCCGAGTTAGCATATTTTAGGTGCCAATCTTTGCATATTTGAGGCCAAAAATCAGGGTTTTTGCCGGACAGGGAGTTTCCCAGGGCCTGCGCTTTCGGCGCGTCAATAACTTTTATCTGTGCCTGTGTTCATTTCCAAATGCAATTTTAAGTACAATGATAGTTTAGCCCCAAATTTAGCTCGATATTTTTTCATATTTTTTACTTGCCGTCATCATCTCGTATTCAAATTCAAAAGACAGATCATAGAAACAACATAGAAATGGCGGAAGGAGCATGAGCGTCGTTTGTGAAAGTTCTGACACTTTCTCTTCCAGAAATGTGTTCTTAAAAGCCATTTAACATAGGCAAATATTATGTCGAGCTCTCACAGATACATGTCCGGGAGTCCCGCACGGTAGTCACCTCAGTAATCGCGGAGTATTGTACAGTGCATTCTCGCTTGAGATTGATGATTATGTTATTTTTGTAAGGGAGTCCTGCGATAGGGGCGAGGGGACTTGCAATATTGCGGACAATGGCATCTTTGATTGATGGTCACACTGAAGTTAGGTAAGTGGTTGAAGAAGAGCTATTTCGATCTTTGAGTTATGTAAAGCAAACTATCTTCGTCTTGCTCTGGACTTCAGTCATCGATCAACGCTGCTTGCGGACGATATAGATATGTTGTGAACTGTTGTCAATGGATAAAATAATGCACACGGACCAGGGTCATGCATAAGATTTGAATTATAAGGGGAACAATAATAAAAATGAGTAAGAAGAGAAAGTGAACCCTTGCCAACCTAACTTCGTCGAGGCTCACCGTCGTTGAGATGGCGGCCTCATTGACTGGTCAAGGAAGATGCCCAAAAGAATCATGTGAGTTTAAAAGGGCATAAGGTGGATGGAGACGAGCTTGCTGCTGGGGCCTGGGCCGAGTCATGCAATCTTTTTCTATCATTTACACCCGACTGAACGTCATTTGCATCTGAAGTAGAAATGCAACTATAAAGCAACTCATGTGATTCAACTCATAACTCTGCCCAATAATAGGGCTCTCTTCATCGATAAGTCTATTCGCCAACGTAAGGTACCGGTGTCAGATGTGTACAACGGCAGGCAACATAACTACCTCCCAACCGTGATTTCTCACTGATGGACATACTGACCTTCAGGTAACTACAGAATCGTGAGGAGAATTCCCTGCTGAACTTGGTAGAGGATCTCCATATGGAGTGATCAAGCCAGTGTATAAGAAAAACAAAAATACACCATCTTAGTCGTTCCTGTAATGGGAAGGAAATATAACGAGTAAGGCCGCAAGTAGAAAAGCCCGCTACCTTACATAAAACATATGTTCCTGCCTGCAAGATGTCTTGTGTAAAACACCATGCCCTACAAGCTCGTATAGAATTGACGCGTAAGGCAGTTAATAAAAAAACGCGATGATACCGGTGGACAAAATAGTGCGTGCACCATCTGAAGAGATTCGAACACATCGGGTACAGCACCTAAGAAATTGTAAGACAAGCCGAAATGAAGCATATAACCTTGCCACCATCGGGCTTCACATCGACGGTTACTCATTGTACGGGCCGGTCACAGGTCTAACTATCCACACCCTCCGAGAGGGACATTAACCAATCCAGCCCCAAACAGACATCAAAATCGATGCTTTCCTCTTTCATTAGAGCGATACGCGCCTGAAAGCTGCCACGTGAAGTTACAAGCAAAACAGTAGATGCACCGGAATGCGTTTTAGACACGGAGCGGGCCTGTTCGAGAGAGACACGATACGAAGGTAGCATCGAAGCCCATCAACGATACAGCAGTCGGAATCATTGTGGCGCGTAGCAAGGAAAAACGTCATGTCCCAGAATACGTAAAGACATCTGGTCCCGCATTCAAGAACAACAGTAATACATGTATGAGAATACAACGGCTGTTATGTCGGTAGCGGCGCAAGCGCCAGGTCCCCGATTCTTTCCAATTCCAATAATATAAACAATGTTAGCAGTAAACGTGTTTCTGACATCAAAAGACTACAGTTATGCAAGCGAGAGCGGACGCCGACGACAGTGAACTGAGCGTGCTGACAAACACGTTCCAGAAAGTATGCGGCTCGGACTCACCGTGAGAGAGTTGGTGGTGGAGGAGGAGCTTCTATTCTGATCACCGTCCCTAAGAGGGAAACTAACCAGAGTCCGTACTGCGCATGCATTACCTACCCAATCCACTATACTACGGTACCGAACGAACGTTTATATCTTATCAATGGAGTATTTTCGTTCACAAGCCCGCCTATAACGTGCATTTTGCGTAAAAATCATGACAAATTTAGCCCCTAACTTCACGAGTTGGCTCTTAGTAGGCCCCTCTATCGACTACTACTACTACTACTATCGTTTCCTCCTTATCTCGGAAAGAATCGGGGAAGGACATGGTGACCACGAGAACTGAAGTAAAAATAAACCGAACATAAATATGAGAAAAAAATAGAAACTCATGACTGTAACGAACTCCACTTGAATTTGAACAGATGACTCAGGAGGGCATGAAATTAAATTAGATTCACCGAATCTGCCGCAAAAGGCGGTGGCCCATTAGTGTTCTGTAGCAAGGCAACAGGAATATTTGAGAGTGCCATTTTGCGCCCCTTGCTCAGAGCCTTGAGGTCCTGAAGGCTTTCTCTAATGTTGTCAATACTTGGAGTTAAATGACATAAGATGAAATAATTTGATAGCATACATTGTGAGGTTTCCCAGCCAATACATCCTTCGGAAATGCCGTCGTACCTAAATGAAGCTGCTAACGAGAAGAAACAATGTATAAAGGACCACGCGGTACACTGAAAGATGATTGTAACGTTAAGCGCCCGCGACTGATGGTCGGAATATCGAATCTAACATTGGAACCGCCCCGCTAGGCAGGTAACAGAATGTGGGATAGCTAGCGGTTGCAGCACAAGGGCAACAAATATCAACAAATGTGCACCACGGCCTATGTCACGGAAGGGTATTTATAATGGGACCATATCGCTGGGTCTAAGAGAGAGAATAGGGAATCGCAAGTAATAGTCGCGGTCTGGCCATGAACAAACGGAGGACGGAAGTACTGCCCTATTGTCCACGTGATCTAGGACGACCCGGACCCGTGCAACCGCTCCCGAATCTTAGTGGCCGACTTACCACAGCCAGATTGCGATTATTTTTTCTCTTTTCGCCAATCTGAAAAGATTGGGGATCTTGACAGACTGCTATATCCTTGCTTTTTACTTCTATATTCACCGTCTGGCTAAAATGTATATAAAAGCCTTATAAAGCCCTTTGGCCGTTCTTCAGAATGAATGTTCATCGTCTCTGAAATGCCGCCTTACTTTCTCGCAGAGAATGAAGTTCCTCCTATTGAGAAATTTCTACGAGTTTATGCGCCGTAGAGTCCCTTCCCTCATCCCAATGCTCTCGATGGTCCCAAACCCCCAAGAGTAGAAAGACAATTACGACCTTGAAACCTAGACTCAAACGATGATAAGCGCTATGGCCAAAAAGACCGTGATATAAGTCTCTACATGCATACTGGCATATCGCGTCGCATCCCCCCGGCACAGCCCAGTGAAGGAACTCAGTGCCAGCAATAAGGTGATTGCTGTCGATTGTGAGGCGACGAGATAAAACAAAAATATGAAATGTAGCAGCGATTGAGATCAGGAGTCATGTAAGCGAGATGGGTCAGTAGCGTGAAAGCGTAACGAAGGTTATGATGTGAGCTATATTAGGGCCAACGATTCTGCTTGAGATTCAATCAGACAAAGCCTAAATACTCAGAGAAGACATAGGTTAAGATATGGCCAAACTGCGTCGCAGTCCGAGCTATTCCCCATCCACAGAATCCGGAATCAACCTCTTCCGTTCCAATATAAGCGCCGAAATCAGAATGTCGTCGAACGATTCCTGTCCTTCGGGCATTAATTCCAACTGGGCCAGCTGTCAGCCACGACGAGGTGTAAAATTCGCATATAAGATTTTTGGAGGTATTAATATGCTAGATGAGGTTGTACACTACAATAAAACGACTATATGAAGGTCAGTAAATTACTGAAAGACGAAATGGAAATGGTTCGGACCTGGCGATCTTTCCAGCTAATATTTCTACGCAAATGCGTCGGCTTGCATGTTTTCACGACATCTTAATGAGATGCTCCGCACATCGAACGTAAACCGACCCAGGGTGCTTGGAGTATCCCATTCTATCGTTTGCGTGAGTTATAATAGCACCAAAATACAAGATACTCACTCGAACTCCGCCACTAGCTCGCCATTCTCGAATTCTTCGCATCTGATTGCTATGCGGAAGCGATATCAGATCGTCTATTGGTGATATATGAACTCGGCATGAAACGGTTCGAGGTGACCGAGAAATGAATACGTGACGCGTTCAGTGACTCTTGACGGTGTATCGTAGCTGTTGATAATCATCAGGAAGTCATTGATATCCTCACAATGGGGGTTCGGTAGACTGAATCGCACCTTGGACCAAGGGGGGCATGACCTGTACATCTCCCGCGGATGTAGTGATAAAGGTCTCTCCGTTGCTACGATGACACGTCAGGGATTGATCAGTAATATTTTTGGTAAATGTCTTGCTCGGATAAGTCAGCAGGATACGGACAAGGCACAACTGCCGTCCGCGCTGTTGGAGGCCCACCATAAGTAGGTATCTTCGGGTTGACACCAAGCGACAGCTCTGATACTTCATAACTAGATAAATAGGCACGTTAGGACAGCTCAGTCACAGATGAGAGTCATTACAGACCTCAGAGGCAAGGATAGTACGCCGGTCCGGTGAAGAGACGACATCAAGGAGAAGGAAGAAATTGTACCGGGTCGAAGGCGACGCTGCCCTGGCCATCAATTATATGACTGATGGTGATGATATATTGGTTGCCTTGCTGATGTTCTTCATCGACATTGTTTTCAGATCAGAAATATGGACCTAGTAGGAATGATAGCGTGCTCACAACTGCTGTTCATGTGCAATACATGTGTGCCTTGACATTTTTTGCCCGGAAAACCTGCGGTTTGGGCGAGTACTGCAAAGTTTGTGAAGAATAAGTATAGGAGTTGTCCCTTTTGGTCGAAAAACATTAGTGCCTGCACATGGTCCCGCACAAACGAAGCACAGAGAGAAAAACGAGGGAAAATGGAAAGATGCGACTCGACATCAGATGCCGAAACGGCCCCTTGCGGATCAATATCGAGTTCCACGTGGAGGGCACGTGTCACGTTGAAGTCTTCACTTTGTTTTCGCGACGGCCATGTCTTCCACCTAGTGATGCAACGCGAGTATTATCTTCCTGAAAGTCCCCGATCAATAATTCCCCCCTCTTGTTGAATGAATTCATCCGCAATCCTCGTACTTTGTACTTTTGCCTGAAGAGTTTCGAAGGGCATTTCACAGATGAATCTCCGGATCATTTTCCGGCCTTTTCATTTCTTCAGCAGTTCATTTGGGAGCCTGTTGTGAAGTAACTTCGGAAGTATATGGACTTTGGACGTGCTTTCGACGGTAACTGATGGGTTTTGTATTTTTTTGCCACGCTTAACCGATTGACAGGGATACGCTGTAGAAAGCATATGTACGATGCACACATGCTCGCATATCTTTGGCTGGATGGCGCGAATCATACCCTACTTGACGTACGACTATGGCTACGCAGCGAGCCCTCGATATAGGATACCTCAAACAGCACCTCATCAAACCAAGGGCTATCTGCATGTCATCTTAGTACTTAATGACCCTGTCACTAACAAACAGACCATAGAACTGTTCTTCAGGCCGAGAAAGTACCTCACGGCGACGGAGAATCCTCGACGAAACTGAAATGAACGGATACGTCGGCAAGGTCATCGCGAGACTTGTACCATGGCTTCCGGCCGACATACATCCCAGCGTTTCAATATCCTAATATATTCGACTGTGTTGTCGTGGTATAGCATGCCTCACAACACCACGGATCCTGCATGTCCATGAGGTCGCGCGAGCCTGTTCGTCCATGGCAGAATCCCGGTCCTGGCGGTGGTTATAACATTACGTGTGAGTTCTTCTAAAGTTCATTCCATGGAGACTTTTGAATTCACTTCTTTTGAAATTAAAATATGCAGGCGCGCTTCGGAATATGCCTTGAAGCGGGTAATTGGCCGGTGTATGGTGAAGGAATGCAGGGACGACTTGTTCCATTTGGTATTCAGGCCCCAACTACGTATGTCGTCCTGTCGATCGGAAGCATTTCTTTTTCTTCCTCCCATCATGTCAAAGAGAGGCAGGGTCTCTCTCGATGCAGTGGGCAACCCGTTTTTTGGACCGACGAATCTTCCAGGGCCCCCGGACGAAACTGAAGAAGAAAGGGTGAATCGATTAAAGCAACTACAGGAGGCGCAAACGGTGTCACGCCAGATTGACGAGCACCTGTTGGAGACGAAGAAGGCGCTGGAGAGACGCAAACGTGCAATTAAGATGCTTCTGTTGGGTGCGTTGTTTTGACGTTGTAGGTATGAAAGCCATGTCACGATAATTTCGCTATAGGTCAGGCCGAGTCAGGAAAAGTGGGTTATTCGTGAATTCGTCCAGTCGAACTGGCTCTTACGTCTCCTCCGGACAAGAGCACGTTGTTGAAGAGTATGTTCATATCGTACTCCGCTTCTTTTGCTAACCGAGTCGCAGATTTTCAGCTTGCCTTCACTCCCATTCAATTCCAAAACGAGCGTGGAGTGTGGAGGAGAATAGTCCAGCTGAATCTCATCAAGTACGTGTATTATGCATTCCTTCAGTACTCGTTCTTACCCTTTACAGTTCTGTGAAGATCATTCTCGACGCACTGCAAAGTGAATGGAGCACTGCAGACACGCCCTCGACTTCCCTAGGAAAAGAACACCGCCGGCTTCACCTACGACTCTCTCCTCTGCTCGTATATGAAACTGCTTTCAACGAGATCCTCTCACTGAACCCTAATGCGCGAGACATCTGTGTACGAGCCGGCAGTGGATGGAAATCGACGCTAAGAGGAGACCCTCCTCGACCCTCTCTGGACGAGCCTCGAAATCGAGAACTTCTCATTAGGAACGATCCAACGCAGGTCCTAGAAGCTTCCTCAAACGATATCCTCACTTTGTGGACCGACCCTGCAGTGCAGGACGTCTTAAACTCGCGTGGGATACACCTGCAGGATTCCTCAGGGTTGTAAGCCTCGGAGACACTGCATCTTGGCCGAGACCTAATTTATGTAGTTTTCTAGATGATGTAGCGAGGGTGACGAAGAAGGATTACATTCCTACGGAATGTGAGTATCTTGGTTGAGTCAACGAGGACTGATTTAAATGCGTTTTCAGCGGACATCGTACGAGCAAGAGTCAGGACTATTGGTGTCGAGGAGCATCATTTTGTCGCTGAATCAGGTAGGCAGTGGGGTTGCATTTTATGTGTATGTAAATTGGTATGACCTACAGGGCGCTCCATAGGGACAGATAAAGGATCCGAGTTCTTCATCGCGGATGTCGGCGGCAGTCGGTCATCGGTAGGTGATTCTGCATTTTCGCGTATGGGAGAAATTTAATGGAATTGCAGCGTGCATCGTGGATACCATACTTTGATGATGGTATGTATATACATAGCACTATCTCCGCATTTTGCGGGTTACACTGATTTGGTCTTGCTAGTGGATGCAATTCTGTTCTTAGCGCCATTGGCCTTTAATCTATCCCTGGAGGAGGATCCTCGAGTCAATCGTTTGGTATGTGCTCCCGATCACACTCCTTTACAATGATCTTACAGTTGTTACAGGAAGATAGCTTGCAGTTATGGCGGGCGATATGCGAGAATAAGCTTTTGGCGAATTGCACACTGATCCTTTTCCTCAATAAGGTGGATAGATCATTATATCGGCAATCCTATATCGCTGATTCGGCCTTGGCAGAAAGACATACTTGCAAAGACGTTAGCATCGGGCGTTTCAGTTAAACGATATGTTACAAGCTATAACGACCCAAATGACGTCCCTCACGTAACAAAGTGTGAGCTCCTAGGCGCTGAATATTACTCCGTCAGGCTCATACGGGATAATACTGCAGATTTCAAAGACAGATTTAAGAGTTATCACGTACGTTGTATATATATTCACTGAGAAACGACTCTTCTAATGGATACCTCGTCTTAGAGAAAGCTGTCATTGCACCCTCGACCCTTCATATCCTACGAAACGTCTGCTATTGTATGTGGTCCGCCTCTAAAAAAGACAATCCTTTAATGCTTAATTTTAGGATACACGCGCCACAAAGGCCGTTGTACTCGCAGGTGTGTGCTTTGTTTTTCTTCATCAAGCCGTTTTATTTACCGTCTCCTTCGCAAGTGCACGACAGTATTATCCGGAGAAACCTTGCCAAAAGTGATTTAATATAGTGTAATCTATCATGTATCTGGATTATTCCATATTTCTGGAGTCGACCTATCAATTACAAACTCCTAACCGCTTTGATATCTGATCTAAGTATTTCGCGCTCATGCCCCTCTCTATGGACAAGAATCAACATTTGCGAAAATCTTTGACTACCCCGCGTTCCTTAAATAATACATCTCTCTCTCCCGACAAATGCCTATCTGTTTGTCCATACATGAGTACCCTCTTGGGTAAACAATGGATACTATCAGTGGCCTGATAGTGCATTCGGAACGCTGGTCAACGTTGGAGTTGACCTTGTCCGTAAGAGAGCTGTCTGAACTGTTATCTCTAGCTTCATCCCAAACCGTTCAATTGACGAAACTCCGTGTCGGTGGCTATGTGCCCGAGATCAACCACACACTGTTGAATAACCTCTTCTCTTCATCGCCTATTGAAGAAGCCCATCTTTGGTTCATTCCCTATTCGTGTATGCTGATCAACGTGACGGAGCTATGCAAGTTTCATGTATATTCATGTGACCCTGCTAAACTCCATAGGGGCGAGGAGAATTCTGCGTTCGACCCTTGCGTGCGTGCGTTCAACTGCGTTTGAATGCGTTCAACTCGGATGCGTTTGCGTTCCTTCGATGCGTTCACATGCGTGACCCGATAATAGTTACTGTACCTTCAAGAATAATACTATCATGTGTATTTACATGGCGCACTTACCTACTTTTGATGTATTTCCTGGACATGTATTGGCAGCTTTCTATGACTTAGAAACAGTGTGAGACTATCTTGGAAAGCCATAAAGGCGTTGATTTTGTTGTAATATGTCTTAGAACATAATCCTCCTACTTCAGTATCATTTCGTGTTGAAATAGTTGTGAACCCTTGCATTTTTTGGACTTTTGGTAAACCAAACAACTTGTGTGCACCTCTCGAATCGACGCAACTCACTTACGAAACTCAAAAATAAGTCACGCATGCGTTAATAAATCGAACGCGAGCGTCATTGTAATAAACGCACGCGTTGCCCAAACTAACGCATGCGTTCGAGACAAAACGCAAACGAGAACGCAAATGTGACGATGGTTGTGACGGCGTGTCACGTTTGCGTTAGGCTGTGTTGAACTCGAGTTGAACTGTGGTGGCTTCTCCCGTTGCACTTCATATGTGCTCGGCTACATTCTCCAAGCTTAAGAGAGATTCTCCAATGGATTCCTGCTGTATATATCTCAATATAATTTGCGGAAACCTACCAAGATTTAGCTGAGACGCCTTGAACTGGTTCTCTTTCCTCCGATCTGTTTATATTGCTCATACTATTTTCATACCTCTAACATAGTCCAATATCCATGGAAGCCCTCGAGGCGTGTCTTCTGGAGGGAAATATCCACATGAGTGATCAGGTGGGTTCACACTTAGCCGGGGAGAGTGTCCTTCTACGGGCTGAGACCTTGTTCCCATCAAATTACGGTGCTGAGATCTTTTATGAGTACGTTATACTGTTACATTCCGCCTATTTGATAGCTAAAGTACATAAAAGCATTATTACGCACGAACGCATCTTTGTCGAGTTCGCACACGCAAACGCAAGCGTGACAAACGCATGCGTTTAAACGCAAACGCACGCACGCGAACGCGAACGCAGAATTCACCGTGCCCACTCCATAGCATGCTACAGTGCGCGCAACATCTAGCCGAATTCGTCATAGTGCCAGCTCCACCTCCTCGTGATTTTGTCAAACCAACTGTGTACACCCATATATCCCACGCCCCTCTCCAGAGACTCTCGTTTGTCGTTACGGTGGAGAACACACATCGCATAACCAAAATCCCAGTCTCTTTTGACTATGTCACTCTACCAGCACTCGAGCGTTTCGGTATTCTAGTGGACGATGACTACAATATTGGACCAGGATCTTTTGAAGCCATCGAGTACTCCCGTCTGACTGATCTCCTTTGTCGGTCTCGGTGGAATCTGATCAGTATCACCTTGTCCATACCCGTCCCCGTTGAGGCGTTCCTTGTTCCCATCCTTGCGCAATCCCCCGCCATCCAAAAACTCGACATCTTCATCAATACATCACTAGTAAAGGACATCCTCAGAGCGTTGACCTTTGAGCAAGGGGTGGCCTAACATCTAACAGAACTACACATCAAATATGCTCCGGGCCACAGGGCGATAAGAGGTCTGCTTGCGAGTGCGGAAGAATTTCATGCAATGGTCGTCTCCAGATTGGATGGTGATCATTGTTTGGAAACGTTCAGACTAAAATTCGAGCCATCATGGAACTTCCGGCTGGGATTACTTATTCCAGTAGTCTCAGGTTCAACGCCCTGCGAACTGTTCAGGATGAAGGAGAAAGGGCTGAATGTCGAGTTCTTATTTAATGGGGAGGATTGTCTCGTCGATGAAGACGCACGCGTTAGCTCCTTTGAATCATCCTAAATCTGCCTATGCGGACGTTTGTACTCTTGCGCCTCGTAAATTACATCTGCCTCAGTCTTTCTCCCCGTCCTTGAAGTAACTGGATCACGGGATCCTCAAGGAGTCGCCACGAAATAAAAGAGTCATTGTGACGCGCAGGCTTGGTGGTAGGCCCAGTCCGTGGCCTTCTTCCGTTTTGATGTTCATGACTCCGTCAAAGATATAGGTGTAGAAGTGGTCATGATTATAAGCGGAGACCCGAACGAGTTACTTAGCGCAATAATTAATCAGGAATATTATACTGCTATCGTGGCTGGGAAAGTGCTCCTGCATCGCTGATGGTGATTCAATTGAGGCGGTGTGATTGTTTATTTGGGAGATAACGTTCCTTCCGGTCTACATCGAAGTTTGAGATGTAAATGAAAACGGAATCGACGACAGTACGGTTATTGGCAACTTGCCGAACGACCAACTGGAAGCTGCTCAAAGTCGTCTTACCTAGTAATATTTGCGGGAATGGTGCTCATTCTCACCAAGACTCCCAGCTGACCTATTTTAGGCTTTCCGGGATTACGCGTCACATGCCGTGTCTTGGCCTTCTCCTTCTTTCTGCTTGTTTTCTCTCTTTGCTTGACGACGGGTGTGTCAGCGTCTGACCAATGGCACGGTAAGATGTACGGTGCACTTACATACTAATGATTAGCTACGCGGATAAATTACATCCACCGCTATGAGCTTTATAAGCAGACGACGCCTACATATTCTTCAATATCGCCATCATGACAATCCTTCTCACAGGCGGAACCGGAAAGACAGGCAGCCGCATCGCTCGTCTTCTCCAAGATGCAAACCAGCCCGTCCTCCTCACCTCCCGCAAAGGCATCGTCCCCGCACCTTTCAAAGGCGTCAAGTTCGACTGGTACGACCCCTCAACCTTCGAGGGTGTCTTCGCTGCCGACCCGAACATCGACCGAATCTACCTCATCTCGCCTGCAGCCAGCTTAGATGTCTTCACTCCGATGAAACCTTTCATTGATCTAGCAGTGCAGAAGGGCGTCAAGCGTTTCGTCCTCCTCAGTGCGTCAACGATCGAAGCCGGCTACCTGGGGATGGGGAAGGTACATGAGTACCTGATCTCGCTCAAGGTCGATTATGCCGTCATTCGTCCTTCGTGGTTTTATGGTGCGTTTCAAGCACATACGAAGAGCTGGTGGACTGACGTCTGAGTTTTCAGAGAATTTCCTGACGCTCCACATTGGGAGTATCAAGGGACAGAACACGATTGTGAGCGCGTGTGGGGACGGGAAGATTGGGTTTATATCTGCAGATGATATTGCGGATTTGGCTGTTAGCGCGTTGACGGACAAGAAAAGCCATAATACGGACCATGTTCTTGTGGGACCTCAGTTGCTCTCTTACGACGATGTGCGTCCTTTCATCTTGTTGCTTATTTCCCCATAGCTGATTGTCGAACCAGGCTGCTGCGATCTTCACAGAAGTGCTTGGCCGAAAGATCACTCACACACGTATTACTGTCGAGGAGCTGAAGACGAAGTATCTCTCTTTTGGTCTTCCAGAAGATTACGCCACGATGCTCTCGTCTTTGGAGGGCGAGATTGCTAAAGGTGTTGAGGAAAGGATATTCGTTGATCCGAAAAAGGTTGCTGGGAAGAGGACGTTGAGGAGCTTTGTGGAGGCAAACAAGGATAGCTTTTAGAGCGGTCTGTCGTGGTATTCAATGACTGTAATTTCAGGGAGATAGGAATGTACAATTGTGAAATGATCACCGGAAGAGTATGCTTTTCCGCTCGCTCAGTGGGAGACCTACAATCCCGACGATTAATCAAAGAACGTTGGGAGAAACATGAACGTTCAATTACCATCACAGCAATATGTCCGTTTCCCTGTCGAACACGGCACGCGAGCATGTATCGTCATGGAAAATCATCAAACTTCGAGTTCTGCATGTTGTCAGATTAGCAGACCAAAAGGTACGCGGCATTGTCCTAGAGACAGTTGTCATGGACCGCATTCCGTGGAAATGGATTCTTCGGAGGCTGCAGCATTGCACATTCCCTGGAAAGAAAAGGAGGTCATAGCTTGTTCCGTTCAACACAACTGTGTGTCCGGAAGAAAGACCTTCAGAGAGCACGTAGCTTCGTTAAGCAAAGAGGAGGTGCGATCTCTGGACTGTAAACGTGAGCGATAACGAGGACGCTGTGCCAGATTCTCCTTTTTTCGAGGACCACATAGTTATAGAGATCTGGAAGTGCGAAATCAGGAGTGCGATCTGTTCCCAGATTTTAGATTTTGTTTCAATGCCTATCGTTCGTTATTTGAATGACCAAACGTATATCCACTTTCGACGAAGCGCAGATTCAGGCTACTTCTTTTCGAGGCGACGTCGAACGACTTGAAACGAGACGGAAAGTTTGTGTACTTATCCATCCCTACTAGGTGAAAGAGTCAAAACATACTTGAACGTGAGGCCCGTCAAAGAAATTCTCATACAAGCCGCCGGTCTGAGGCAGGAAAATGGTCAGCGAACTATCTCGCCTAAGGATATAAGCACTTGCCGAGGCGTAGGAGGAGAGCGACATACAGAGTGAAGGCTGCTCGGATTAAAAGTCAGAGTGCATTGCTGTGGTAATCGTCATCGATCTCATCGGATAGGTGACAAGGTATAAACACGATCGATTAGTCGATAAGTACATGAAATATACCGAAGGATCTAATCATATCTGGAAAAAAAGAATGATGCTCGAGGACTATGATGACCTCTAGGTGTCAATACTCGCTCTGAGTTCACGGAGTCGTTCCCACCAACGAGCAGAGTCCCTGCACCTAGTAACACTAGGACGAAATCTGGCTCACGTTCCAGCTGCAGGCGCGCCAAAGTCTGCAGAGAATTCAGTCCATACACGATAGAGAACGGCAGAGTGCGCACCTCATCTATTGACGCCACATAGAAGTTCTGATCTTCGAACGGTTCCTGAAGCTCGTAGTGACGTGATTCGGGAAGTCGACTGCAGGGCCATGCTCCTTCCGGTGTCGATATTTCTCGCAGTCGCAGACCTCTGAGCTGGTCAAACTGGCCGTTATAGAATGCACACAACAGCAGTGATGAATGTCGAATACCTTTGTGGAGTTTTGAACGAAGATGATAGGGGAACGGCAATTAGAGTTTCTCCTCGATGGACATATCATATCCATTATGTTCCACAATGCCGGTGATGCACCAGTAGGCACGTTCGCTGCGCCGAGTCGCAGCGTTGAGAGTCGAGGCAGTGATTGTTAAACGAGAATCGAAATGACAGATCATGGATGTAGTCGGTATAGAATTTCCCTTTTCACAAAGATTAGTTGCGCGTATGTTGTAGACAGATTCAACGCACCATACAGTCCTAAGCTTCCCAAGATCAGATATCCAGAATACATCCAGAAACCTCAGTGATGCGTGGCCATTCGCATCAACGGCCAGAACGAGTTGGAGTTTCGAATGCTTTCGGCGATGGCGCTGAGAGCTCCAAGACTTCATTTAACATTGATAACTTGGATATTGCGGTAGAATAATCAGGTGAGGAGAAGAGAATCGTGGAACGGCCAAGCTAGATACGAGGGTCATGGTAGACGGAGAAAGAGATGACAAAGGCAACTAGAATCAACAAGCACCAACAACCGAATTGAGCCTTGCCGGATTCGGCATATACCGGCACGTCGGTCAACACGGATCAGTGCAGAATCAGCGCTTCAGATCCATGTAACGAAGCAGCATGACCATCTTAGCACCGATAGGCGACTGTCTCGGAGTGGAGAAATACATCAGGTACACTTTCTGTCGCTGCCGATCATTTCGTCGTTTAACCAAAGGACCGTAGTACTCGACATTCAAACTTACCTCCCTGGGAAGGCAAAGGTGTATACTCGTCGTCCGGTATTTACAGTTCGATGACCGTAGCTCTCTATGCGGAGCGTGTGATATTTCTTATTTCCAAGCTCGAGATCCCCAGAACAATCAAGACAAGTAAATGTCGGAAGCCCATTAAGAAAGAACCTTTCATCATACTTGGCTGAAAATGTCCGTTATAGCGTAGTCACCGGGTCTATTCTGCGTCCGTAACAATGTACCACACGGTTTTACATCCTTTAATAGACACGAACAATGGCAGATTTGGAGTGATGATAAGCCTACGCCCGACGACGTGGGTGAGCTACCCTCTTTTCTCTTTCAATACATACATATTGGAGTTTCTATGCTCAAATACTCGGATCTTAACGGGCTACATCCACGCTACATCCACTGGGAACGGTCACCTTGTAGTTTCTAATTTCTCTCATCCGCGCCATCACTTTGTTGACATCTACCATAGATTAGGAACAGGAATGCAAGCGAGCCCCTGAAGATACCACCATCCGAAAGTCTTCAGTACGCCACTAAAGCCATTCGCTGGGTTTCTTTCCTATAAAGGCATTCCAGTGTCGTGCAGAACTTACCTATTCCAGGTATCAGATTTACAATTGCTTCCCCCGCTCGCCCTTCAAAAACGACTCTAGTACGGGCCAGTTTCAAGAACAAATGACGGTCTCCTCGTCAACGTTTCTACGTCAACATTGCAAAGCATCACCTTGTCTGCGCGACGCGGAGCTCGATTATACGGCTTGCTTTCTTGCGAAGACCCTCGGAGATAACGTTCAAATACAAGATTAATCCATGCGCTGGTCAAACGAGTGAATAATTCGTGAGTCCTTATTCTTGAACGTATTGGACCTCTTCCTCTCTCAGCTAGTATGTCGTCTTCTCGAATCTCTTCACTACACAAGCCCCCGAAACGCTAGCAGTTTCCGTCTATGTCCCTTTACCTATACGTTCAATAGAGATACCACACTTCCCTTTTTCAAATACCGGATGCCTAGACAATGCGAGAAATATTTGCTATTGCATAGGTGTTTCCGTCTCTTTCTACAAATCGATCACTGACTGGCCGTATTTCCCTAGAAGACAACCAACTTCAAGCTCCTAAATACAAATCGCCCCTTCGCCTTGCCAACGGAGATATAGAACGGCAGCAATATATGAGTCAGATCGTTTTGCGGGTTATATCCGGCCGATGGGAGCGTATTTGAGCAAAAATACTTTGTGCTTACTTATAGTACTCCTTTACTAATTGATTACATCAACCTCAGCCCAGAAAATGGTTACTCGGGCAGGGCAGATACGCCAATTTCGCTATCAATGTCTCCTTAAACACGTTTTACCAGCACATCCACAATATTGAATGGTTTAGGCGCTTATCATGTCGTGCGGCAGGGGATAAGGGCGATGATTCCGTAAGCGCATCAGTCGGAGATTCTGAAGGTACTTTATCCATCAGTTGTGAGATTTTGCGCTTCTCATGACCCTGACAATCAGTCACCGTTCGGGTTCTTGTATGAATTTACTTACGTCCTTACTTATTTCCCTGGTAGGTCTAGTAGTATATAAGGCTGTAGATTTCGTAGATAGTCCACATGTCGCGTTTGCCACAGATGTAAACTATTTTTGCCACTCACTTCCTTTGAGAATGGCCCATGGTTCTAACATCAGTCTAGGGTCAAATTGTCGTAAATCAATGTGATGCAAACTATGCTATTGTAAGGGCATAGCACATGCGTTACCGGTGAGAAACCTCAGGGACACCTACGTAATGAATTCGTTAAACCTTGTAGAAGTACATCACCCTTACGAAAATTTATCGATGTATGGGCGTAATGGCGTGCAAAAAATCAGAGGGGCACAAGTCGTCCGTTATCCGTTCCCAAGTTACTTGTAAGTGCGCAAGTTTGCGTTCCCTCCCACAAGTTAAGCGATTTGCTACGGAGATATACACATCGGCACCAGTTATTACCATACACATTTGAATAAGGTCTGGGTGGCAGGTCCGGAGCGGGATGAAGTGGTTCAGTGGCGGGCCGACATTATTTCGGTGGTTAGTATTCCCTCCATTGCCGTGGTGGACCGCATTCCTTCAGCTTCTTATTCATCCGCTTTACCTATTTCCCATTACGTTTGACATGATGAAATCAGATTTGAAGTTACTCAGTAGCTGGCTATCCTCAATGCTCCAAAGTAAAGGTGTGCATACCGTTTATTCCGTTTGAGAACTGGAATATATTTCGACATTGTCCAGTTAATCAGAGATTCAGATGCTCTATGGTCGGCATATTGCGAGCTCGTGAAGATTGAGCTCCGAGTCAGTGAGAACAAAATTATAATTTCCGGGGAAGTCGAGGCCTCATAATATGGCCGGCTGAACGGCGTAAGTGCCATACAGTGATATATTCAAATATCACGGCCTAGGTCTTCTTCCCAGACTATCGCCAATAGCCAACTTGTGTAAAAAAAACTTAACTTGTGAGAGAATTTCAGTAAACTTGGACAGTAATAACAAACTTGCAGCCGGGAAAACATGACTTGCGCCTAGGTGATTTTTTTTTGCACGCTATTACACCCATACCGCCACTTCCTTTCCGGCAAGACTCGGGAGTGGCAATATGGGCGACGTTGTTGCTCCTCAACGTTTCTGTGCTAGCACACTCCAGACTAAGGTCAGCCTCCCGCATCCATTGCCTAGCCCCACGCGCCACACAGCCCGACGTTGCACGTTACCAGGACAGTCGGATATGATATTAAAATATGAGTTTAGGCCCTGGGCTGGAGTCGTCGACGTCGAACTAGCGAAGAGCGAATAAATCACGAGTCCGCTGGGTTCGGGGCGAGTCATCTTTCTATCCCACGGTTTGTAGCAGAAAGAAGTCCAACAGTTATGCTGTTTCGGTACAAGCCGTTCGGAAATTTCCGCTCCTATCTTTCGACAGCGCGGCCGTGTTTCCTTCCTACCACGAGGAGTCGAGCATACGGACCTTCTTCAACTATGTACGATTGTATGTACGGTTGTCTGACTTTCGATGACTCATATCCTCATTCTGCTATTACTAGTGGAGGATGTCCTCAAGCATGAGAAGTTAAAACAGGTGAGCACGTCAAGACGTGTACAGTAATCAGAGAAATGATGTGTTACAGACACCTCAGGAGTATGCGAGTCTCCCAGAGGTGACACTCTCCGCCCTCGAAGAGACCGGCCAGGCAAATTCAACCATCGTTGTACCAAAACAACGGTCCTATACCGGTAAAAAGCCTGTCATAACATCTGCTCTGGCTAACACTTGTTGCGCTGACCTTGGTGTCGATGGAGTCTTGGAGAAGCTCAACGCTGCACTCGGCACGTCATACACGCCGAAGACACCCTTCGAATGTGACGTCCTCCAAGTGTCACCCATAACGACACCCCGCTCAGACACAGGGTTCTTAGGGCCGACGCCCCTACACTTGATTCTTGAACCCTACGTCACACGAAATGAAGACTTTGGAACTGCCTACGCTCACTTGCGCCCCCAATGGTACGACCGTACTACCATTCAACGTTGCAAAGAAACGGAGGACCTTGAGATGCGACAAAATGCGGTCATCAATGACACGATGGTCAAAGCATATACACCTCCTCGGCGCCTCTGGGATCTGTATGCTAATCGTGTTGTCCCATGGTGGGTCGCCGATAACGACTCTCGGGGAATATCACATGCCTGGATGGACGATAAGGATCTCAAAGGGGAGATGACACCCATTAATGGACACCAATGGCCCGTGCCCATGCCGAGAGATGCCGATCTCAATCTCATCCGGATCGAGATGCTGAACCTTGGCGCAGAGTATATCTGGTTGGACGTTCTGTGTTTGAGGCAGAAGGGTGGGCGGGGGGAGCATCTGCGTGCTGAGGAGTGGAAGCTCGACGTACCCACCATTGGATGGATTTATTTTGGGCACTACGTGGTGTACTACTTGAGCGGGCTCGGCCGTCCTTTAAGATTTAAACCGGGCGACTTTGAGAGTAACCGATGTTGGTTCAGGCGGGTGTGGATGCTACAGGAGTTTAGCACGGAAGTCTTCTTGAGTAGCGAGAGTTCAGGGCTGGAGTTAAGCCAGAAGGAGACCATTGGGGGACAGACTGACGATCACGGAATCATGGGAGAGGAAGAACGAAGGAGGTTAAATGAAGAACTGCGATCACTGATGCAGATGCGCAAATCCCACTCTCTGTAGGATACCCTGTCGCTAATGCAGAGACGGGTGTCAACTAATCCTGTGGATAAAATCGCCGGGATGATGTTTCCTCTTCGAACAGAGTATAGCCCAATCTACGATGAGAGACAGTCAGAAGAGGATGCATGGATAGCATTCACAAATGTCATGGATAGGCATCTTCTGTCGCATTTGTTCTTTGACTTTCCTGAGCCTGGAAACGGAAGTAAATGCTGGCGGCCATCATGGAAGCAGGTAATGACAGAGACACTTCCATCACATCATTTGAATCTATGGCCCATAGGGGTTATCAAACTGATGGAGGGAACAGAATCTGAATTGTACTGTGGACCCTGCATCGAATCGGGTTATGTGCAGGGACTGGCAGACGTTTTATCCGACGGTTCGATCCGACAGGGAGAGTTGGTCGCGAAAGATGATATCGGAGCCACACACACGTTCAAAATTGTTGCCGAGCATCAATACCCAGTTCCGGATGCCTCGTATACACTGATAGGCAGTGGTGGATATGATTATATACCCGAAGAGCTCGAACCGTACGTCATGAAGTATTGGGTGCTCGGGACGACAAGGCAGAACGGGAAATTTCAGAAATTTTCGGTGTTCAGGATGCTTGATGACGAAGAAAAGATGAGGCTTCGAGAACTTGGAGTTGCAAAGAGCGATATTCAAATGTTTCTTTGTTGATTTAATCGTGTTTAACATTTATTTGTTCTACGTCTATTTGATGGAGGTTCGACAGCATAGTTAATAATACTAGGATTGTCCGGGAGTATTCAGCGTCTCTCACATTTCTCTTATGTCCTGAATTTCACTGCCTCCCGCGTATCATAGAAGGACATTATTTTTGCTCATGAACAGTTCCTTTCCCATCAACTAGTTAGTCATGTTAATATACACGTCTCCTCGACTATTAATTACTTGCGGATGTCGGTCTCGCATGTGCCTGGTCCGAAATGAACCACATTTTGTAACTCCTTTGAAACAGTTAGATATATTCAGATCTGGTAATCCAAAGTTTACCACAAGAAATTCGATGAAAGAGCGAGTGAAATTTAGGGGAACGGCCGGATCAAGGACATTCAAATATGAATAGAGTGCGCCATGCATATCGCGTCACTGATCATAATATTTCCAAGCCTTGGGCAGCCATTGAACATCAAATTTTCACCATTAACAAGTGATGTGATTGCTCGAATGAAATAGATATCAAATTTACCATCCTTTTTCTATTAGACTTGTGGATTATTCTCATTGCTCCAAGGGTGGAAAAGTACGCGTTGAATTTTATATTTCTGAACAAGACAACGGAAAAAATGACGATCCAGCTAAAGCCTTCTTTTCATGAAACGATCCTTCAATCGCTATTGACCGGATTATAAAGGATCAACACGATGAATAAAAAGAAGCGCACGCGTGAAAACGCGACACGTTCATCGTGTTGTTGAAGTATTGCAGCTCCGGCCGGCCCGATGCGTGGCATTCATTCACCTCTTCTGACTGCCACCACTGAATCTGACTCAGAAAAATTTAAACTAAGGTAGAAGTAAACGACAATTCAATCATGTAAACATGAAGAATGACTCCTGCCTGCAGAACAACTTCAAGCCAAGTTTTCCCATTACTCTTAGCCCTACTCACAAGTTTAGCATGCCCTGTGAAAAACCCCGTTACCTTTCATATTAGTATGGACACGGTACGGATTCGTGGGATTTTCGTTCTTATACCAGCTGACGCGATTATATCTCCAGTATACCTGCCCAAACTGTGCATTCGGCGCTATACACCATTACACGCCTTCCGATAATCCGAGCGAGCTACTTCAATTAGGATTCTCGACACTCGACGTCTCCCGAGACTCCATTATAAACGACATAGCCAACCTCGATCAGGAGCTTCAGCACATCGAGTCCCTTTACGTACGAATCCGTGACCGACGCGACAAAATCCTGAAGGAACTTGGCGATTTCAAGGGCCTCTTGGTGCCGATCCGTCATTTACCAAGAGAGATGTTACTTCATATATTCTCCCTTGCATCTTGCGGTCATATTTCATGCCATGATCCTTTCGAGATCACATGGTGACAGTCATCTTGATACAATGTGGCTATTATTACGCGCGTTAGGGGATGAACATCCTCCCCCTCTTCCCGTCGCTCAATATTCACCATTCCGTGATTTGTTCAGGATCAAGGACGAAGGGATGGACATCGAGGTTTTATTGATGGGAAGCTACATACTGCGGATCTGTATTATTCTCAGAGTCAAGGTTGAAGCCTAAAATATAGAAGGAAATGCGAACAATAATTGAATTTGTAGCAATCCACTGAACCTAGTTGCAAAATCGATACAAGTACAGGAATAACATCTCAATACAGGTTATGTTTCTTGTGCCACTCCTCCAAAGATAGCGGGCCATACTCTTCATAAATTTCTTTCTCTCCTTCGGGCAGGCGAACCCAATCGGGCTTGGAGTTGTGTTCAATACAAACCTACAGTCCAGTTTAGCATCATGGCCACAAAAACCAGGATGGGAATGAAACATACCATACTCTTCGGGGCCTGCAAAGGCGTATCAATCGCCCCCGCGAACGGATGGATCAATCCAGGCCTTCCAGAATCATTAACAACACGAAATAGCAAAAGGCTCAGCCGCACCAAGTCTTATCACACACCCAAAGCATTGTCGAACACTTGGAGCAAAAGCTTCTCTCGGACGTAGCGATCCTCTCTTTCGGGGTATCTCGGTCCAAAACGGCTTTGTAAACACTGGGCGGAGTAAGCGCCCATCCATCACCACGACGGCAACTTCTCCTCATACCTGATATACTCTTTCCCCTGCTGGATCTCCAGCGTATCCAAATGTCCCCCCAAATTAATACTTCCACCCCCGGAACCAGCGACTTTGCGACAGATAGAGCAGAGGCAGAGCTACGATATATCAGAACTTCGGATCAGTTGTTGCAACGGGCAACTCACCTGATACGGAACAGCAGTATTCGACTTGAGTGAAAACCTAACAGCACCGCAGTGGCAGCTTCCCTTGAGAACAGACATCGTGGTTGGTGGCTGAGAGAGACGAGGGAAAACGGTCATGAGATGAACATTATAAAGACGACATACGAGTGAGGTCACCTATGCGCTCACGAATGACGTAGCTACGAAGTGTTTAGATAAGAGGGCAGGAAAGATTAGTGTAGCTTACGGAAGGGTCTTTTCTGAACATTTTCATTCTGAAGAAGGAACAGGTGCTGTAGACGGCAGAAAGCAACACGATAATTGGCAAACACGAGTAGAGAAAGGAGAAAGGTTGTCAAGACCGAGGAAACAGAAACACGCTGACAAGATATAAATAAGGTTGCATACAAAGGTACTGTTCGTATAAAGTAGTGGAGTAGTTCTAATGCGTACTATTTGATGTTGTGTTCCAGGCCGCGGATGCTAATCGTGTTGTCCCATGGTGCGCGTGACACACCCATCCAATGGCCCATGCCGATGCCGAGAGATGCGGATCTCAACATCATCCGGATCGAGGTGTTGAATCTAGGCGCAGAATATGTATGGCTGGATGTTCTGTGCTTGAGGCAGAGGGGCAGGCCGGAAAAAGGGGGGGGGGGTGACAAAGGACAAAATTGAGTCATTAATAGAGCTTTTCCAAACCTACGCATTATTTCTCGAAAGCCATGAATGGAGGATGCACTCTCCGCCAACTAACTATAGCCACGTCAGCGGTTGCTTTCCCGTGTTGCTGAGAAGCCAGAAACGACCATAAGCGTATTGACTAAATGGTACATTGCCGAACTTACCTTACACCACCCGACACACCATAAGTATGCCTGTGGTGTAGCTGCGTCCATGTGTATGACCAGTCATGGATATTCGACCGGTCAGATGGATGGATGCATCGGTTACTGCCTTCCACCTTCGATTAGGCGATTCGCTATTATATACTTCCTACTCGTGCGCCTTAGGTGGAAGGAGGATGATTGCTCGGGAAGGAATACCATACGTGCTTGAACGACGCCGACATAATAACAGAAGTCGCATAAGCCAAATATGATAGACGAGAGAGACGTTCGATAGAGTACAAATACGTGAATATCCTAGGATTTCTTCAGAACTACGGTGGCAATGAGGATATGATTCGCACCGTTGGTGCTGGCGAAAAGACGCCTAAATCCGGGAGAGGAAATGGTATTCTGCGTTCTTTGAACGATGAGTGACGTGTTCTGAGAAGCATTAGCGCACGGGACAAGACGAGAACAATAACGCGCACGATGCCTATCGCATCCTCTACTGATTTGCAACAGGTGGTACCAAGGTCGCCTGTTGTCATGCTGAACGACTCGATGCGGGTTTACAAATTCGTCGTGCCTATGATAAGCAGGGGTAGGATACTGCCCTCGAGGTATGTCGATGCCCAATGTTCGTGATCAAGACGCAGTTTCATTGTTTGAACAAACAAACCCACATCCTCTTCTGATACCGAGGCTGAAGGGCAAAATCTTCAATAGGTCGGTATTAGACAACCTGAAACCATACGAAAATATTTGTGTGTACGTCTCTTAAAGGTGCACAATGGGTTGCGCCATTGAAGGTAGGTTCCTCTAGAATGAGACTCCTGTGAAAGCAGTGTTTGATGCAGAAAAAGAATAAGCGGGTATCTCACTCAAAAGCGCAAGAAGTTACCGAGGGTAAGGTGAAGGTAGTCGCAGGCAGAGATTGAGGATTTCATCGTGAGTGGATGGAAGCGGATTAAAACATTTATATTGCCAGGGCGACGGTCTTCGTCAGTCTCGCCAGACGGGCAAAAAGGGAGAAACACAATGAATTGGGAAGATAACTACATGAAATGTAGCGTAACCTCGATCTCTATTTAGAGAAAAATGAAGACGTTCGGAAACCAAGACGCGCAGAACGTCTCAGTGCCGCAGTTTGCCTTGAGTTCACATCGTTCCCACCTACAGGCAGAGTCCCTGTACCATCAGGAAGACTTGCCTCATACACTGGTTGAAAGTGCGCCAGTGCCTGCACTAGACTTTAGTCGGCGGAAGATAGTGAAGGGAGGATGCACACCTTAACCCTTGATACGTGACGCCACATACATGTTCCCAACTTCGAACGCTTGCCGAAATCCAGAGTGACATGATACCTGGAGTCGACCTATAGAGCCTGGCAACGTTCCTTGCGGTATCGAGATTGCTTGCAACCGTCCACCATAGACCTGGTGCGTTCAACTGTCTGCACAGGAATCCAGTTGATAAACGATAGAAAGAGGCAAAGGCGCACCTCACCCATCAACGCCACGATTCGAAGCTCTGACGTCACTCCGGGAATACGGAAATTTGAGAGAGTCTGATTCACTTGCCTATACCAAGATTTCATGTGAAAAATAGGACTTACTGATACTGATAGCCATACAAAAGGTTCAAGGAGGCTTTGAATCATCTCCAGAATGTAAAATATCGGATTTGAATCCAGGCTGCCGTAATCAAGTTCTGAAAGCAAAGATTCAGGAGCTCCCTGAACTAGTGACGAAAGCCTCCGTTCAGGGCAAAGTTTCGGCAGATGGTAAACCTAAGGTTTGTGGGTGCCCGGAACGCATGCCTAGACCTTTGGTACCCGTGCCGACATCGAGTATACCAAAATTAGGATTTGGGACCCCGTTCCGGCCCAAGATGCCCCAAACCTTAGTTTCGGCTTTGCCTAACACAGACACCGAAATAAAGTATTTCGGACGGGATTTCGGTAACACTCACATTTTTGGTACTGGTCTTACCGGAATATGTACCCAAACAAATGCTTTCGGCATTGATTCAGGGTAGCTGGGAACAATTAGCTTCGGCTCGAGTACCGGAATCTCGTGATCCATTCCTTGTTTCTTTGATTTGAGATAAATTTCACGCCATCTTGGAACTTTTGATATCGGACCAAATTTCAGCAAGTCTCATTCACTTTCCGAAAACTTAGGTATAGGTACTATAGTCAGGATGTCCTAAATTTCTAGATTTCCGGTGTGCGTACTCTCGAACGGTTCCGGAAGCATGTAGTGACGTAATTCAGGCAGTCGAACTAGCGCCCGCTCGACTTAGCTCCTGTACCAGGATGTCTCGCAGCTGCAGAACCCAGAGTTAGTCGAACTGAATGCACGGCCATTTCGAAACGCACACAAACGGCACTAGCGGTGATGGTTGACGAATATCGTTGTGGAGGACTGAGCACATACAAGGTGGAAGCGGTAGTTGAAGCTCGCTAGCTCAGTTTATCCACGTATTCCGAAAGTCAGAGAAGGGACGACAGGCATCTCGTTATACTGGGCCGTATCATAGGTGTCGTGCCAGTGGTTGCTGAACAAGAGAACAGCGAGACGATCACGGGTGTAATAGTATTGAACTCGCCTGTTTATGGGGACCAGTTTCACCTATGTTGTAGAAGGAGGCAATGCGCCATGCGACCGAGCTACCTCTATGTTATCATGATCAGGCGAGGCGAAGAAAATAGGGAAAGGGCCGAGAGTCATGGTGTGAAAGAGACGAAAATAGCGACTAGAATCAACAAGCACCAACAACAGAATTCGGCCATGCCGATGTCGGCAGAAGTCGGCACGGCTTACACCCATCATCAATCTTCGATTGCAGGATTTCGTCTTACAAGCCATACTCTTGTTATGTTCCATGCACGAATTACATTCTCATTTGACGCCTTCGTCTGACAAGCTCTCCTAGGAAGTCTTGTATGGCAAATAAAAGTAAAGTCATTCCTCAACTCAGCCCTGGGCCTCTCCTGTTTGCTCGCAAATCTAGTAGCTCGGTGGCATCGTCCATTCCTTCTCACAGCATGCAGAAGCATATACGAGGTCCTGAGACCAATGTTACATCTCTGATTTCTTTCCTTGTTGATTTACCAATATTTTTGACTGAAATGCGCGGTCCACGAAATCAACTCTACCTACGCACGTTATATGTGATACTTGCTTCGACTGGATGATAGTGCATTCCGACTATCCTTGAGCGAGCGGAAGAACATAGTTTTTTCGGCTGTATGAAGATATCCTTCTACTGCTCCAGGCATTGAACGTCACGACAGCCAGCTATTCCTGTTTGCTTCCACGAAGCTCCTCAATGCCCTCTTCCCCGAAACCTTCTTCACTGACATGAATGTCTCTTCCTCACCCCCGCCTTTATCATTCTCACCGTCCAAAGATGAGAGCATCACGGAGAAATCCTCTGGAAGACCGAAAGAGATATACCTCTTCTTCAATTCCTCGACAGAGACACGCGTGTGAGTAATCTTTCGTCCAAGTACCTCCGTGAAGATATCGGCAACCTGATCCAAAAAATAAGCTTCAGCCGTGAAATATACGCGAAGATACGGGACGCACATCATCATAAGTAAGCAGCTCAGGGCCCAGAAGAATATGGTCGGTATTATGGCTTTTCTCATCCGACAACGCACTAACAACCAAATCCGCAATATCATCAGCAGATATAAACCCAATCCTCCCATCCCCAGACGCGCTCATGATCGTGTTCTGTTTCCTGATGGTCCCAAGGTGGATCGTCAAGAAATTCTCTAGAGGTATTCCGAATGTCGGTCTCCCCTATCTGTTGTACATGCCTGAGACGCACCAAAGAACCATGAAGGACGGATGACTGCATAATCAACTTTGAGCGAGAGCAAGTACTCGTGTACCTTCCCCGACGCCTGTTGTCCAGAATCCAGCATCGACCCACTAAGGAGGACGAACCACTCGACTCCCCTCTGCACAGCCAGATCGATGAACGGCTTCATCGGAGAGAACACATTTACACTTCCTCCAGGCGAGAGAAGGTAGATCCGGTCGATACTCGGGTCGGTGGCAAAGACGCCCTCGAATGTCGATGGGTCATACCAGTCGAATTTGACGGCTTTGAATGGTACTGGGACGACTCCGCCTTTGCGAGAGGTGAGGAGGACGGGGTAGTTAGCGTGGTGGAGAAGACGGGCAATACGTAGAGCTGTCTTTCCGGTTCCGCCGGTGAGAAGAATTGTTATGATGGGGTGAGATAGTCGTGCGTGGGTTTGTGAGCAAGTCTACTTGTAGTGTTCTTCTTAAATAGCGAAGTAATGCCAGCATATCGGTCCGTCTTATTTATCCAGTGGCCGTGTTAGCGCTGGCACCTAAGAAAAGACTTCAACCCGCATATCTATTACCCAGACCGATCGAGAACACAGAAAATCGGATATAAGAGCATGAAGTGAGTAGGAATACTGCGCCGGCCCAAGGCACGGCCTGTGACGCGTAATACTCGGCAACGATGACATGCAAAGCCCCAAAACACGACATGCGTGCCGGGCCATAAGCAAAATCGACGTGTAATTGAGCACACCGTGTACGTGTAAGCTATGAAAAGGGAAACGGTATTCCAAGGCTTCTCAGATAACATCTTTCATCCGAATCACATTTATTTTTCAGGGGTATCTACAAAAAACGAACTCGCGAATAAAGGTTGCGTCAATGAAATTGGTATAGATGCATCACGGATTCCTCCAATGAAATCGAACTGAGCACCGGATAGCGAATTGGAAAAGAAATGGCACATGAGGCGATCTTTTCTGATTGCCATCAATTCTTTACTTACCGGATGACCGGATCTCTGAGACGCGACGCGACGCGTTTGTCACGTGTTGTTAAAATATCCCGGCTTCCGCCTATCATTATGATTGGCATTCATCAGCCTGTCCTTGACTCGAAAGCGATCAATCCTCATTTCTTTCCGGTTCCGTATAAACCATAATATGTCGACACCAGTCCTTACATACCTATAACATGTAGTCCCGTCCCTCGCGTTCCACTTGCATACCTTCCAATCTCTACACCGGACTTTAGTCGATACATGATAGTGAATGGCAGAATGCGCGAGGTTCTGACCTTCGAAACCTGTAGTGACGTGGTCAGGAAGTCGATGTATAGCTCCCGGCTATGTTCCCTCCGATGTAGATATTCCTCGCAGCCGCACGACATAGACCTGGTCGAAGCAAATCCATGACTGTTTAAAAAGGTAAATGATGCGATAATGATGATATATACCGGATACTTTTTTGAAGGACTGAAATGAGATAATGAGGAAGCGGCAATTAACCTTTACATCAATGATACATTCGTGTTCTATGTACCAGCGAAGGTCCAGGAGGCGTGTCGCTGTACTGAAACCAATATTTCGTCTAGTTGCAGGAGGATTCGTAAAATGACGAGAATACTACCAGACACCTCGCAGTTATATGCACCAATGGCCGTTGAATGGCTGAAGCCAGCAGCTCCGAATGCTGCCTTGAAATCATGAGAATTACCGTATCAGAATCATGCGAGGCAAAGAGAATCGAGCACGGTACGAAGGTCACGGTGGAGGCAGAGAAAGAGATGACCGCATCGGTTAGAATCAATGGGTTTGAAGCTTGCTTTACGCAAGTCTAATTGCGGCAAGGGCAGAACGGAGATTGGCACCGGGATGCCAAACAAATCAACTTATCCAGGGGACCGCCGGGATCCTCACAGTGCCGTTCGGGACCGCAGCGGTTAGAATCAATAAGGACCAGCAACGGAATCGGGACTTGCCGATCTCGGCATTTGTTGGCACGGTTGACGACGTCAACGGCAGGATTTGTCAAGGGTTTGCTCTTGCGCCGTTCCAAGGATGACCTCCGCTACGGTCATTCGACTCCATATTTAACAGATTGGAGAGGACACACTGTCATACATGTACGCGTGTTCAGTGCAGCATATACTCGTCATGCTGATTCCTTATTTAGACCCGATCCTGTTTTTCGTCGAACGACTATGCTTTTATGGGTGCGGAACATCGCTCATTGCTCTGAAGCTAATGGTTTCACTCCTCAGATGACAATACAGAATCCAGATATCTACTGCATGAGCCTGGGCGGGAGTCTAAGCAGGGTCTTACTGATAACCGTCGATACGAGAATACCTGCAACGATAATATAGGTTGTCTACGGAATCCTGGGCCACATTTTTTCGCTAACTTCGGCAACTTTTTTTTTTACGCGAGTTTAGGTGGATCTGACGCCGAATCTGCTGGGAAAACGTGCTACCTACTGGTATATTGTGTTAATTTCGCTCCATCGTGAGATGAGGTACTGTAATCAATGATGGGAGCTCGATCTTACTGATTGAAATGAAGTATCAGGCTTAGATGTTGGCTTAACGTCTTAAACCTGTAGCTGAGGTTACTGTATGTCGTTCCTCCTTATATACAAGATGTGCGTATACATTTTGGTATTCAAAGTCGTATCCCGACCTACACGAATTCTTTCAGTGGAGTTTCGCGTGGATTATCCTGTTGTACAGACACCAGAAGAAATTGTACAGCTCGTTTCGTGGAAGATTATCGCCGCTATTATTGCCTGTGAAGACGATGGCTCGGTGATGAAGGTGTCCTCTGCCATCTAGACGTCTCATTAACCGCTTCAGCTCTCAGGATACCTGCTAAAATCTTCTGCGTAGGACCTACCGGGGCCGTTATCATACCAAATTTGACGAGTTTGTGATTCGACAATCTGATAAGATCCACGGCAATCGGATGGGATCCACGGCACAGTCCCTTACGCCATGCCGAACTTGTGGTATAGGCTATGAAGCCCACGTTTACCGCCACCAGTCTCCAAACTATGATCAGTCTCTGTCTACCGCGGTGTAATGGAAAGGAATAGGACCTGTCACCGCCCGGCCCCGAATTTCGACCACCACTGTAATCGTACCATCGCTCTGCTACCAGCCCTTTGTAGGGCTTCGCACCGTCACCGTATAGTACGGTTATACGGGTGCCGTCATACGGGTACCGTGCCCGTTCCGTCTGGCGAAATAACTTACCCAGAGACGGACGGTATACGGACATCCCGTATACCGTTAGCAACCGTATAAACACGGCCGTCATACGGTAATCGACGGCCGTGTATGTATCTAAAAATAACCGTCATCAGATCACACTGTACGCGTGTTTGCCATACACTTAACATCGTACCACGATGTGCTGGCACCGCAAGCTCTTCAGCGCTACCACCCGATCTTCTTTCACTCGCTCTACTCAAGCTCTAACCCTTACCAGCATAGGATACTTTCTATTTCCTGCTTCTGCTGCCTCTATTCTACTACTGTTTCATCCTTTGAGTTTGACTACCCACACATATTGCGGAATAATTTGCCCCCCGCTGGCCTGTGCACCTGTCAAATACTGCTGAATTTTAAGCCAGAGGAGTTCACGAAAGAGTATATAATGGTCCTTTTTTCGCAGACTTACAACCACATTCTGAGCATCATGACAGATCAGTGTGCCCTCGATGCCAATGGAAACTTGAAATCCCCCTCGAAATTCAATTTTTATCACGATGCAGATGACGACGTGCCCATGGCAAGACCTGGAGCTGCTCCGAAGCCCCAAATATCAGATATGTATTATTCAACGGCCGTATTGACGACCGGCACGGCCGTCTATATACCCGTACCGTACCGTCAACCTAGTTCTAAGAGCATTGACGGTACGGTTACGGATCAGCCGTCGCCCGTCACTGTACCGTGGCTATACGGCCGTATACCGTATACGGTACGGTGCGAAGCCCTAGCCCTTTGACGAGTCTCGGCAAGCGAAATAAAAAACAGGAAGGAAGTATTACAAGTAAGGAAAATTATAAATACCCATTGCTCCGCACGGTACGGCTCCAGAAATATTCCAGGAGCCCATCAACGCCGCCTTCGTCACACTTGCTTCTTCTCGTTCGCGATGTGTTGTTACGGTCACGGGTATTGCTCCATCTCGGATTCTTAGAAGCGGTGAATATCATCTTTGTTTCCATTGACTATCTGGAATTTGGCGCCTCCAACTCAAGGCTGTGCCTTCACTAACGCCTTTAGTGGTAATGCAGACCCAACGGTTGCCCTCGTAACCGTAAGTCTTCAAAATCTACTCTCAAGCTTGTACTTCACTTCTCATTCAGTTGTTTATTGTCCTCCGTATCTCCTCATTTTGCTTCGAGTCGACCTTCCGCTTCAAAATGTACGTCGGTCGTTGTAACGGATGGATTAGTTATCTAACACTGATTTAGTTTACGTCAATGCTGTTCTATCGATATGAGTTAGCACCGTCTTTCCTGCATGCGGCCCACGTAGATCGGCCCTAGACTCAATGCTCGAAAATGAATTCAATGGGCAAATACCGGAAGTGACAATGCGTTGCCAGCATCCACACCGTTCTCCAATGTCATACGCACACGCGCACCGCCGGCCGGGGGCGCTAGCGCCGGAATTTATAAGTAGGAGTCTCCTTCCGAGTTATTCTATTTCACTCCAGACCAATGCTATCACGGAGAATTCATCCACAGTAGCGCACCTTCCACAATAATCAAGATTTGTCTTCGATCGTTGAGGATAGGCAGTCAAGACTCGAGAATTGTGTTCACCATGCTATAAAGAGGGTGCACGATAATAGGGTAGACGAGCGATCCATCCGCTGGATAACTTACCATGTATTTATAACAGATCCGATGAGCGGAACACATATCGACCGTAGTACTCGGATTGATCTGGTTTTTCCGACTTCTTGATTTCATTTAGCCTTCCGAATGATCAACGTGCTCCTCTGACTCAAACAAACTCGACTGTGCTACATGGATTTGTCCAACAGGACAGCCAAACTACCACCGTAGACCATGACCGCCTTCTTCCTGAAATACCGCATGCGTTGTATCCGTGGTATCGCAAATGACTAATTTATCGTGAATGACAGGTGAAATGAAAAGAATTCACCAAGAAAACCCGCTTCGTCCTCGGCAATTCTATGGCTTCTATAGGCAAAGCGAGCCGTTCCCGCTGTTATTAGATTATCCACCGGATTTCCACAGCAATCTTTATCGAAGCAAGTCCACTAAACATGTAGGGACTAATTCCGTCATAACAGCTTCTCCGGAGCTTGCTTCTCGGCGTTAAGATTCCAACATCAAGAAGTAGGATGTGATAACGTTGACACCGAGTAAGTCAGCAGTTTAGCGCCATCTATAAGCCAAACAGACGTTCCTTCCACGCCTTCCTTCTCACCAGCCTTCAATGTCCTCGCAGTCATCGCCAGAGATCCCTTCACTTGGGGACACTTTCGGAGCGCTCTTTGTTGGTGCTACGATAGCCGCCATGTACGTATCCTTCCTTCTCTGCGAAAATGTCTTTTCATTCGCTTGGTAGTCTATTCGGTATAATGAATCTACAAGTGCTCATCTACTACAAGAGATACCCCAACGACTGGTCCCTCTACCGCCATTCTGTACGTTGAAATTCTTTCGGGATCGGCATTACGCTGATTAGCATGAGATAGGTAGCGCTATTTTGGTTTGTTGACTTCGTTAACGCCTACCGGTCCCGGCGAATTATTGATATGTTCTTTGACAGGTTCCTGGACACTGTTCATGTCGCTTTAGGGACCCATGCCCTATATTACTATCTGATTGATATGTCTGGGAACTTGCGGGGTGCCCTAGAAGCAAATATCATTTGGTACGTGAACAGATCCAGGTATCTGTTCGGTCTCACTGAGCATTCGTCGTTACAGGAGCATGAGGGTGAGGGTTTACTGTGAGTTCCAATCATAACTGCTCTAACTGTAGCTGGCATAATCAGGTGCAATTAGTCGTAAAGGTATGTTGTCATCCCTTCTTGTGCCTTTTTAATCTTAATAGATGATCTCACAGGTGTGGACCATCGTGTTCGTCCAAGGGTAAGGACCGTGCCATTGCTTCCGAACAGATAATCTCTTACTTCTCTAACTCGTAGGGTGTATGCCATCAGACTCTGGAAACGTACGTATTTGCTTCGTCGGTACTGATCACGACGAAGCTTAGCTTGTTCTTAGTTGGAAGGCATTTTCACAAAATCATCCCGTGGTTCGTGGTAAATACGGCGTCGAACAACCGAATTTTATACTCTCACTTACTATTAGACAGTTTCTCGCTGTGGCAGCATCGCTCGGTAATATCATCGCACTTCTCGTTTCTCGACTATTTTTACTAATTATGTACCCCAATTCATTTCAGGCGCAGGAATATGTAAGACCCTTATCTCTCTCGCTTGCTCTGATCTCACTGATAGACGTACTTCAGTTCTCTCCAATGACATGTAAGTAAACCGCCATGGCTACACGCATCCCTCGAAATAATCAATCACAGTTATGTTACGCCGAATTTGGCATCTGTCTCCATCATCACCGTATGTTATTTCCATCGTCTAGAAAGTCATGTAATCCGACGCAACGACGTAGGCATCTATTTACACCTTCTATTCCATGATCATCACCGCGGATGTCATCATAGCCCTCATGATGACCTATTACCTTCACAAGAGCAGGGCCGCCATGCACTTCGCTTCGTGTGTTGCCTCCTTATGACAACCTGGAATTGCTGTTCATTTATTGTTCTAGTACCGCTGACCTACTTCTAGGTCTAATGCGAATGGTTCTCGCAACAGGTATAGCTACAAGGTGAAGATATCCGCTTTGATATCGCTTCCATTATTCATGTGTGTAATGGCAGTGCTTGCTCGTTATTCTCTCTCTTCACAGTTTGTTTTCTCTCAATCTGAGGCCATTTAAAGATCTCACGAAGATCGGTAGTACATCATGTGGCCCAAAACTCTCATTTTCGTCGCAATCGATTTCATACTTCCCCGACGTCAGTATTATTATTTATTACACATCAAAAGTTGCTTATCACCTCGCATAGTCTATATAAACTCCCTGCTTGCAATGTGCGCCATATTCTTTTGTTTTTCTTCCAGATATTGACCTCTGCTAGGTTTAATTACCGACATCAACGTTCATCGAATACGTCAACCTCAGAGGATAGAAGACATTCGATTCCCAATGTCCTCCAGTTTGCACCCAACCCCTCCGAGAGCCATTCCAAAGAAACGGTATGTATATTAGCTTGCTTTTATTATCGTCCCGACTTTTTCTGAAGTCTTTCTTTCAGAATATTAGCATACCGCTGTCTGAGATCCAGCGCACCCGTTCTTCGGCAGAGTCAGGAATTTCCAAAGGAACTGTCGATTCTCCGGTCTGAGAGTGATTGGGTCCGATTTTTCTTTAAGATCTGAATAGTAATGTGTCTTCCCAGATGTATAATACACCTCACTACGTTACACACATGACTCGCATATGATGCAGTTTTAAAATAGATTATTGATTCGCAAGGTATCTGAAGTCGAAGAATCATTTTTGAGCTTGATTTTTGACCCTTGAGTTTCTCCTGTTACTTGAGCTGCTCCCTCTCATGACGAGTACACATGGTATAAACACGTGCATTATTGACGATGGACCAAAAAATGCATTACGAGCCTCCTCGTCGACAAGAGAATCCTCCCAATCCAACATTATCTCGATGTTCATCCCTGGAGACCGGTAGGGCGAGCTTCTGATGGTCCTGATTTAACCAGGAGTTCAATGAGACGCAGTGCGGTTTCCATGCGATCTGCTGCGTTCCACAGAGAAGGGAGCTTCATGAATAAAAAGCTCCTTTAGATGTAGAGTGCTCTGAATTATGCGGCAATACTCGACAGGATCGAAAGTCCCTAGCAAAATTTGATTTCGAATGAGGCGTTGAAGAGCGAGGAAATGAGGTCGCCCTTTGTTTTGCACGTATCTCTAACACCTGCATAGTAGGTTTCTTCGGAGTAGATAAGGCCGTCAAAACTTGATATATTATCTTTTAAGTCCTAGAATCATAGAAACAGGATTTACGAGGTCTATGGGTAGAAACGTGGAGATTCGTACGTCGAGGATGAACCAAAAAAGCGAACACGTGCCACCTTATCAACAAGACAATCCTTTCCGTCTAACAAGAACTTGATATCCATCCCTTCATCCTTGAACCTGAACAAGTCACGGAATGATGATTCTTTGCCTACTGGTAAGGGTAGTCGCGGTTGGCACCATGACGTGTTTATTACCAGGCGTAGTGTCTCCAGACGACGATTTCCAACCGATCTCGAAAGGAACATCTGATGAAATTCATCTTCCTCCTCCAGAAGGCTGCTTTTCGCTGTCCGGAACGGAGCCTCTTCAATGCACAATTCTTCTAACTGCTGAGCCAATCCTCGCTGAAGAGCCAATACTTTGAAGACGTCCTTTGCTACTGATGCGTCGATGAAGATGTCGAGCTTTTGGAGAGCAGGGGATTGCATGAGGATGGGAACCAGGAATGATTCGACATAAACGGGTATGGATAAGATGAGAATTGTCAAATTGCACTCCGATCGACGAAAGAGATCAAGCATGCGGGAGTATTCGACATCTTGGAAGGTCCCATCCGCTAATTGGAAAAGCGGTTTGTCTCCATCCGTCAGAATGTCAAATTGACAAAGCGCAGGGAGAGTGACGGAGTCAAAACTGATCGGAAATTTCGTAACACGATGAATATCATGCGTCATAACCAATGAAAGTCGCTCTATAGAGGTGTGGATGACAGGAGTGTATGCGCTTGATGTAGAGAAATTGCGAGGAGGCCGAGTTGGTGTAACGCTAATTTCAATCAGATGTTGCGCCCGGCGTAGTACGCAGTGGAGTTCCGTAGGATCGTAAGAATATACAAACAACTTGCGAAGCTCTGCCATGTTTATGGGCAGGCGTAAATAGGGAAAATCTTCAAAGTGGGCTTCTCTGATAGGCGAAGAAGAGAAGAGACTGTTGAAAACCACGTGCTTGGACTCCAGCCGAATGTCAGCATCAGTGTAGATACTGAGTTTCGTCAATTGAATGGCTGGGTATGCGGCCAGAGACATGTATTCAAATACATCGTCTCTGATCATGGTCAGCTCCAACGTTGACCAACGCTCCGAATGCACCAGTAGGCCCTCGAGAGCTTTCAGCATTTCCGAGCCAGGGTATTCTTCTATGGACAAATGAACAGGTAAATCTCTGGAGAGAGAGATGTATTCTTTGAGAAATGCAGGATAGTTGTCGTAATCTTCGGGGATGGTGATCCTTGTCCACAGCGAGGGACAAGAACGTGAAATACTCCGCCAAGTGGAACACACTTGGCCAAGGATCCACGGAGCGTCGAGAGGGTCGGGAATATCAGAAGACACGAGGTTAAATATATGGAGTAACGTCTCTCTCGGCAAACGACGAATCGGCCCCAGGAGGGACTTGAAGTCGCCAAGGTCCTTGAGGATTTTGTTGCGTCGGTCTCTGATTTGGATGAGCAGAGACTCTACTGTCCCTAGCTCCTGTTCAAGTTTTGCGATGTCATTCAAGACAGATGCTTGCCCATCATCGAGCGATGAGAATCCAGATCGAAGGAGGTCAATGACATTGACGGAAGGAATATAGGGGTGTACTGCGTGGAATGCGCATTTTTGGCAGGAATTCTAGAGATGTGGCCTTGTTAAAGAGCGGAGGGATGGATATACACAAGTCCCTATCATGTTCGTACTCATACGAAGGGGTCGGTGGAGAGATTTACAATGCGTATAGGCGAGTGAGCAGGGGAAAGAGTAATTAACGGACTTGGCCTGAAGTTCTTCTGGAGTCAAGAGTCAGAATTCATGTTTACATGAATAAACCGAGGTTGTCCGTACTGTAGTTTCTGGATTCAGATTCGTTGGTGGAAGTCGACAAAGACGTGATGAACTCCGCCCGTCGGCCGAAGCCGGGAATACTCTTGGCAACAGCACGTGATGAACGCGTCGCGTCGTACAGTCCTTTTGGAGGATAGTCTACGTTTATTAGAGGAGCCACAGTGTCAGTCTCTGCCTTACATATTCCTGCAAAGACGGAGGAATTTGTACTTTAGCTTCTTCCGCTCGATACCGGCATGGTTCTTTGAGAAAGATCGTCAGGACTCAGGAGGTGATCTGTCCAATATCAAGCTACTTATGGTTGGAGGAACCTGTGTATGCGGATCTCGAGAATATCCCCTTGATATTTAAGTAACACGGACAACAGACCTTCGGTTTTCCTGCACGGCTACCTTCCATTATTTGTGTAGATCTTCGAAAGCCTGGTCAACAGTGAACGGCTTTCGCGAATCGCTGTGTTCTCAGTTGTGGTTGCGTTTTTGTCTTATTCATGAGCGTAGAACATTATGTATGCTCGTCTAACCTTTGAGCAATGAAAATTAACTGCAAGTCCGATAGATGGAAGATACGGGCTTCCTTTTCTGCGTTATTAACGCTGATTCTTGATGGGACGCTCCTCGACCCGATCTTTTGTTAGATCATTCTAAAGTGGATCCGCTTTAAGCCCACTGCCAAATCAAACCGCGGCGAATAATCTGTAGAGCTCCACATAACATTCCGAGGGAGGGTGAAATTCCTGTATGACAAAAGGGCCACAACTCTCGCATCGTCTCTGGGAGTCCAGCAGTAGAGACTGAAAGGCCCTGGGCAAGCATAAGTCTTCGTTTTGTCAAAATGTCGAAAACTGCCATCTGGTAACTGCTTATTGTCACAAATGACGAAATGATTAGCAGGGACGGGATGAGGAATTCGCAGTGCGTAGACTGTGCCGAAATGCCGAGATCGGCATGACCCGATTCGGTTCTTGGCGGTTGTTGATGTCGCCATCTCTTTTTCTCTCGACATCATGATCCTCGTTACCATACCTTGCGCTTCGTCGGTTCACAACTGTATTCCCAGCGCCTGACTCTTATATCTCCATGCTCAAGTTAAAATGTATCAAGATTATCTCTGAAAACATTCAAAACGGTTACTTGCTTCGGTCATTGGGATGAAAGGCGGCGTGTCACTGGAGGTTTCTGGAAGTGTTCTGGTTATTCGAACTTAGGCAGTTTGGCGTTGTATGGTGCGTTGAATACGTTTACAAGATACGCAAAACTAATCTTTGTAGAAAGGGAAATCGATACTGACCACGTCCATCATCGTTATCTCGCTTCTCGTCGAGCGGTCACTGCTATGACTCCAAGGTTACAGCTCAGCACAGCGTCGCGTCCACCGGTTCCTGTCCAGCGTGTTGAGCATAAAGAATATTCCCGGTCACGGTGAGTTTCAATTCCCATGACGCTGTTATCTAGCTCAATTCTCCATAAAGGTATTTGGCGTCCATCACTGCCATTACTATTGTATGTATTTAGTTCGACCAGCTCTGAGGTGTGTGTCAGCAAGAAATATCAACACCGGAAGGAACGTGGTAGGGCTCTCTAGGTCGACTGCCTGAATAATGTCAATGCGGGCTTCGGGAATCGTTTGAAGGTCAGGACTTCTGTGGGGCGTCAATGGATGAGGTGCGTACACTGCCATACACTGTCGTTTATTGACTCAATCCTTTGCAGATTTTGTCGCGCCTGCAGGTGGAACACAAGGCAGGCGTCGTCGCAGTGAGCTGCTTGTCGGAGGGAACGATGCTGGAACTCAGGGCGAGCTACGTTACCAGATATTCTGGACGTTCTAGTCCCCCCATGTTGTTCGTTTTCTCCAGCACTGGATAGATCCTTCGCTATATTTCATGTAGCTATAGACGCAATGAACCGCAATGCTGAATTTTCACCCATCCGATGAGACCGAGGAAGACAACTGCCCTGACAAGGAAGTAATCACTTAACATGCGTTCATTCGTTCAAAAAGCAGCCTTCAATCTTTGCGCTTCACTCTCAGCGTAAGCCTCGGCAAGTCCCTTCTTTTCGGATGCAGCAATCAGTTATTATTTTCCTCCTTCAGACAGGAGAATTCTACGAGAATTCCTTTGAAGGCCTGCAAGCTCAACTGGGTTTTGATTTGCGCGGGCGGGAACTACGCGCATACAATCTGTACAGTCAGGAGCTCTGCACACCTCGTATGCCGGACAAAATCAGCGGTAAACATGATGATAACCACAAACCGATGTCAACCTCGGTGATTGCGAGAGATAAATGTACTAGGTGCCCCAATGACGCACCCAGCGGCAAACCCCGAACTCTGCCTCATGATGTATCATATCGCATCCTAACCCGTCTTTTATCACGCGCCTGCTACACTGTCTGACGGGGACCACCGAAGCAGTACTATTTCAGCATTATTGTGTAATCTACGTGTCAAGAGGGCACTGATATTGCTGTCATCCCGATCCCTCGAAACAGCAGTAACCCACGACACAGGTCCATCTTGTATCAATTCAACTGGCCATATGTGCAGATACGGTTGCAATCCAGCCTTTCTCGTCGTGTTCGAGTGGTGCTTGAACGAGATAAATGTCTTGAGAGATCCTTTCGTCAATGCGTTCGTCCTAATCTTTAGCTGATCGGTGCCACGACAAAACTGGTACTGCGTGAGGTGCTCGATTGATTGATGGTGTTTCATGATGGAGAGAGTAAGTCCTGCTCGCCGTGGTGGAAAAGTAAAGACAGGCTCATTGTAGGCATCCGTCGCCAGCATGTATGTACTCATCTTCATGCTGAGTACCTTTCTCGGACTGACCGTTTATGTAGATCTACTTCTGATGTTCGTGCTGGGATTACGCGACGGAGTGTGAGTGATATTACTATTCTTCAACAAATTGACATGATAATGGTTCTATTCCTCAGATCTCTTGTGTTACATCGATCCCAGAGCGCTGAAATTATGTAACTACTACCACGGTGCCGACTTGAACTATAATGTAGGTAATCAATTAGTCCTCCGCTCCAAGCTTTGATCTCATTCGTACAGATGTTGGTTACGCGAATCTAATAGTAACCGACTCAGCATCGACTACTCTACAATATGAGTAAGAAATACATTTACGTATGTGCTTGCCAAATACCGTGTGATCCTTAGGCAAGTCAAGTACCCTCGTCAACGACGAGAACTCAGTATTACTAATGAACCGCCCATAACAGTGTCCGAAATACGTAGTTCCTCTCGAAGTTATACCTGAGGCTTGTTCATGCAGTCTTGCTCCATATCTCGCGGCTTGTGCCCATATATGCAGAAGGTCATATTATTGTACGGAGAAAACCCTGACCTTCCAGTGAAGTCATGCACCGGCTTTATAGTCGCTCGACTGGGGATATTAGATCGGGACAGGTCTTCGCGAGGGCTCATCTCGATGGATGGGTTTGTCTGCGAAGTACCGAGCCTTCGAAGCCCTGAGATTCGGGCCAATCGCAAATTCCTCTGTCTCTGGAACGTTAACCAGTTACTGTAAGTAGATAAATCTCATGTAATTCGTAAGTCTTCTATGACTGATCATTTTCTGACCCTTTTATGTCTAGAAATATGCCGATGTCGAGCAACACTCGGAAGAGAGTAACTCCAAGCGTCAATCTGCGAATGTCGCTATTAACCTGCCTGAATCAGATGGTTGGGGTCCTCGCTGAGGCGAAAACAAATAACGCTCCTGTTCCCTTCAATGTCAGCACTGTAAGCAACATCGCACTCTCCCATCGGTTAGCTATCCCTATGAAACATAGTGCTAGTGTTCCTTTCTGTACGGATGTTTTTCTCCGAGGATACTCAAGGATGATATTCAAATATAGAAATTATGGCACCGACTGCCTTTGTCGGCGTCAAAATATTGTCGTGCACACAATCCTGAGTCAGGAGGCTGGTCCGTCTTATTTCGATCTCATAGAATGAATGAAGTAGAAAGAAGGACAATGACGACACATTTTCAGTACAACTAAGTTTAGCTTTTTGCACACTCGGCACTTGGAGGCTTGCATGCCTACGGGACGATAGCATGAAGATACGGAATTTGATAATGTGATGGTCCTCGGCATGTGTAGATGTAGCTTACGTAGTATGAAACTAACACTAAACATATAAATCGGGAGTCGTCGAGTTCTCACCGCTCAGGCTATTCTATTCGTGATATCAGGTCAATGGTCCCATGCAGATTTCTATCAAGAGAATTAGACCTTACATTCAATGTTTGTATGGGTCCACTTGGGGATATGTTTCAGCGCTATCCGTTGGCAACACGGCTGTTGGTAACACGGTAGTCCGAGCGTGGACACGGCCTCGCCTTGCTTCCTACCATGAGCGCAGTACAACGGAAACATGTAGGCACAATGGAACCTGAGTTCCGTCATCCTATGCCCCTCTATATGCCCTATTGTATGTATGGTTCTGTTACTTTTAATGTTTCATGTTTTCAACCAGTCATGCCTAATTAGATATCAAGGATGGCAGAGAGCCTGTAGGAATGTGGGACAAGGTCGACCACTATGCTCTAAACAAAGGTTGGCCATTGTGGGTAAGCACGTAAAGACATGCACAGAAGGCCGTGTAATAATGTGTTGTAGGAATACGGAAATCTCCCCGAGATCACCCTGTCTGCCTACAAAGAGACCGGACGATCGGAAAGCGTTCCAGTGCTGAAACAACGAACCTACACTGGTAGGGTATTACCGTCCGCTGTCGCCAACACTCCCTGCGCCGACCTAGGTGTCGATGGAATGTTGGAGAAGTTCAGCGCTCCATTCTACACCAGCTCCCTATACAAGGCATGTCAATACTTCGTCACCGAAAACTGTGACTTTGGCACTGCCTACGCTCATTGGCGCTCCCATCTGTATGTTTTCGGCACTGACATATATGTAGTGGAAGCGCAGGGCAAGGACGACGAGATGCAACAAAATATGCTTCGCAATAAAAAGATTATCGACGGGGATACACCCCCAAGGCGCGTCTGGGATCTCCATGCTAATCAGGTCGTGCCATGGTGGGTTGCCCGCAAATTACCGTGGGCGATATCGCATGCGTGGTTAGATGATAAGGATCTCAAAAGAGAGATGACACTAATAAATGGATATGAATGGCCCGTACCGATGCCGAAAGCCGCCAACCTCAATTTGATCAGGATCGAGATGCTAAACCTCGGCGCGGAGTATGCCTGGTTGGACGTTCTGTGTTTGAGGCAGGAGGGTCAGGGCGAGGACCCACACGGTGACCCTAGCCAGGAGGATTGGGAATGGAGGGAGGTTCTGCGCTAGGAGGAGTGGAAAGTCGACGTGCCAACGATCGGATGGATATATCACAAGACCAATCAGGTGGTGTGCTACTTCAGCGGGCTGGGTCTGCCACTGAGTTTCAAACCTAGCGACTTCGAGAGCGATCGTTGTTGGTTTAATCGAGCATGGACACTACAGGAGATTAGCCATAATCTGCTCATTGCCGGAGAGACCTGTCACGACGGTAGGTTCACGGAAAGCGGCGAACAGAAGACGATCCGTAATTGGTTTAATCGAACGTCGACACCACAGGAAATCGCTGAAGGTCCGTTCATTTCTGGGAGGAGCCGCAACGATAGCAGGTTCATGACAAAGGGCATGCGAAATCTATTCAATAAAAAACTGGCTTCTTTGCTGCAGATGTCGAGACTTGGATTTGACTCAATGTTTGACGTCCTGTCGGAAATGCAGAAAAGGAAATCAACCAATCCTGTGGATAAAGTCGCGGGACTGGTATACCTGCTATACTCCCAGTACATCCCAAAATACGATGCGGACCAATCCGAAGAGGACGCCTGGACAGAACTCGTGATCGCCGGGCAGGATTGGTTTCGTGCAGATCTATTCTTCTTATACCCTGGGCCTGGGAACGCGAACAAATCCTGGCATCCATCATGGACGCAAGTAAGAACGGATATATTTCCCAAGCCGTCACTCAGTAAAAATCTTTATACTGTAAAGGTTTATCAGACGGACAAACATGGAGATGGGTACTATGGACTGCGCATTGACTCATGTAGAGTGCGGGGGTTGGCAGATGCATCATCTCTAGATATTCCCCGACGCGGAAAGTTGGACGTCAATGTTAACTTTACGATAAAGCACATCTTCGACATAGTCGCCAACCATGGATTCCCAATACCCGATGACATGTATACACTCATAGGCACCGCCAAGCATAGCTCTACAATGCAAGGGGTTATCTGGGTCGTTGGGAAAATGGAGGGGCCTGGGGAGAAGTTTAGGAAAGTGTCTGTTTTCAGGATGGCGAACGGACGGGAAGCAGAGAAGCTTTGGAATATCGAAGCTCATAGTAACACTGAAACATTTCTTCTTTGACATTTTCATGTAGTTATATTTGACGTGAGTCCAACGGCGGCGGAACACGATCCAGTATAGCACCAGGAGGTTGTTTATAATCACGAAATGGCATGAGGGCTTCTTTGATATCTCTCTCCTCGTGATGACTACTGTCCAACTTTACTACCGCTGGTATTCTAGGATTAATATTTCTCTGGTTACGTGCCATCTCTTTCACATGTACTTGGTTTTTTATTGTGATTCATTACTAATATTGTCTTCATCGTAAACCAAAGATTTCTCTGGGGGAATCTATTCCTGAGGTCGTTCTCGCCGAAATGAAGCCCCAAGTGAGCGACACAATTATCTGGTAGTCCAATGCATAACACAACACGAGCTTATTTCCCTGATATATTCTACACAGCTTGCTATTTTACAATGTGAAAGTGAGAATAGCTGTGAAGACTCGAGCCGCGTGCTTAACATCAACGCTCAACCAAAGAGGGCAAAATATGGGTATACATAATCAGCGGTATCAAAGATACAGAACAACTATAACGTGGGTCTGATACTAACGTGGTTCGACAACCAAGTGGCATCGTCGCCCTCCAATAATAATATCCAGCTTAGATTATTATTTATATCGGAAACCCCCCATACCTGAACCATTCAACACGTATCGACTCTCCTTCAAGACCAGTTGCCACTAGTCCTTCAACGACACTTTCGCGAAAAGACTCTACCTCACAAACAAAAACATCCTTCCCTGCCCAATCGTCCTGACTATCAATGAGATACGACGTTACACACCCCTGATTAAGCATAATGTTCTCGAATTTCCGAATAGCTCCATCCCTAACACTACAAAGGGCGGCGTGTCAACAGCGGGCTTAGAATCGGCTGTACTGTAGGCGCTGGTGCTTTGAGGATGGGAAAATATTTTCACAAAAGATCACCTACGCGTGTATTGAAGAAGAGATATGTCTCGTTCGGTCTTCCGGAGGATTTCACTGCGATGCTCTGGTCTTTGGATGGTCTGAATGTCAACGGTGACGAGGAAGAGATATTCGCAGCACTGAAGAAGGTTACCGGGAAAAGGATATGGAGGAGCCTGGTGGAAGCAAATATGTTTCTGTTTGCCGTGATAATGGGATGACAGGCCCGTGCAACTGTGGAAAGGAAGCATATTCTTCCACTTGCTCAAGGGAAGTAATCAAAGAGCTGAAAGCACTCCATCAGTTGCAGCTTTGTGAATGAAACTAACATTAAAGCCAACCATTGCTTCGACCAACCTATTATCTCCTCTCCAGCTCATCCATCTCATGCGCCATGGGCTGGGTTCGCCTTGTCATCGAAGAGCTCCTCTACGATTCTCAGCGTCCACAGATCCTCATATATCATCTCCATCCTAAGCTCCGTTCTCCTACTGCACGCTGCTCCTCAAGGGAAATCGCATAAAAGGCCTCGATTTATGCACCTCGACAACTGAAGGGATCATGCCTTGGATTATAGTTGCTTGCCTGGTTTGACGTGAAAAGGGGACGAATGTCGCTTTAATCAGGGGGGTTCTGAGTTACAGAACTTTGGAAAAACGGATGCTACTTATCACCTGGTGCACGCCATTTAAGAGTGATTTTGGGGGGGAGACGAGCGGTGGTTTCTTCCGGAGGTTTGGGGGGGTACATATCCAGGGAGAGACCAAAGCAGGGAGTCTAAATTCTCAGCCGCGGGGCTCAGGAGTAAGTCCTTCTGCTTGATGAATTGGTATTCTAGAAGGAGCATCATCAGAGAGTGATCAGCCTTATAAAAACGTGACTTACATTATTGAGCTCACTTATGCGAATCTCCTCTTGATAATTGTATCTCTTTCCTCAGGTCCTACCGTTGACGAGAGACATTCAGTTTTATTCCGTGGCCACCTTGATATCCTCGGGGTAAACAGCAACTGAATGACCCGTGGCAATAACAAAGACTATGGCGGGGTCGTCGCGTCTTCGGCTATGGTTTTGTCGGCTTGTATTGTTCAGGAGCACTGAAATAAACACAGATTTGTCCATCCTTCGAGCAACAAGGGTAACCTATAGGTATAATGAAAAGAAAAGGCTTACTTGTCAGATCTCTGCATTCATGATCTCAGTTTTGATCCTTGGTGAGACGAAACTTCATAAAGTAGATCTGCTGAATTAAGCGTTTTCATCTGCTGTACATGCCTAGGGGGCTGCAACTCTCGAGTGACCATCGTGAAAAACAGTGCAGTTGATAATTGTGCTAAGTTGTGTCGGCGGATGCCGATATTTGGCCGATGTCGGGTATGCCCGATTCGGTTGTTGGCCCTTGTTGATTCGGTCGGCGGTTTCATCTCCTTCTGTCTCCACCATTGGCTCGCTCGTATCCTGCTCGGTGGTTTCGCGATTCTCTTCACCTCGCTAATCCCGGCAAGTCTTCAAAATATCAGATTTCTGAAAACATTCGAAGCAGCTACTCGCTTCAGCCGTTAGGATAAATGGCCGCGTATCCCTGTCAGGTGTCTGGCTGGTCATCTCATCTTGGGTCGCTTTGTTGTATGGTGCGTCCACTCCTTGTCCAACATGGGCGGAACTGATCTCCAGAAATAGGGAAATTCAATGCTAGCCAGATCGACAATTCAGGGTGATGATTGATGATCGATTGAATCTCGTTCCGCAATCATTGGCACAATGCCTACGTCACGGCTCAGGATAACGAGGTGCCTATCGTCCTTTATCCGGCTTCAGGAATGAAAAGAGAAACTCCGCAAGTTTTAATAGCCGCTCCTCTGTTCTCTTTGCTCAATCCTGTGCAAGTGTATCCGGCATCCTTCAGTTATCGCATCGTGTATGTTTCGCAACGGTCGTGCATACAGGTCAACAAGCTCTAGGTTATACTGCTGTGAGAACTCTCAACCCTAGAAGGAACTTCGCCAGGAACTATAGGTTGACTTCTTGAATCACATCACTCCGGGCTTCGAGAACCGTTTGAAGATCAGAACTTTGAGGTGGCATTCAAGGATGAGGTACACATTCTCCTATTCACTATCGTCTCTCTCTACTGATGTCTGGGGCAGACATGGATACTCCTGAAACGGGAACGGGAACGTGAGGTGTTTCTTTGTGACTGGACGAGGTGCAAGGCGTTTGCCTGCCGATTCAGATGGGACAGATGGGCCCTGAGTCAACGGTCACAGCAAGCTTGGACACAGCCAGCTGTTCCGGACGTCCTAGTCAATGTTCGATGATGTTTTACTATCTTGCATGTAGTCGTCGGCTGAATTGATTGGAATGCTCTTTAGCCCATCCCTTTGAGACTGACGAAACATGAAGTAATCGTTTTAATCTGCATCCATCTATTCACGACATACCCTTCGATCTCTGCATGTCGCTCTCCCCCTATGTCTTGGATACGTGCTAACCACTTAATCTTCCTGCATCAGATGTGCAACTTCTACGGTAATTCCTTTCACGGATCGCCACGTTCAACTATGTTTGAGTTTCAGACGTGGGGGGAGTGATACAAATACCAATTTTTTCTCTCGTTTCAGGTCTGTACACTCATCGTCCAACTATGGAATGCGAGGCATCTAAATAAACTCTAGAGGGTGAGAGAATACCGCGCTCGTGAACACACACGTCCAGGTCTCTGTAGCCACGAGACCATCCAGCCAAGGCACGCGCACAGCGCCAAATAAGGGGGACGGTGTTTTGTCGCAACCATAGCGATTACTCTAACCCTTTCAGCGCAACAATCTAGTGCAAGATCCGTGCTATCACTCACGGTTACAGCCCGGGGTTCAAACATCTACTCGTACTCCCGGTAAAATCGATGATATCCACAACACGATTTCAGGCGTTGATTGCAAGAGACAGATGTTCCGTCTGCTATGCTTTCTGCCCACCGAAACATCACTATTCCGGCATCATTGCATAATCTATGAGTCAAGAGGGTGCTGATATACTTGTCGTTTTCCTTATCCTCGTCTCTGGCTTATGTCCGATGCAACAAATGCAGGATCTACGAGTCCGACGTTCCTTGTAAACCGACCGCCAAAGGAGATTGCGGTTAATGATGTTTCGTGATGGGGATATTATGTCAGTCCGTTTTATGACTTTCATTATAGATCCCAGCACTGACGGTTTCTCAGAAATAGAGCGATGAAAGACGGTATTCGTTCGATTCCTGATATGAAGGAGGTTTCATAGAAGTTATTCCTGATCCCTCGATCTTGCACTCGAAACCGGATGGAAGCGATGGCGGGGCCCTTCCACTTCCACTATAGCGGATGTTCTTCGTATCGTTCAAATAATAAACATTAGGCACCGGAATAAAGCCTAAAGGACGAGAGCAGATCGCACTCCGTCTACACGCATCCCAGTCTTTTGGCGACCATGAATGAAAAATATATCGACGCTGAGAACGACATTGCTCTTTGTACTCGCTAGGCGCAGGTTCTCGCAAGGACTTATCTAATTGCGGGGGAGTACCAAGCCTTCTGAGCCCTGCGATTCCCGCAATTACGAGCTTATTTTTTTTTTCTGTAGCGGTGACCAGTTACTGTGAGTGGGACAAATTATCCGTCACACATCTGAGACTGATTTTTATCCAAGACGACTGGTTTTAATGCGCCTTAGAGGCATATAAGCGCAATCAAGAAAGCTTTTCTTTCTCGGTTACCTTTGACAGCCCACGGGTTTTCCCGCATTCATCTTTTAGCGTTTAACTAAGTACCGAATGTAGCGTATTTTCCTCAATTTTCCGGCCTTCCCAGTAATCATTCTATCCGTCCATGCCATCTCTGCGAAGTCATCTGTCCTAACGGCACACCTCAGATTTCGTTCTCTATCAACGTACTAATCGTTTCGATAGGAACTGTGCCTGCGATGTCGTCAACTGCATGAGATATGATTCGACTAGACGCTGGTGGTTCATCGCAAACATTTACAGTACACGAGCAGTAAATCTTTCTTTCTTTCCATGTAGCATATATTATCTGAACATTAGATCGCCAGCACACATCGATCTGCATAAGGAAGCTAATATGAGTCACATCCAGAATGTCAGCATTGCGGGACGGTTCACCAGAACGAGGATATCGGAAGGACGAGACCTCAGACGAATCGTGAAAGGACAGCGATATTTCCATGTCGAACTCTCTGAGAGGACTGTCAAGGATGATCCAAAATGAGAAGGTACGCCGGTCCTTTTTCTCAATCAGACTTGTGGCTTACAGCGTTCCGTCGAAGTTAGGACCGTTTTGTTCTTCGGATCACAAGGGGACAGGAAAGCAGTGATCACGGCAAAAGCTTTTGTCCGAGAAAGAGCTCCTACCATTGTTGTCGAGTGAAAATAGTGTTGAGCGCATATATCGCGAGTCCTCAGGGTGATCGTCGTATTTCAATCTCGCGGAATGAAGTAGAAAGAAGGACAGTGAACAACGACAAGGCATGGTTTTTGTATAAGCGGCTCTTGGCCCACGTGTTAACACGGAGATAGTCTGAGGATCGGGAATCGGATAATGTGATGATGCTCGGCATGTGTAGGATGCGTGGGTTACACGGTACAGGACTACCTTGTTCCTTCTTACCACGACAACAACACAACAGAAACCTGTTGGCACAACCGCACCTTCTCACCAAGCTATGCCTAATGATGAACAATGGTCTCGACCGAGTATGTCTAGTTGTGTTCCTTTCGATGCTTCATATCCTCATTGTCATGCCTAAGTTCCCAGGGACTATCTTTTGTCGAGAATGTGGGGAGAGCGTAAAAGCTATGATCCAGACAACACAGTGCGACAGGTAAGTACGTACCAGCAAGTGCCGTGCTCAGAAGGGTGGGGAATAATGCGTTATAGAAATACGAGAGTCTCCCAGAGGTCACACTCTCTGCCTACGACGAGATCGGCCGAGAAGAATCAAGCATTCCAGTACTAAAGCAGCGGGCATACACTGGTAGGATATTACCATCCGTGATCGCGGATACTCCTTGCGCTGACCTAGGTGTCGATGGAATGTTGGGCAAGTTCGATGGCCCATCCCGCACTCCAGACAGCCCACTATACAAGGCATGCGAAGACTTTGTCACGAAAAGTTGCGACTTTGGCACTGCCTACGCTCATTTGCGCCCGCGTCTATACGATATCATCAGTATCGGACAAGTCAGCGATGACATGAAAGCACGGGAGGACGATGAAAAGATGCGACAGAATATGTGCATCAATAAACAGATCACTGACGCACCCCCTAGGCGTGTCTGGGATCTGGTTGCTAATCGGGTCATGCCATGGTGGATAAAACGCAAATTCCCGTGGGCCATATCACACACCTGGGTGGACGATAACGATCTCAAGGGGGAGATGACACCAATAAATGGATATGAATGGCCCGTGCCGATGCCGAAAGATGCGGACCTCAATCTAATCAGGATCGAGATGCTCAGGCTCGGGGCGGAGTATGCCTGGTTGGATATTCTGTGTTTGAGGCAGCAGGGTCAGGGCGAGGACCCACGCGGTAACCCAAGCCAGGAGGAGTGGGATCGTAGGGAGGCTCTGCGCAAGGAGGAGTGGAAAGTCGACATTCCAACGATCGGGTGGATATATCACAAGAGCAATCAGGTGGTGTGCTACTTCAGCGGGCTGGGTCTGCCCCTGAGTTTCAAGCCTGGCGACTTTGAGAGCGATCGGTGTTGGTTCAACCGAGCGTGGACGCTTCAGGAGATCACCAAAAACTCGGTCGTTGCTGGGAAGACCCGTGACGATAACAGGGTCGACGAGAGGTTCATGACAGAGGACATGCGAAAGGTGTTCGATGAGAAACTGGCATCTTTGAAGGAGATACGTAGAGAAGACTCGATACTTGACGTCTTGTTGCAAATGCAGAAGCGGAAATCAACTAAACTTGTCGATAAAGTTGCCGGGTTGGCTTACCTCTTCTACTCGCAGTACATCCCAATCTACGATGCAGACCAGTCTGAAGAGGATGCCTGGACCGAACTGGTGAATATCACGCAGTGGCGGTTTCGTGGAGAGTTATTCTTCTGCTACCCTGGACCTGGGAACGGAAACAAAATCTGGTGTCCATCATGGAGGCAGGTAATGATGGAGAACCTTTCCGGGTTGATATTACCTTTGCATTTGGACATATATGGCCGCGACAGCGTATATCTCGGGCGGAAGAAGGAAGATGGAGACTACTATGATGGACCCTATATCGACTCATGCAGAGTACGGGGATTGTCTGACGAATCAACTCCAGAGACGCCCCGACATGGAGAATTAGATGTCACTGATCGTTCCGGGGAAAATTATACCTTCGAAATTGTCGCCAACCACACATTCCCAATACCCGATGGCCTGTATACACTCATAGGCACCTCTAGCTATCCCTATTTCAGAGTAGCGGTCATTGGGAAAATAGAGGGACCCGAAAAGAAGTTTAGGAAAGTGTCAGTGATCAATATGGGCGATGAAGAAACAGCGAAGATTAACAGGCTTCACGTCAAGACGTACAATAATATGACTTGTCTCCTTTGACGTATGTATGTAATTGGGTTTGACCCAAGTCTAACGGGGGCGGGACAAGGTCGAGTATAATGCTGGGACGCTGTCTTGATGGGAAAGCTCCTTTTCTATCTCTCCCTACACTTCCTCCTCTCTAATGTTCCTATCCCAGTATTATAGCGTTACAATTTTTGTTCTGACCTACTATCCCAGGGTGTCCCATTCTCATTTAGTCTAATTTTGTTCTCGCTGTTTCCCACGAATCACGATTGTATACAAACAGTAACATCATAAAGCTGATTTTTTTTTTCCCTGATCATACCGACGTGAGAGGGAAACCGACCCGTGTTACCCTAAGTTACAAAGATATTTTCGTAACAATGCAGGCCATGTCACAGGACTGAATGACGGAATTGATGGAATCGGGGAGCTCTTCGTCATCCGAAAGATGGCGCTCAACATAAATCATTGTTGGTGCTACGAGACAAGCACTCGGAGATGTATCTACTTGGGACAGTCCCTAGCGGAAGAATTAGACATGAGCCTGTGATGCAGTGAGAAAGCATACTCAATGGCTTCATTGACATGAACCTCAAATTGATAACCCATTGTCGTGCGCCTTCCTTTTGGTGATCATCCCGGTGAACCCTATTCCTCCGAGGTGTGGAAAACTCTAACCAGTACCCACCATCAACATCTGGGAATCGGTGTTGCTGATGATCAGATCACCGTACTACACTTTGACGACGAAAGATGGGTCATATGCCCCGGCGTTAAGGAAAACAGCTAGTTCGCGGATCCTGATCAAAGCCCAGCTTTTGATAGATCGACTGTTCGCCAGGACGGAGGCCATAGATTGCCATACCTACAACGAATGGATAAGCAAGTCATCTTATTGTAGAGATTTCAAGCATACCTTGGTAGCTTAGAACCCAAAGGTAAAGGATATCGCAGCACGCGTTAGCATGCAAACTTCCCTGGGCAAGTCCTTTCCTCAGCACGTCGGTACCAGTGGAAGTCATATTACTTTGAATGTGAACGCTTGTTGAGAGGTACAGCACCATGTGGCAATATGTGGAATGCGTTGCATGCGCACATATGCGCCTCGCTTCATTCTTGTATTGATACTCCGGTGTATTCATTCCCAATGCTGGTGAAGGAAGTTCTGTACGAAAGGCGTCACCTGGCGTTCGACAAAGCCCAATGATCATGAAATGGAAGGGAGGAATCGAAGTAGTCAGGAAATGATGAAGATGTCTCATGTTTGATGATAAGGACATCGGGTAAGTGAATGAGTAGAGGGTTCGAATCGCTTCTGTAGCCGTATCTCCAATTTTTGTTGCATAGGCGAGAAGGGGCGATACAAATAGCAACGCGATGCGGCATTCTACCCAGAACTCGCCGACGGCCATGCATTCCATTGGGGAAGAGGAACTGCACTTCTGTGTGTGCGTTTCACTGGACGACGGCTGCCGTGTTAGATGTACTCGCTGAGACGAAGCTGGTAATCCTAATCGAGTCGTAGACCGGCGAGAATATCGAGGTTCTTCACAGACTGAACGTTGATACCACTAGCCATCACCGCGGTCGTCCTCTACATCAAACGTAAGACTTTCAGGGATCCAGTCGTAACCATGGACATACCGACAACACTTGTTCTGCGACTGAAGTAAAATTCTCGCCTATCGGAGAATCGTACTGGGATATACAAGAAACAGATGAGAACAAAAAACAACCTTGAAGGAAGACGGACTGACATTGGGATCAATACGGATGCTAATCAGATTCAACATACGGAAACAGGAGAGCAGAGATCTCAATCTCTCATGAAAATTAACGATTTACCGTAAAGCTAATCGTGGCAATCCATTAACACGACATTGCGCATCTGTCACCGTAACTGCAGAACCCTCCAGATACGGCGAGAAGATGATGGGAAAAAAGTGGATATACCCAGTCATTTTTTACGAAAAATCCGATTAACAGAATACTACCATCGGGTCACAATTTAAAGCAGCGGATTAGGAGAATTCGCCTAATAAAGGCCTGTACAAATTAAGGTCAGCAGTAGTCGATGAGTTCCTCGTTAATTTTATACCTGGACATCCGAGTCGACAGAACGTGGGTCTTCTGAGAAATAGAACCCATTAGCATCCCTATTGCCGAAGAAGGACAATACCACGCACACATCAGATCATAGTTCGGCACGAAGTCCAGAATGATATCTAGACCAGGAATCAGTATGACGAGTATGTGAAGCAAGGAACATGGCGTACATGGTCAGTGGCGACAAATCTATGCAATGACTGCACTTGGACGACGCCCAGTTTAAGCATATATCATGCAGCTAATTCCTAGGAACCTTGTCAAGCCAATGTAGGTAGTCGAAATGTGATTAAAGTGCCTACGGAACTGCGCCAGGACGTAGCAAGTACTAGAACGCCATCCTGTAAATCCAAGATTGCGTTGATGACGGCAGTGCAAGCCGTTCCGGCAAATGCCGAGAGCCGCCGGCAAGCCGTGATTCGGTTGGTCCTTGTTGATTCCAGGCTGATGTCGTCTCTTTCCCCGTTACCCACCATGACCTTCGTATCGTGTTCACCGCTCTGTTCGCTTTCGACTAATTCCGACATTATCAATTTACTTCTGAAAGCATTCGAAACAACTAGTCGTTTTCGCGGTTACCATGAAGAGCTGCATATCACCGGGATTTCTGGCGGTGCGTTGAATTCTTCTACAGCATAGGTGAAACTAACATCCATAAATAGGCGTCGTCCTCTCGTTCAGTGATCACTCGCATGACTTCAACACTCCTGCTCAGTACAAGAATGCGCTTGCCGGACCATCCCCTGCTCGTGCAACCGAAGGATTAAGCTCATCGAGGGTAGGCCTTGATTGCCGTTTCCTGGTGATTTGCACTGAACGCTCTACGAAGATAACGGATGATCATCACTTATCATTATCTTGAAACGACCACGGATTCAGCTCTATGAGCTCTGGGTTTGGTGAGTACGGCCACGAGAAATTCGACACCAGAAGGAGCGCGGCCAAGCGCTATAGGGCCGGTTTCAGGAACAAGTTGCTATGGACTTCGGCAGGCTTTTGAATATCAGAACTTCTATGTGGCGTCAAGGGATGATCGATGAGGCCTTGAGGCCTTTAGGTGCGGAGCTGCGTATTCTCCCCTTCCCTATCAACTATTAATTAACAGACAAAATAGCCGACCTGTAACTGGACTTGCTGATGGTCTCAGGCACAAGGATTCCGCTTGGAGGCGGGAACGACGCAAACTCAGGACGAGCAGCGGCACTCAGACGTTCCACTCATCCTAGTTTCCTAACAACTTTCTTTTTCCCCAGATACGAGTAGATCCTTTGCTATATTTGTCCTAGCTATTGATTCAATTGATCGTGTTGCTACCTTTCACCCGTTTGACGAGACTGATGAAGACTACTGCCCAGGCATTAACCTGTACTCATCCATTCATCGAGCTGCTTTCAATCTCTGCGTGTCGCTCTCCACCTACGCCTTCGTAAGTGCCTGCAAGGTAAATGAGTCGAGAGTCGTTTTTGTCAGTATGCTTATCCTAATCTCTAGCTTATCGGTGACGCATCAAAAGTGGAGGGTGCGAGTATGACATATCTACCAAAAGAGCCGCAAACGTGATCGACTGATAGTGTTTCATGATGGAGAGGCTAAGTCCGACTTGACGCTGCCCACTGTGGCAGAGACGTTATGAGTCTTCGAGTCCTAGGATGACTGTCATTTCCTTCTGGCTTCTTACCCTTGTTTAGCAGGGTTATTCAGAACGATTAGCAAGTGAAGGCGACATTGAGGCAAGGTCATTGCAGGAGTGCATCATCCACATGCATGTACGTCGTCCATTGTTGTATAACGTTCTCTGACTGATCGCTTGTTCAGATCTACTTCTGATGTTCCGAACTATACATCTCTCTCGAGGTTATAGCGGAGACTTGTTCGTACAGCTCTGTTCTCTATTTCTTCACCTGTGCCTATACATATTAGAAGGTGAAGTAACTGCTGGGGCTAAACCAGGACCTTGCGATGAAGTTATGCACGCGTTGTTGCTGTACTGGCACTTATGGTTCACACGCATTCCAGTCTTTTGGTGACCATGCACGAAAATGTACCGATGCTGCTCTTCGTATCTGCTAGGAACAGGTTCTCGCAAACAGTCACCTGAATCGATGGATTTTCTCGTGAATTATATTTGTTGTAGCTCTGAGACTGACTCTTTTCTAAGACGGCTGGTTTTGACGCGCCTTAGAGGCATATAAACGACGTCAAGAAAGCTTTTCTTTCCCGGTTTCCTTTGATTACGCATGGTTTCAGGGCCATCCTTTTGACAAGGTACCGGATGTATGCATTTTCCTCGATTTTCCAGACATCCCGGTAATCATCCTATCTGTCCATGCCATCTGTTCTCCCTCGCCCAGAGTTCCTCCCGCATCCATCGACCCTCTCTTCTTTAGATGCAAATCCAGCAGCTCTGCGAAGTCATTTGTCCTAACGGTACCCCTCGGATTTCCTTCTCTATCAATGTACGAATCATTTCGATAAGAACAGTAACTCCGATGTCGTCGACAGCATGAGATATGATTCGACTCCACGCTGGTCGTTCAATCACAAGCTCTGCAGTACATGAGCAGTAAGCGTCGTTTTCCTTCCGTTAGCATATGTGATTTCAACGTTGGATCACCAGCATACGTTTATCTGCATACAGAAAATAATATCAATCAAAGCCAGAATATCAGAGGTGCGGGACAGTTCACCAGGACGGGCATTTCGGAAGGACAAGACAATATCCAAAAGACGAGAAGGCAATGTCGCGAGAGCTGTCAATATAAGGGCCGAGATTCCTATTTTAATATCAAACTCTCCGAGATTCCTATCAAGGACGATCCAAAAATACGGAAGCAGATGGTACGCCCATCCTTTTTCTCAATCAGACTCGTGGCTTACCATGTTCTGTCGAAGTCGGGAACATTTCATTCATAGGATCACAGGGGGACAGGAAAACAACGATCACAGCAAAAGCTGTTATCCGAGAAAGAGCTCCTGCCGTCACTGTTGATGGGAATCATGCTCGCAATGTAAACAACGTATGTCGTCTGGTCCTATGACTGATCACTTTCTGACCATCTTACGTGTAGAAACACGTTGCCATTGAGTGGAACTTGGTAGAGATAAATTCGAAGTATCAATCCTCCCATTTTGTCAGCACCAAGTGGGTGCCACTGATCTCCTCCTCAGCCATTAACTCTCTAAGAGAGATAACGCTCCCCATCCCTGGGGTATCCCTAAGAGGTATAAGAGTATATCTTATACGTGTATTCTTCTGCGAGGATACTCGGATATGATGGTCAAATACGGAGATCTGGGCACTCGCTGGAAGCGCTGGCATCAAAATAACGTCGAGTACATCTCTCGCGGGTCCTCAGGATGATTCCTCTAGGCTCGATATCAGGAGTTGGAATAGAAAAGAGGACAATAATGATATTTTCCCTGTACAAATAAGTCTGGCTTTGCGCACATTCTGAGCTTCGAGAATTGCGCGCTAACGGGGTGATAGCCTGATAATACGGAATCGGATAGTGCGATGATCCGGGCGAGGAGAATTCTGCGTTCGACCCTTGCGTGCGTGCGTTCAACTGCGTTTGAATGCGTTCAACTCGGATGCGTTTGCGTTCCTTCGATGCGTTCACATGCGTGACCCGATAATAGTTACTCTACCTTCAAGAATACTACTATCATGTGTATTTACATGGCGCACTTACCTACTTTTGATGTATTTCCTGGACATGTATTGGCAGCTTTCTATGACTTAGAAACAGTGTGAGACTATCTTGGAAAGCCATAAAGGCGTTGATTTTGTTGTAATATGTCTTAGAACATAATCCTCCTACTTCAGTATCATTTCGTGTTGAAATAGTTGTGAACCCTTGCATTTTTTGGACTTTTGGTAAACCAAAAAACTTGTGTGCACCTCTCGAATCGACGCAACTCACTTACGCAACTCAAAAATAAGTCACGCATGCGTTAATAAATCGAACGCGAGCGTCATTGTAATAAACGCACGCGTTGCCCAAACTAACGCATGCGTTCGAGACAAAACGCAAACGAGAACGCAAATGTGACGATGGTTGTGACGGCGTGTCACGTTTGCGTTAGGCTGTGTTGAACTCGAGTTGAACTGTGGTGGCTTCTCCCGTTGCACTTCATATGTGCTCGGCTACATTCTCCAAGCTTAAGAGAGATTCTCCAATGGATTCCTGCTGTATATATCTCAATATAATTTGCGGAAACCTACCAAGATTTAGCTGAGACGCCTTGAACTGGTTCTCTTTCCTCCGATCTGTTTATATTGCTCATACTATTTTCATACCTCTAACATAGTCCAATATCCATGGAAACCCTCGAGGCGTGTCTTCTGGAGGGAAATATCCACATGAGTGATCAGGTGGGTTCACACTTAGCCGGGGAGAGTGTCCTTCTACGGGCTGAGACCTTGTTCCCATCAAATTACGGTGCTGAGATCTTTTACGAGTACGTTATACTGTTACATTCCGCATATTTGATAGCTAAAGTACATAAAAGCATTATTACGCACGAACGCATCTTTGTCGAGTTCGCAGACGCAAACGCAAGCGTGACAAACGCATGCGTTTAAACGCAAACGCACGCACGCGAACGCGAACGCAGAATTCACCGTGCCCCGATGATCCCTGGGCACACGTAGGACGCATGGGTAAGGTGGTACGAAACATGCATTAAAAAATCCATCTGACGTCCTCAAGTTCTCAATGCTTGTGCTGCTGTATCTGTGTTATTCGACGTGTGCAGACATATATTATGAGAATTAAGCCTTGCGCTCAATGACTGTATGTGTCCACTTAGGGATATCTTTGGGCGTCTATCTTTTGACAGCACGGCTGATGGCAACACAGGGGCCGAACGTGGTGACTTCTTCGCCTTGCTTCCCACCAAGACAGCTTGACCGAAATTTCTTGGTACACCACGCTTTGTTATCAACGTACGTCAACTATGGGTGTATACCGTCATAGTAGGTCTTCTCATATTGTTTTCGACGCTTTATGTCCTCATTCTATCATGCCGAGCTAGATTTTTGGACGGGAATGTGGAAAAAGATCAGAAACTATGCTTCAGACATCAAAGAACCGCAGGTGAACGCGTAACGGCATGCGCAGAAGGGCGGGAAATAATGCATTATAGAAATACGAGAGTCTCCCCGAGATCACACTCTCTGCCTACGACGAGACCAGCCGAGCAGAAAGTGTTCCAGTACTGAAACAACGGACCTACACTGGTAGGGTATTACCATCGCCGGTGGCGGACACTTCTTGCACCCACCTAGGTGTCGATAGGATGTTGGACAAGGTCGGCGCCCCATCCTGCACTCCGGATAGCCTCCTATATAAAGCGTGCGAAGACTTTGTCACAGAAAATTGCGACTTTGGCACCGCATACGTTCATTTGCGCCCCCGTTACTTACCGTACCCGCAGTTTTCTTTTCTTTACCGTTTACCACCATGTCGACATACTAGGTATAAACGAGTTGCTCATTTTTCGTTCCTTCCCGTGCTCGAACTTCAACATGTACTAAGTATTACTAGATCGAAGCGATTAAGTCGTAATGGGTATCTAAATGTTCCGATATCATCTTACCAATACAGTTGCCATTACTTCAATCTCGCTTGCTCAAAGCCTGTAACTGAACGTATTCATAGTAGTCGCCCTTCCGGTTAATGAGCTGGTCATGCGTTCCAGACTCACTGACACGCCCTTCCTTGATGAAGTATCTATCCAAAAGGTGGTTAGACATGAGCCTCGAGAGCATATCTACTGCACTCACATGCGGTCAGCGTTCTGAATTGTCGATAATCGATGTGCAATAGCGACTGTTGTCCTGCCTTTTGCCGCTTGGTCAAGGGCGGCTTGTACAACCTTTTCTGAATTGGAATCGAGAGCTGATGTAGCTTCGTCCAGGAGGAGGACTTTAGGGTTACGAAGTAAAGCGCGGGCGATAGCGATACGTTCTGAATACAGAAACAATCAGTTAACTGTCTCTTTGTACAGGTAAGGTACTCACGTTTTTGGCCGCCCGAAAGCTGGGATCCTTTTCCACCGACTTCCGTGTCAAATCCACTACGACCACGTGTGAAAAATTTACTCCTACATAAAATAGCAGAATCAACTCACTCGGGAAGTCCTTGAATGAAGTCCAAGATGTTCGCGTCCCTACATGCAGCTTCGATTTCTTCTTGCGTGACTTCGTCCCATGGTTTGATAGCACCGAGAAGGATGTTAAAGCGTATCGTCCCCGCATAAAGGGTTGGCTCTTGAGAAACCAAAGCGATCTGTTTACGGTACTCCTGTACGTTGTACTCTTCGATTGGTATGCCGTCCATCTGGAGAATCAAGTAAGTAGGGTTGAATACAGACATGGGATTACCTACATAGATCTCGCCTGCCAACGGCTCGTAGAATCGTTCAATCAATTGGATGCTAAAGAATATTGATCAATACGATGGATTATCCAGACTAGGCGGAAGACATACACAGTACTCTTTCCACTGCCAGAGGCACCCACAAGTGCAATATATGTGCCTGGCTCCACTTGAAGTGTCAGCTCCCACAAAACACGGATACCAGGCCGAGTAGGATAACGGAAATGAACATTTTCCAAATGAATGTGTCCTTGAGCTTTGGCAGTATCAACCTTCTTGCCTTTGGTCGATTCGGAATCAATCTTTGGGACAGAGTCGAGCAATCGAAGGATATCACTGCCGGCGCCTTTCGCCGAGGAAACATCAGGTACAAAGGCAAAGACGTTTCCTGCTTGAATAGCACCGAACATGGTGGACTAAGTAATACATTAGCAAAATCTGACAGCGACGACATAGAGAAGCGTACCATGAGACCAACGAAGAAATCGAACGTGGAAAATTCCCGTCTTGACACTAGGGCTGCTCCGTACCAGAAGACCAAAGCAATGCAGAAGAAGATCGTGGACTGAGAAAACGCATACAACATATTGCTCCAGATAGCGGTCCTGTTAGATTTGCAAAGTGGCTCTTCCAGGCTCTCGGAGTATTGGTTGCAGCAGTCGTCTTCCCGAGTAAGGGATGCAACGGTTCGAATGGCACCAGCGGCTTCGCAGGCGAGTTGTGCGGAACTTTCATGAGCTTTCTTGTTTTTCTGATCTTTCAAGACAACGACACGCTATGGGGCCAATCAGCAACGGCGGGTGCCTTCTATGTAAACAGACTTACCAAGCGGATATACCCCATGGACACGAGAAGAGGCGTAACCGCTGCGATATGATCAGTATACAATTTCAAGGGTATCCATTGGACGTACCAATACCGACAAGGCCGACTTTCCAGATGAAAATTAAACCGAGAATGGAGCCCACGATCAGGGTCGAGATACTCTGCTGCACGATTCTGAGTGGGGAGTTAGCCAAATGTGCTTAATCTGAGAGATAGTCACTGACGCCGCGAGGGTAGCACCAGCCAAACCAAACACTTTTTGAGGGTTTTCACTAAGGTTCGATACCAAACCACCGGTCTAGAAAGAAGGTCATGATGGAGGTCCAGACACATTCTGCAGGAAGACTTACGCTGTGCTCGTCCCTATCGAAGTACTCAACTGCCCAAATCGTAAGACAACATTATACATCAAGAAAACAATTAAACTTACTGTCTTGTCTCAAGATAGCCTTGAAATTCAGAGACCTCAGTTTCGCCATCAACGCTGCGGCGGAAGACCGAAAGAGATAATTCTGCATGCCAATAGACAACGTAGAAATGATGGCTATGATGAAGAACCTAGACTCGAAGTCAGCGATGTCTATCAGAGTAAAGATGAAGCACTGACCAAAGGGCATTCCTGTCGCCAGAATGTCTGAGCTCTGAGCCAGTGAACGAGAAGCCGTGGATAGCCTTAGCTAGAGCACATGGTCAATGAACCATAAAAATGGGAGGGAAGACCACGAACCATATACGATACCAAAGGCCAGATATGCCATCCCCGTCATAGTAGCAAAGATCGTGCCGAGGAAGTACTTCCTCCATTGTGATCTGTTGATTTTTCCCATACGTTTGAAAAGGTAATACATGCTGTGTTCCGGCTCTTTGGTGTCCTTCTGTTCCTTCTTCTTCTGCTCCAGGATCTGGCTGGCAAGTGACTGACCGGTATTTCGTCTACCAAGAGGAACCTCCTCGTGGGCGGCCTTCTCCATGTCCTTGGGTTCATCATCTCTATCATCTGCATCAGCGGCAACGGCGGCTACTTCATCGCTTTCACGAAGCCTCTGAGCTTGGACGAGGCGCGCATAGGCGCCACCTTCTCTTTGAAGCAGTTCCTGGTGAGTTCCCTGTTCGATGACCAGTCCATCTCCCATGACGAATATGATGTCGGCGTCCTTGATCGTTGAGAGACGATGAGCGATGGTGATGGTTGTACGTCCTGAAAAAATTCATTTTCGTTTGAACAATGGTCAGAATTCTTTTCGACTTACCAGCCACGGCCTTTTCCAGGGCGTCCTGTACAATTCCCTCACTTTGAGTGTCCAAAGCACTAGTCGCCTCATCGAGAAGAAGAATGCGAGGATCTGATACAATGGCTCTGGCAATGGCAACACGTTGTTTCTGACCACCACTAAGCAGGAATCCTCGCTCGCCAACCATGGTATCATAGCCCAGATGCAGCTTGGTTATGAAGCCATCAGCGTTAGACTTGACACATGCTTCCTTGATCAGCGCGAACTTCTCCTCCTCGGAGGCATTTTCATACTTAGTTCCAATAAGTCCATGCTCAATGTTGCCTCTGATCGTGGTCGCAAATAGTGTTGGCTCCTGCGATACCAGTCCAATTTGCGAGCGAAGCCACCTGAGATTGAGAGACTTCAAATCCCGTCCGTCAAATTTCACGACACCAGATAAAGGATCATGGAATCGTTCTATCAGAGAAATCACTGTCGACTTTCCGGATCCTGAGGCACCGACAAGAGCGGCGATTTTACCCGCTTGGAAGGTGAGGCTGATCCCTTTCACGACCTGGATGTCGGGACGTGAAGGATAATTAAATTGAACGTCCTCGAGTGTGACTTCACCGAAAACGGTTTCTGGCTTTTCACCGCTAGGATCGGCCGAATCTATGTCTGGCACACGGTCGATGGTGGCATAAAGTTTGGCAGCCGCACCTTGTCCATGAGTGATGGCTAAAGAATATTAATATGAAGAAGCGTGTATAGACAGTCAATGTACCTTGCATTTCGGGTGCTAACAATACCAATGAGAAAAAACCAGTCAGGATCGCCATGAATACGTTGATGACAATACCAGCGTCGGCTACGGGCCCAAACATCAATACCGTTATTTAACTTTAACTGCTGCAGACGCACCATCTCCCCGCAAAATGAGGGTCGTACCGAATGAAAAGGCTGATAGAGAGGTAAGCAAAACGGGTAACGATAACGCCTGCTTTCATACGCACCTAAAGCATACGAGGAGTAGACGCAGAAAAAGAGGATCGAAAGACTTCCTCCGAGCCATATCGCGGACTTGACATCAACCACCTTCGACTTCTCGATGTGCTGATCGTACAAGCCCGACAGAATCCCCTGCGTGCCAAATGCCTGCACCGTTCGAATAGTGGAGATGACTTCTTCGGCGATACTTCCAGCGTTTGCAATATGCTTCAGGGAAAGCCTGGCGAAAATTTAATGCATGTCGAGTGATGCAATACAATGTTATTGGACGTACTGCATATATTTGGATATGGCCTTGTTCATAACTGCTCCCGTGATAGCAATGCAAGGCAACAAAGACGTCAAAGCAAGAGCAAGACGCCAACTCCGGATATAGGCCAATATAAAACCAGTAGCAAAGGCCGACAAGCAGGTCACCACGAGGGCAACCTTCTCGGACATGCCCTGTTGTACCAAGTCTGGCAAGCGTTCAGCGAAGATGTAAAGAGAAAGAGAACGCATAGAAGCTCACGGGTGTCGGTCTGTATCCGAGTAGCAACCTCTCCTGCTCCAACTTTGTCAAAAAATTGGATGTCCTGGCGTAAAACCGCTCGCAAATACCGCTCCCGAATACGTTTTGCGTTGATCTCAGCAGTGTAAACCCATACATACATGTAGAAATAGGTGCAGACGAACATGCTGATACCTTGAATGCTCAATTAACTAAAGAAATTGTAACTGAGGGGATACACACCTATGACAACTAGATAGAGCGCGTCCTTGCTAGCTACATGGCGGAACGATGCCGCGGCAGCAGGTAAATCGTTTATAGCTTGTTGATCGCCCTGGTCCGCTTGATTGACGACTGATTGGAATATAACGAATTCATTGGTAAGGTTTCCAAAAAGCAGTGTCATTAAAGGCTAGAAGAGGGGATGTTATGGTTTACACCGTGTATATGCGCATATAGGACACACCTGGGCCGCGCCTGCTGCTGCTGCTGCAACCAAAGCAATTGCATCGATGAGAAGTTCGAATTTCGTGGAGAACCTGCAAGTCTCAGCAGCAGTTAGGTAAAATGTAAATAAGATACACACCTGAAGAGCTCCGTGAAGGATACAGGAGGTGCTTCCGGCTCGGGGGGGACGACAGCGACCTCTGAGCCTTTCTCATCGGTGTCGACAGATTTGGTCAGCTTCTGGCGAGTGAACCAGCCAGCCTTCTTTGAGTCTGGGCCAGTGATAGTAAGCTTTTCGTTGGCAGTACTAAGTCGCGAGTTGGACATTTTAGTCAGGGCGAAGGCAAGGGTCAGAGCCTGAACACCCTTTATAGGATGGAAATAAAACGAAGGTGTACGTGATGTGATGTGGTCAGCAGCGAAGAATAGACGAGTCAGCCTGAGTCGTGCTTTTTGACTGGCTGTGCCGCGTGCAATGTTTGCACACCTGCTGTTAAAAATTATGGGGAATAGAGTCAAATGGCTTTATCGTATCTAGGGAACTTGACAAGGATCAGCCTACGTGGTCTCTCTGCTTGTCTTCCTGCTTTGCAGGGTGCCGGATTCATACGCGGATTTGCCGGCTTTTCTCAGACTCCTGTGCACGTTGATTCGATCTTTAGGCAGGCCGACCGGCGACGACAGTGGCGGCATCTCTATTTTTAACTCCAAGTTCTTCTGGGGCAGAAAAATAAATAAAGTCCTTGCCCTAGTCGAATAAATGTGAGCGACATCTAATGGAATGGCTGCAAGTCCTCAGCAAAGTCTCTTCGAGCAGCAACACCGTACTTGCTATACACTTGGCGTTACAGTTAGGCAGAAAAACAAAATTATGACTCATAGGTTACAACGTAATGTTTTCCGGCTGCGTAGTTGCCTTGATCCTGCAACTTAAAGTGGAAGTCAATCAGAAACGGAGGTATCCTGACTCATTGTTTTCCAAACCAATCCACATCTTCTAGACTTTTCTACCATCGATACTCCAAAAAGACTGGCCCTTGAGTTTGAAGCTAGCTTGAAGTTGCGCAGCGTAGTGCCTTCAGTGAAGCCAGTTAAATAAGTAAAAACTTGGCGTCAGTCTTCCATCATGGCGTCACCACTAGCCTCATCTCTGACATCGGGACATTTATTAAACACGTTGGGTATACGCGCCATCCACATTGCTACAGTGCAAATTCTGCAGACAAAACGTGTGTAAGCACCTCCATGTTCCAAACGGCTGGGAGGATGGGATTTGGAGGTATGCAGTCACGCAGAATGTTGGAGGCCCTTTGAACTGAGAAAAAAGCTACTGGTGTGGGATGCGCAGGTAAAATAGTTCAATCCATCATATATCTTGATTCTTGACCGTCGTCATTCGAATTTACCGTAAATTTACGCGGCGCCTCAAGTTCTGATCACGTGCAAATAATGAAAATGTCGATCATGACAACACTCTGACAGAAAACGTCCGAGTCTCATTTTCTACCTCAGTTACTGGCATCCATAACGGTCTCTCATTTTTAAGAAAGCAGGCTTTCTACACTGTCTTTAATATCATTATGTCCTGGAAACTGGGTAGGAGCAAGAAGTCTTCAGTCTACAATTTACTGGCTGAAGACGTCATGAATGCTCGTTCCATTACCCCCACTCCCGGAAATTCCGATGGCACTCCCAGCTCGAGTTCAAGGTCCGGTCTTCTTGCTATCCGTGTTCTATGGGCGGAAGGTCTAGCGCTTCCTCCTGGCATCGCCACTCCCGCGGCCGTCCAAAAGGCTCTGTCATCCCAGCAGGCAAAAGTTGCTTCATCTATTTCCCCATCTAGCGTTGAGCAAGGTCCTCGCATTCATCAATGGGGGAGAACTCTTCCATCATCTTCAAAGGGAACAGCGGTTCAATGAAGAACATTCTTGGTATGAGTGGATAAGAATAAGAACCAGAATGAGAGGAAGCACACTTACACAATCCAAGCGTTCCTAACATCCTCAGATACCCAAAAGCAGTGGCAGATGACACGAGAGAAGCTAGCTAGGTATGGTCCAGAATGTCGAAGCAAATGTAGGAGATGTGTATACCAGGTTCGGTATTATACCATGCCTAAGAAATCGTTACAGGGAACCTTCAACCTCGAGCTAAGCCGCACTAGTGATTGATCACAAAGAGAACGCGAATATCAAATTTGTGTCCATTCTGGGATTCCGGAAATCCGGGACACGTTTTACCGTGATTGCCGGTCCCTACCGTGAAAAGCCTACCCTGCCGGCGTCATCGATCTTCTCGGGTTGATGCGCACGTTCTCAGCTGTGCTAGGCTTGAAGCTGCATCTATCCTCTTTACCTCGGTCCTCTCCTTTACCTCACACCACGATTTCTCCCTGCCGACCGATGCCGACAGCGGCAGTCACCGATTTCATTGTTGGTGCTTGTTGATTTTAGTCGTCCTTGTCATCTCTTTCGCTACACGATGCTGTTCACGTTGGCTGATTCTGATAATTGCCTTCTCAGATTTACATCTGAGAACATTCAAACGGCTTCTGGCTTCGACGGTTAGCATGGATGGCGGCCTCATTATCACTGAGGTTTCTCGCGGTATAGCACAGGAGTATTGATGGTCATTTTATCTTGGGCATCTTTGGGTTGTATAGTGCGTTATATCCGTCTACAATTTCGGCGAAACTAATCTCTGTGAATAGGGAAATGAAACACTAACCGCACCTTTTATTGTCATCTCGATTCTCGTCCAGCAATCATTGGCGTGGCTCCGACTCGGGGACTCGGTGCAACGACGCGCCTGCTGGTACTTCCTCCAAGCATGTAGATCACAAGTGATACGTTCATTGAGGGTAAGCTTCAATTGCCGCTTCCCCATTATCTTCGCTCAACCCTCTGTAGGGGATATCCGACATGTCATCGCATAGCATACGTTCTAAAACGGTCATGGATTCAGGTTGACCAGGTCTTGATTTTGCGGCTGCGAGAAATTATGACAGCGGAAAGGGGCATCGCGAGGCACTATAGGTCGACTTCAGGAATCACGTCACTACGGGCTTCGGGGACAGTTTGAAAATCAGAACTTCTATGTGGCGTGAAGGGTTTTCGTGCGTATTCTTCCGTTCATCATTGTATATTGCCTGAAGTCCGGTGCAGTTGGGAGGTTTGCAACTGTACCGTGAGGGCCTTGCTTGCGGCATTAGGTCCAGACTCTGCCGGAAGGTGGGAAGGAACTCAAGGGACGTCGCGATACCCAGATACTTCAGACATCCCGGTTACCGAACGTCCTTCTCTATCTCGAGATATGGATAGATGCTTCGCTATCTTTCATGTAACTATCGACTAAATTGATCGTGTTTCTGCCTTTTCACCTATACGATGAGACTGATGAAGATTACCGCCGTGACAATGACATTCTAACCAGCATCCATCCATTTGCCAAGCAGCCTCCAATCTCCAGCTACCACCTCCGGCTGCTCCTCCGTAAGTGCTGTGGATCCAGACGAGATAGGTGCCTACCCTTTTCCTTTATCAGATACCTTGCTTTTATGGGAATCTCTTTCAGAGAACTACGTTTCCCGTCTCGTATCGTTTCAGGTCGTTCGAGGTCGACTCTCCAAGAGGTGGTCCTTCATACTTACTCCGTCGAAACGAGATGTAAAGCTGATATCTATATTCTTCCTAGCTAAACAACCATGGTGTGTCTTCATGATGAATGCGTACCTCGTCGAAACGAGATGTAAAGTTGATGTTTACATGTTCCTATTTAAACGATCACGGTGCATCTTCATTATGAATGCTTCAACATGTAACTGCCGTCTATCCGTGCCCATCATGTTCAACTGGTGCTGGTACGAGGTAAAGGTCTCGAGAGACCTTTTCGGTCGGTCTTCTCATCCTAATATCTAGCTTATCGGTCGCACGGAAAAGCACGAGCTGAAAGTATGACGTATCTACTACACCAACCGCAAGAGTCGATCGATTGATGGGGTATCATGAAAGAGAGGGTAAGTCCAAGTTTATGCAGCTCGCTGGGTTGATCTATTCAAAGTGTATTGAAGAGAAGTACTATGAATCTCTGAGCACGAGGGCAACTGTCATCTCCCTTCAGCTCCTTTACTCTCGTTTAACGAGGTTCCTAAGAATGAGCCGGACTAAAAATTAAAGGCCAGTTCGTTGCGGGAGCTCGTCACTAGCATGCATGTAGGTATCTTTATTGTTGTATATCGTCTTCAGACTGATCGCTTGTCTAGATAGACATTTGATATTCGCGGATGGATTATGCTCCGAGCAGTGCGTAATATATCTATTGTTCGGCGAATATACATGTTAATTATTCCATTTCTTAGACAACCTGTGCTATATTGACCCGAGGTCTTTTCGTGAAACGGAACGAGCACTTAAACTATGTACCTATCACCGGAATGCCGATGAGAATTACGATGTAGGTAATCTATGAATCCTCAGCTCCAAGATTTTACTTCCAGTTTGTACAGATGTCAGTTCCGCGAATCTAAGAGGAATTGACTCCTCTTCAGCTGCTTTGCAATAAAACCAATTAACAGAACTCTCCTTCCTCAGTCGCATTTGGCAGTCTATGATTTATACGCATGTTCTTTTCGGCGCTTTTTTCAAGTAAGTACCGAAGGTATGTGCATTTTCCTTGATTGTCCGAATGTCCTAATGATAATTCTATCAGTCTAGTCTCTGCCACCACTTCTCCTTCTTCCAGTTTAGATGCGAAGGAATGCCTCGGGCACACAAATGAGAGAAAGCACGTATGACTTAAACTGGGTTAGCCCTTCCTTCCAATGGCCTTTCCGATGAAAGGTAAGTCCTGAATCGTTCTAGTAAGACATCTGGCGCATCCATTTCTAGTAGGCGTAGCATCTCTCCGCCACGATTCGCGCTCTGACACATTTACCGCACAACGATCGTGATATACCCTCTGTTTCGCAGCATCATTTCTAACATATCTGCTAGCGATCGTCTCCAGTATATTAACGGTGCGTGAATTTGCGCCAGGGTGGACAAAACGCCTGCATGTACTATCATACAGAATTTCATACAAGTATTTTTGAATGACACAATTCTGGTCCTATGACAATGTTGGAATCATCTCGCCATCCTCGTCCAGAAAGCTTTCTGTCGTTTCCGTGAACCATTTGGCGGATTTATCCTTCCATATGAACCGGGGGGTCAAGCGTGTTTCGTAACTAATGATATCCAACCCAGATATGCATTCAACAAACTATGACCTACCTCGTCAGTCAAAAACCTGGTCTTAAAGGATGAAAGACCCACCCGATTCCTCACAGCCCAGCGAGCAATTCTCAACCCGGAATCTCCATGCTCTCGCTCGACTGCTCTGAGTGCCTTCTTTATTTTCTCCTTGTACAAATCTGACCAATCACAGTTGACTTCCCCGGTGATGGGACATACATCCTGAACGAGACACCAGTCATACTCGTTAAAGGAAACACAACCGCGAGTTAACGGAGACTCGTTTAACACTCCCTTCAGAATTCCCATCGAAGTACCAATATGCGACTCCGAGTCCCCATCAGAGCTCGACCCCTCTTCGGTTTCATCCTCATCCTGCTCGGAATCGCTCCTCCCTACATCCCAGTCGGAGCTCATGTCTTCCGCTTCAGCGTCTGTATATATGCGGGCAGCGTGTCTTCCGGGTAGATCAGTATATCGTCCCCAGAACCTCATTGTTACAAGCCATTCTAGCACTTCAACAACTTCGTTATTGTGTCTCCCCCTATCGACGTCTTGGGCCCAGGCATGCCGTTCGGCAACGGGAAGACATTCATTGTAAAACCAGGTGGGCGTGGCCGTTTTGATATTCTTCATACGCTGGGCGATAGTCCCGGAGGGGCGAGAATGGATTGATTTCGACTTTGGCATAGTTAGAGGAGATGTAGAGAGATGAAATGTCTTGGAAACGACAATGTGAAACATTGACGTTCGAACGAGGGCTTATATTCCGTAGGTGCTCCACATGGTTATCATCTCTATTTAAAGACTTCAATGTTGATCTTGATATGTGGTTTTGTTCGCAGCCGTTGGTTCATTTTCAAACCAAGATACTCTGATAAGCTTCCTCGTTGTACTGGATTGTTCAAGACACGAAATTGTTGGATGAGTCCGACGTTGTCCTTGCGCTGTACAACTGGATCGAGGACCTTGTCGACGAAACAGTTTCGTGTCATGGATCTGAGTTCTACGATGTCTCCGCATGCGATCGTCTTCTCTTCTAATTCCGATAAACCTTCTTTGTACCTACATGATCCGAAGGGTGCACTTGTTGTTACCTGTCTCTTGCTCATTGGCGTGATCCCAATATGTGATATTTGCCGTGATAGCACTTGTACTACAACCGACATCAAAAGTCCAACAGCTGATAAGTTAAGGGTCCTGGAAATAGATGCTGAATTTATCAAGATCACGAAGTACAGATGTATATACACGTAGATTTACGTTGAACCAAAAAACCTAGCATGAGCCTCCCCATCAACGAGACAATCCTTCCTATCCAACAAAAATTCGACGTTTATCCCTTCATCCTTGATCCGGAACAAATCACGGAATGGTGAATCTTGCGCAACAGGAAGAGGGGGCCGATGTTCAGCCCATGATGTGCCTAGTGATAGCCGCAACGTATCCAGATGTCTATCGCCATGTAATCTCGATAGGATCATGGCGTGAAATGGGACTGCGTCCTCCAGGATACCGCTGGGTGCCGTTTGGATCATCGTCTCTTGAATGTGAAGCTCCTTTAGACAGTTGGCTAACCCTTGTTCGAGAGTCAGCATATGAAAGACGTCTCTTGCCACAGATGCATTGACACAGATGTCAAGCCTTTGGATTGCGGGGGATCGTATGAGAATAGGGACGAGGAGCGCCTCAACAGAGATGGGTATGGAGAAAGTGAGAGTAGTTAAATTGCATTGAGAACGATCTACGAGCCTGATCGGACGAGCGTAATCCACGGATTCGAAAGGACTTGTTAGGATACCCGGCGTTGGCGGCTGGATATTCACTTGGACTTCCAACTGTTGAAGAGCTGGAAGGGTAACGTAGTCAAATGCGACCGGGTTTTTGGTGACATCGCGTGAATTTTCGATGTCAACAACAAGTGATAGTCGCTGTAGAGATGTGTGGGTCATTGGAGGGTAAGGAATTGGTGCCGCATTGGTGAGATTAGGAGGGGGTTTAACGGGTGTTACAGCGAACTCAGTTAGTCGCTCCGCCTGTTGTAACATGGAGAGGAGTTCCGCAGGATCATATGAATGAATGTGGAAGATGCGCAACTCGGTCATGTTTATCGGCACGGATGAAGAGTGAATATGTTCGAGCTTCGCTTCTTTGATGGGTGATGAAGAGAAGAGGTTGTTCACCACTGCATGACTGATCACTGGCTGGGATTCACCCAATAGGCAGAAACGAAGATTCGTCAATCGGGTAGCTGGCGTTGATGCTAGGTTCAGGAGACGGCATAATAAACGATCGGTGATTTCCAGATCCAAAGTTGACCAGCGCCCCGAATGCGATGCTAGACGGGTGAGAACATCCATCTTTACATCTTGGACGTGTCTTCGTATATGCAAGTGCAGGGGTAGGTTGCCGGAAAGAGAGATATAGGTTTCAATGAATAGCAGAGGGCGAAGACTGCAAGATCGGGAAATGTCGATGTTCGTCCATAAAGAGGGATATGAACGGGAAATGCTCCGCCAGGTCGAGCAAACTTCACCGAGAATCCAGGGAGCATCGAAGGGATGGGGAGCATCAGACGACGCAAGGGAGAATATATGAAGTAACGTCTCTCTCGGTAAACGACGGATCGGCGCTAGGAGGGCCTTGCAACCGCCGAGGTCCTTCAGGATTTGTTCGCGCCGGTCACGGATTCGTCCATAAAGGGACTCGATCTGCTGTAGCTCTTGATCAAGGTTGGCTACGTCGGTTAGGATGGAGGCTCGGGAGACGTCAAGTGACGAGAATCCAGATTGTAGTAGCTCGCTCGGATTGACGGAAGGAGTGTAAGGACGTATAGCGCTGAATCCGCATTTCGGGCAGGTATTCTGGAGATATGAACGTGTCAGATGATAGAAGAATGAGAATACACGAATCCGTACCGTGTCCATACTGATAAGGTAGCGGATATTTCCAGAGGGCGTACTAAACCTGCGAGCGGAACTAAGAGTAATCGGAAAGCCTGGCCTGAAATCGTTCTGGAGTGAGGAGTCAGTATTCATATTTAGATGAGCGAATTGACGTTACTCTCACCTTGGTGTAATTTTTTTTCTGAGTCAGATTCGGTGTTGGCAGTCGGAGAGATAGAAATGACCGCCACACGTCAGTCGGAGCCGGCAATGCTTCAACAACACGTGATGAAACTATCATAAAATCGACTTAAGCACCTGGTTGGCCGACGCCTTGTCCAGTAAAACCTCGACACTGAGCCTCTTTTAACACAGAACTTCTCAGTCGTTCCCTCCTGAATCTAGTAAGTTCAAGAGTCAGATTTTCAAGGGTTTCCTTTGCTGCTGTACATCCCTAGGGGGCTGCAACTCTCGAGTGGCATCTTGAAAAACAGTGCACTGATTGGAGTTTTTTGCCCGGACCCGGCAATATCATTGGTGTATAGTAGTGTCTACCACTGGATAGTAGTAGGCACTGGTAGATGTTGTCGTATGACGTATTCTAATTTCATATAAGGTACATCACTGATCGTGATTAGATAATGCTAGAATTTCATCTTTTTCTGGTACCTCACCCTGATCGACTATCGCACTGGATTTCACTGTCGTATACTATGTGCTACTATGTGTCGGTGTCGCGTCAGTTGTATCGGCCCGTCCGTCGGGATTATATTCTCCCGCTAATTTCCATTGCCTTCCACAATATTCTATGGTACCCCGCTGTGCCTGGTTTTTGGCAGCCCATCCGATTGAACCTCTGCGCCAAGTCAGTCGTATCAAATACCTGATTCCCCTGTTATCCCTCCAAGATCATGGAACCTCTGTCATTTAAAGGCAAGCTGTCGACAAACTGCAAGAAGCATAGCTTCCTTTGGCCGCTTTCTTGCCAACTTGGCCTTCGGAACCGCGCTGAGGACCAGACGAAGTTCACCAATAAGAATCTCGTTGCTGATATCATTGCTCATTTTCGACAGAACCCTGCACTTTTGGGGGATGTCCTCTACGAGAAACTACGCATCCCAGGGATGGACTCGATAGCTCAAGCGGTAGTCTGGCCGGGGTCCGGTTCGGTCCAGGTTCAGGCATATTTGCCTGAACCTCGAACCTGGACCTCGAGGTTCACCTGCCGCCCCCCCGAACCTCGAACCCGAACCTGAGGTGCAGGTCCAAAAGGTTCGGTCCAGGTTCGGTCCGGGTTCGAACCGGGTTCAGCAAAAAAAATTTATTACGTGCTGTAGACTGTGATATTCATACATGTGATACATGATTACTCTATGACCAAGTTTCCATCATCAAAGCATGGCCCGATTTCCATCTGTGCTTCGTTCTGTGCACTGATACGTCCATCCCAATAAGCTTCCTTCATGGTGCCGAACTTCTCTGCATCAAAATTGCGACAGCGAGGGTCAGAGTCTGTGCGACCTGCATATGAAAACATGCATTCTGAAGGCACAGAAGATCCTGGAATGGCAAAATAAATCTCAGTACTATGTATTAGATAGCAATCAGCAATTTAGCACGATATAACTTCTGAAAGCTTGACCTGAACTTTACCTGAATTTTTCGAGGTTCACGAGGTTCGGACCAGGTCCGAACCGGGTTCAGAATTTTCAAACAGGTCGAACCTCGAACCTGGACCCAGGTGGCTGTGCTGGACCTGAACCTGAACCGGACCTGGACCTGCAGGTTCGGTTCGGGTTCGGACCGGGTCCACACGGTCCTGAACCGGACCGCGGCCAGACTATCAAGCGGGCGACGTTGGGGAACCAAATCCAGCTAATGAGGCCAGCGCTGTTAATAGGGGTTCAAAGCGAGGCGAGGCAGGTTCAAGGTGCGAGTTTTATTTTATATAGGAGCGTTTTTCTGACTGGCTCTGCCAGTAACGCTCAAGGTACCAAAAAGACGAAGAAAAGCTCCGACAAGGACATAGAGGACGATTTGGCGGAGGAGGAAGAAAAAGGGTCCACGGCCACAGGGTGCGTTCACTGTAATTCAATCTCATCTCTGGCGTTTATCCTCCGCATTTTCAGAGTACTCAAAACGCTCCTTTTGTCAAAAATGCCAGTCGCACCCCCGGCAAGCCATGTTCGCCTAGGAAATACGACGACCAAGGGTGCTGAAGGGAAAGGTAAGTCGTATTTGACTTATAGCGAGACAAGAGATTATTAATTTACTGCGGCAGGTAAAGCTACAGTTGACGACTCCAGCTCCACATCCAGTCGAGCATCGTCGGTTAGCAAAGCAGAGCAGGATAGAGACTTAGAGATCTCCGACAATAGGACTGTCGGGGCCAATCAAGCGGTGGAGAACTCTGGGTCATACACTATCATGAAGACCATCCGAGAACCATACTGTACGTATTTCAAGGCTTTGTAAACCGTGTCCACACTTACAGTTCCATTTAGTGTCTGTTAACCTTGTTCCGGTCGACAGGAATGCGAATAAACTGCAAGAATCAGCATATGAGGTTGGCTTGTCGACGGAGAAGGTGAAAATATATTCACGTTCCAAGCCAGGCCAGGGTGGTCGACGATTCGCGGTGAAGTATTCAGAGATTCTTCCAGAGTTGGTTGCCACGTCTTCTCCAACAAAAGGTTCGTTTCACTGCCCTCTCGTTTTTCTCAATGGACTGACTTCATTGGTCAGAGCGAGGTGGTCGATTTATGAGACCAGGAATTGCGCAGCCAGATAGGTTGATGTACCTTGGACCCGTCGAAAGCTTTCAGAGCATGAATCCCCCACCAATTGTTCCACGCGCTGACTTTTGTGATGTGACAAAGCTTGGGGATGACGTGTGGGTTGCGGATATCTTTCAGGAGATAGACAACAAGGTGAGTTGACGGTTTTGTCTCACTTTTGTGGTAGAATGCGCTCACCATCATGATAGAGTTCCTCTACAAAGGTCAAAAACACTCTCCAGGCCGAGAACAAGCAAGACGCAGAGAAATCTGGCATCGACGAGGACGTTGTGAAATATATTCAAAACGACATCATGCAGCTTCCCACCGGATCGGAGGAGCACAGAATATTTACCTCACGGGCTGAGACAGCTCGTGCGGCGCTTATACGCTACAAGAGGTTTGAGGAGAACCTGGCAAAGCTTCCTGATGCTTGGAGCGCCGGAAAGGAGGGAAGTTTCAAGATTTCTAAAGGTATGCTGCATTCATGTACGTTTATTCAATTAATCTTAGACACAACTTAGATGATCCCCGATTCCCCGGCGTCACATTCACCGAAGGTGATTTACACCAGATATTTCACTTCAAGCCCGCCAACCACGGCAAGAACAAGAGACGATTCGGCAAACGCACCCATGAGCGCCATCCCGAAACCATTGGTGCCTGGTTCAAGGATCCAGACGGCGCTATGAACGATATATACGGCACTATGAAGTTATCAGAATTTGATGCTGAACTTCAACAGCTTGACGTAGCGAAGGACGCCGAAGTAGACAAGAAGAAGAGAGAGAGAAAGAGACTCTTTAAGGTGGAGAGGTCGGATCACTCGGGTGAGGAGAGTAAGAGCAGTCATCGAAGAGGCAAGGGTTCGTCGAAGGGCAAGCAGAAGCGGGCGAAGGCTAGTCCATCGGGTTCTTCGTCGGAAGAATCTTCTTCCGAGGAAGAGAAGCGCCCAAGGAAGAAAACCAAGCACGCTAAGGTTTCCTCCTCCAAGGCTTCGACGTCGAAGGCTAGTTGGTATGTGGACCTTGATTCTGATGATCTAGATGGTGATGAATCAATTTTTCATTGCAGAGATGATGATGCCTAGTTATTACATAGAGCGTAGTTATAACTAAATACATAGGTACCTGAGCGTAAATGAAATTCATCTTCCTATCTTGACCTTGAACCACATTGTGCATAGTATGCCCGGATCTGCCCAGAGCCTCGTTAATGCTCTATGCGTCTATTTCCCTCCAGGACTATCTATTGAAAATGTTGTGCTAGTGCTGGGCACATTCTTATCACTGTACCCTCTCGTGCGACTTCATAATAACCAGCGCCGTGATCTGAATCAGCGGCAATGGACAGCATGGATGACTGGATTGATTGCCATCCTTGCAAAAGCTTTCGACCCTCATGATATGGAGGGATGGATTGATGAAGAAGAAAAGTTTGTCCTTGCTCAAAACATGGCCAACGACGCAGATATCCTCTATGAATTCCTTGGTGTTGACATGACAAAGCCGCTTTCAGAGATCTTCTCTCAGCCTTCTCCCATCCTCATGACTGATCTACTGCGCTGTATTGTATGTCCCCATGGTACAGAATACACAACCCTACGCCGCAGAGAAGACATTCAAACAGTGTCTCTTCTCACTGCAAACTGAACCTGGACACAGGCATACCTTGCTGTCGCTGAATGCAAGGTCTGCCGCACACGGTATTATCCCGATCGCTACGTATACAAGGGGCCTACCCCAGGAAATCATCTTCAGAGGCTTCGCTGTGATACACAGTACCTTCGCATCTCGAAGCATGGAGTCTGGGTTGATAGATCTATCGCACTTGATCAGGAGGAGGTGATACTAAGCTTCCACTGCAGTTGGTCAAGTTTTTCAGACTGGACCAATAGGAGGATAAAGACCGGACGCAGTCTAACTTTCCGGCAATCGCAGCGCCTGTTCATCGAGCACTTCTCACGACATCTTCTGGTTGCGCATGGAATAAACGAGACATTCTCTTGTGCTGCCAATTCAAAGACCGATGTTCTGGTGTCAGCAGTGAGAGAAGAGATAGGGAGAGATGGTGGGATCGTTCCTGGTGCCATGGAACATGCGTGTATGGACTGCACCCACAAGAAGCGCTATCGGCAGGATTTGATTGACGAGGGAGCCGATTTTGGAGAGGAAGTTGGCTTGATTGCAGGTGAAGATGATGTTGAAGGACTTGAGGGCTCTAGCGAAGAGATCAACGTATGTTTATTCTGATCAAGATTTTGATTTCCATCTAATGATGCATGTAGAATACAGAGCCAGATCTGGAAAACGGTGACTCGGAAATTGACACTGTGGATCAACTTTATGCGCAAGTGCTTGCAGAGAATGAGTTGGCACCAGAAGGACCACGGGGATACTCACGTTTGGCTGTGATAGATGGCAAAACCATGCGTCACCGAGTATGTTGTAACCCAACCAATATGCATGAAGATTAATGTCTGACAGTTTTTATTTAGATTTGCGCAGTGCCAGGCTGTACGGGAGCCTTAACAAACTACAAGAAAGGGAGATTCTGTCGGGATCATGCTCTTGAAGGGCTTGATGATATTTGTGGAATTGTCTCCTGTGGACGGCCTGTATCACCCCTTGGTTCGCTAACTTGCGACAATCCTTCTCACCACACATGGTATGAGAAATACTGCAAATGATTCAAGCGCATGACATTCCCCAGGGTGCAGAGAGTCATACGAGCACAGCAGGCTCGTGCTATAGATTCCCTAATAGACTCATCGATGACTCCTGCGACCACTGGCAATGTCCCATTCCGAGTTGAGCTTCCAGAGCTCGAAGGTTTGGCTGGGAACAAGATTGTTCACACATTCCGAGCCAGAACCACATATTGTCTTCAGACAGTTCAATGGGCTTGCGGTACACCGATTGGATGGGGAAAGTGTTTTACAGCAGAAAGTCCTTCACAAGTCCTCACAATCATCGACAATATCTGGAAAGACCATTCACAGTACAAGCCGAACTTCATCGCTTACAATTCTTCTTGCAAGCTTCTCCGCCACATTGTCACACAGAATCCCTCGAATCCATGGATATCTTCAACCAAATTCATTGTGGATGCTTGGCATTACATTGGCCATAAGGCTACTGATTCACTTTGCTGGTTATGGTGTAATCCTGTGCCAAGGAATGGTGCTCAGCCAGACTTGGTGCTGGTTGAAAATGACAATGATGGACATCCTCATTTGACTCGTGCATTCAATACAGAAACGGCAGAACAGTTCAACGCCTGGTTAAATGGATTCGAGGCACAGCTGTGTCAGATGTCTAATGTGAACTATGACTTCTTTATTCATGCTCTGATGTTGCTATATAAGGAGGATATTGGTCGGAGAATAGAGAAGAAAGAAAGAGAATTGGATGAGCAGTTCTGGGAGGATGTTCTGTAGATGTAGAAGATCTCCCAAACTGAATATGACCATGTAATACAGCAACAGGCAACTGCTGTGTTCAGAACTCATTTGGATAATATAAGGGCTTATATACTGGATATCTACCAAGTTATTGAATACATATGAAGACATAGATAAGTATTTCATCATAAAATATTAATGAAGTGTTCAGTTATAGGCAGAAGGCCTGAAGAAACTTGCGGAAGTTATCAGCACAGCCATACATTTGCGGGGATCATGCATGACTACTTCTATATGTATAGAGACTATCTCAGTGTGTTCTTTATACTATTTCAGTACTCAAGAAATTGTTTACCAAGTATGGGAGTATAAATTATATCCTACAGGCTGCATGTATAGATTTACACTGTATCCATATGGGACAGGGACAGTACCCCACAGGAGGATATAGTATTCTCTAATAGTTTACAGTGAGTTTGTGCTTATCATGAGTGTGAATGTATACTGTATGACAGGAGTTAACACGAGATTTCTGGTGAATGATACTGGATATTCACTATTCACCACTGTAGACTATCATATCCCACTATAGAGGAGTGTTATTTCTCAGTATTATCTTTGTGAATTACAGTGATGTACAGTAGAAATCCCTGGTATACAGTAGAATAATAGTAGAAATATCACATATTCAATAGTGGATGACAGTGTAAGATAGTAGCTTGTGCGGAGGAAACAGATGAGTATTCCACTATACAACACTGTATTCTGCAATATTTCTACTATGCAATGGTGTTATATTGTGTATGTATGTCATATTTTCCCCTCAAAAAACTTCGCTCTGAGAAGGAATGTTTGATATAATTGTATCATAGATTACAGCGTTAGATAGTAGATCAAAACATCTGACAATAATGTATGACACTGGAAAGTAGTGGACAGGGCACCTTTGCACAGTGCGGGCTAAATACTGACTGATTGACAGTCGTAGAAGTCGTGCCGACATAAGCCGATATTAGCCGATATCGGGGAAGTCCGATTCTGTTGTTGGTCTTTGTTGATTCTAGCCGCCCATTCTGTGTCTCCCTCCTACCACCACGACCACCTACCCTGCTTGGTTACTTCGCGATTCTCCTTGCCTGACCTGATTCCAGCCAATAACGAGGTCTTTGATGAGCTTTCCTCAAGGCATTCGGAACAGGTACTCTGACCGTTGGGATGAACCGTTAAGCGGCCGTATCAATACGAGGTGTCAGGCAGTATTTTGGTCATTTTATCCTCGATAGCTGGGTTGTATGGTGCCTTGAATCCCTTTACAACACAAGTGAAGCTGATCTCATTAAATAGGGAAATTCATTACCGGCCACATCCATGATCATCGCATCTCGGTTCCCGTTCAGCGCTTCTGCAAGCACAGTTGTGACTTCAAGGCTGCAGCTCAGCATAGGGACGCGCCTACGAGTCCTTTCCCAGCGTGTGTAACGCAAGGAATATGCCCATTGTGGACAAGCTTTTATTGCCGTTCCCCCTGCCATCTTGGCTTAATCCTTCACGAAGGTATCCGGCGTCCATCACTTTTATTGCTCTTATGTGCATTCTCAGAAGGTTATGCATCTGGTTTGACCACCTTTGAGGCTTGCGGCAGCAAGATATATCGACACCGGAAGGAGCGTGGCCGGGCGCTCCAGGTCGACTACCTAAATCACGTCATTGCGGCCTTCGGTAACCGTTTGAAGATCAGAACTTTTATGTGGCGTCAGTGGACGAAGGTGCGCACTCCTCTGTTCACTATCGTGTATTGCCTAAATTCTCTGCAGATTTTGCGGCACCTGCAGGTGGAACACGAGGCAGGCGTCGTCCTAATGTTACGAAGTGCAGGGACTCTGCTTGTTGGTGGGAACGATGCTGTGAATTCAAGGCAAACTTCAATACTTAGATATTCTGGATATTCTAGTCTCCGAACGTCGGCCCTCCTTGCCAGACATGACCTGGCCCTTCGCTGTCTTTCATGTACTTATCGACTAATCGATTGCGTTTCTGCCTTTCACCCATTTGATCAGACTGATGAAGCTCACTGCCTTGACAATACACCCTGACTTTTGATCCGCATTCATCTATCCACCGAGCCTCCTTCACTTATCGCCCTCCTCCTACACCTCAGGCGTTCCTGGTTACCTGAGCTTCCCAGATCCCCAACTTTGTGAACCCGCATTGAGTCATCCAACTTGACGGACAGACGATCTTGGTACGGCCTATTGCGAACTTATACAGGTTATGCCTGGTGCCCTTTTATTTTTATGTCTTTTCGTAGCATATCCTGATCCTTCTCAGAATACATCAATCATTGTTCAACGAACGAAGGATCCAATTTCTTTACGCCGACGATAGTACTATCCTACCGCCAACGAGTCCGATAGTATTCTCCACAGAAGTCCTACGGTACTTGCACGTGCTGACTCTATCGAAGCCTCTACCATATTCCGTGCAACTGTCTTCCGTTTATTCCAGCTTCATGCATCTACCCTCTGTTCTCACGTCAGCACCGTCCGATCCTGTATATATGCTAGCAGGCCTGTCGAACCCGACAATGTTGGAGCAGTAACCCACGACACAAGCTCATCCTGTATCGATTTAGACCGTATGCACAGATACAGCCACAATCCAGCCTTTCCCGTCATTTATGTGTGGTTTTGGTACGAGGTAATGGTTTCGAGAAATCCTTTTTGTACTTATCCTAATCTTTAGGTTACCGGTGATACGACAAAACAGATACCGCGGGAGATGATCAATTGAGATTGATGGTATTTCGTGATGGACAGAGTGAGTCCGAACTTACGCTGCTCGCTGCGGTGGAAAAGTAAAGTCAGTGTCATTGCAGGCGGTCGTCACCAGGATGTATGTACGCACCTTCATTGCTGCATACCGTCCTCTGACTGACCACTGGTCTAGATCAACTTCTGATGTTCGTCCCGGGAATATGCTGCAAAGCGTGTGCGATATGACACAAACAGACGTGCTAATGATTCCAATCCTCAGAAACCACATGTTATATCGACTCGAGGTCTGGTTATGAAACTGACCAAAGCGCTAAAACTACCTACGTACGACTGGAACGCCGACTGGAACTAAAATGTAAGTAATCCGTGAATCCTCTGCTACAGGCATTCATCTAATTCGTACAGATGTGAGCTGCACGAATCTATAAGGAATCGACTCATCATCAACTCCTCTACAGTATGACTCAGAAGTACGTTTCTGCTTACCAAATAGCGCAGGATCCTGAGACGAGTCAAGTACCCCGGTCCACGACGGGAACTCAGTATCACTGATGAAGCGCCTGTACTATTCGCGGGCTCTGAACTATAGATTTCTTTTCGAGGTTGTAACGGAGGCTGTTCTTGCAGTCCTGCTCCATATCTCGCCGCTGATGCCTATGTATATGTAAGGTCAAGGAATCCCTGGGGATAAACCAGGATTTTGTGATCAAGTTATATGCGGGCTAGTGGTTTTCGTGCCTGGTAGGTTGGGGATATCGGTGGACTTGTCCGTGAAGTACCGAGCCTTCTGAGACCTGCGAATTCCTGCGGTTCACGGCCAGTATTGTTTTTTTTTTTTCTTTTTCTGAAACGGTAACCAGTTGCTGTAACTGCATATACATTATCTGTTGCAGATCTGAGACTGATTTGTATCCAAGACGACTGGATTCTACGCGTCTTAGAATCACATGAAGCTTCGACTGTACATGGTTTCAACCTGTGCTCTTCTTTCGGCGCCATCCTTTTGCCTGAGTACCAAAAATATACGCATTTTTTTTTTCAATTGTCCAGACGCCCAGGTACCAGTTCTATGGGTCTATACTACCTTTCTTCTCCGCCTCACTCAGAGATCCGTTGATCCTCCCATCTTTCCCTGCGAATCCAGTACCTCTATGAAGGTTCTTATCCCCCTTCGGCGTGCTAACGTAACACGTTGTCTCAGGTTTCCTTCTCTATCAGCTCACTAATCGATTTGATAGAATGATGATATGAACTACACGACATATGATTCGACTGGTCAATTCAGTCACAAGCTACAGTAAACGAGCATTAAGCGTCACTTTCATTCCACTGGCATATGTTAGCTTAGCGTTTTCCAGCATACATTGATCTGTGTAAGAGATCCAGTTCTTCCATTAAAACGCAGAATCTTAACGTTGCAGGCTGGTTCACCGGAACGTGGATTTCAGAAGGACAAAACGGCATCGAGAGTCAAAAGCGACCCTTCAAGAGCCACATGTGCTGCCAAGGATAAAGGATCCCGCGACGTGGAAGGGCAGCAATATTTCCATATCAAGAATGATCCAGGAACAGTAGGGTTACGGTACCCGTATAAATCGTCTCGTAATTCCGTAAATACGGGTGCAGTGCATATCCCTAGTCAATACTTTAAGCAAGCTCGCGTTCCCTCGTAGGTTGGTTATCCTTACGAAGCCTAGGACTCGAGGCTGTACGCGTGTTTCTCTGCGAAGATAGTACTCGGATGTGATATTCAAATACAGGAATTAGGACAAGGAACGGAATTGTCGATGTAAAAATAGCATCGAGCACATATATATAGCGAGTCCGCAGCATGATTCGTCTTGTTTCAATCTCACGGATTGAAGCATAAAAAAGGTTAATGATGAAACATTTTCAGGGCAACTATGTTTGGCTTTTTGTACACTTGGAGCTTGGAGGCTTACAAGATCATGGGCCGATAGCCTGAGGCTATAGGTTGGAATGATGCGATCACCCTTGGCATGTGGAAGAAGTATTCACAGGTTCCGTGGTATGAAACTAGCATTGAGCCCCACATCCGATATCTGTATGTGTTCACTTGGGGATATCTTATGGCGTCTATCTTTCTTTGGCGCAACTGATAGCAACGCAATGGTCTGAGCGTGCACAGTTGTTCCACCTTACTTCTTACAACGAGGACAGCAAGACTTAAACTTGTTGACACAACTGTATCTTGCTACGTCAACATACTCCGGCAATGCCTGGATTGATTCACTCTTGTATGTCTGGTTTTATTGCTTTCAATGTTTCATATCCTCACGCTGTCATGCCTAAGTAGCTCGCGGACAATGGAACGGAAAGTGGCACAGGACCGACCGCTGTGCTCTAGACGACGGAACGCGGCAGGTAAGCATGCAATAGCATGCGCGGAAGGTCATGGAATAATGCTTTATAGAAACACGATAGTCTCCCCGAGATCACTATCTCTGCCTACGATGGGACCGGCCGAACAGAAAGCATTCCAGTGCTGAAGCAACGGACCTACACTGGGAGGATATTACCATCCGCTATCGCTAACACTCCCTGTGCCGACCTAGGTGTAGATGGGATGTTGGAGAAGCTCAACGTCCCGGTCTGCACTCCGGACAGCCACCTATATAAGGTGTGCACAGACTTCGTCACAGAAAATTGCGACCTTGGTACTGCCTACGCTCATTTGCGCCCTCATCTGTATGACTTCGACACTGTCAGACATATCTCTTATATTACGAAATCACGAGAGGACGACGAGATGCGACGAACTATGCTTGTCGAGAAAAATATCTTGGACGGGGATGTACCTCCTCGGCGCGTCTGGGATCTGCATGCTAATCGGGTTGTGCCATGGTGGGTTGCCCGAAAATGCCCATGGCCGATTTCGCATGCATGGGTGGATGATAAAGATCTCAAGAGAGAGATGTCACCCATTAATGGATATCAATGGCCCGTACCAATGCCGAAAGATGCAGATCTCAATCTCATCAGGATCGAGATGCTGAACTTCGGCGCTGAGTATATCTGGTTGGATGTTTTGTGTTTGAGGCAGAAGGGTGAGGGCAGCGACCCACGCGATAACCCAAGCAAAGAGGAGTGGGAACGTAGGGAGCTTCTGCGTCGCGAGGAGTGGAAAGTCGATTTGCCAACGATCGGGTGGGTGTATCACAACGCCGAGAAGGTGGTATACTACTTCAGTGGGCTAGGTCTGCCGCTAAGTTTCAAGCCTGGCGACTTCGAGAATGATCGGTGTTGGTTTAATCGGGGGTGGACACTACAGGAAACTAGAGATAATCTGCTCATTGCAGGGGAGTCCCATCACCACGCCAGGTTCGTGACGAAGAAGGCGCGAAAGTGGTCCAAGTTCCGCAATCAGTTTAGACGACTGTGGAGAGCACGAAAGCTTAGCGATGACGGGTTCATGACAGGGCACATGCAGAAGCTGTTCGAAAAAAAATTGGCATCTTTGCGGCAAATGCGGAGAGAAGAATCGATATTTCGCATCCTGTCGCAAATGCAAAAACGGAAATCAACCAATCCTGTGGATAAAGTCGCAGGGTTGGTATACCTGTTCTACTCCCAGTACATCCCAATCTACGATGCCGACCAGTCCGAGGAGGACGCCTGGACAGAACTCGTTAGCATCGCGCAGGATTGGTTTCGTGCAGATTTATTCTTCCTGTACCCTGAACCTGGGAACGGAAAGAAGTTCTGGCATCCGTCATGGGAGCAGGTAATGACGGAAGTGCTTCCCAAGTCGTCGCTCAATAAAGTTCTTTATAATATAAAGATTAATCGGACGAAGAAAGGAGGAGACAAGTACCTCGGTCTTCGTATCGACTCATGCAGAGTGCGGGGATTGGTAGACGAACCATCTCCAGAGATACCTCGATGCGGAAAGCTGGACATCACTTCTCACCTCGGGAGAAAGCACACCTTCGACGTTGTTGCCAACCATGCATACCCGATACCCGATGGCAAGTATACGCTTATAGGCACTGCCAAACATGGCTCTACGATGGAAGGTGTTATCTGGGTCGTCGGGAAAGAAGATGGGGTTAGGAAGAAGAAGTTCAGAAAAGTGTCGGTGTTGAGTATGGCGAACAAACGAGAAGAAGACAAGCTTTGGAAGCTCGACGTTCACAGGTACACTAAAACACCTCTTCTCTGACTTTGACGCAAGTCAAACGGTGGTGGGACAAAGTCGAGATCGAGGTCCGGCCTTTGATGGACCAGTCGTTCGCCAGGATGCCATACCTACAACGATCGGATGAGCAAGTCTTCTTATTAGAGAGGGTTTACGCATAGTTCAGTAGACTATGGGATAAAAGAACCTTTTGCGGCGATTCTTACTCAACTTTATGTTATCCGATGGGAATTAGCTGAGAACTTAAGGCAAGGATATCGTAACACACATTAGCATGCAAACAATGCTGAGCCAGTCCTTTACTCAGCGCCTCGCTACCTGTGGAACCCGTGTTGCTTTGAGTGTGAACGCTTGTTGGCAGGTAAAGTGCAATGCAGCAATATGCCGAAGGAACGTAATGCATAAGAACATGTGCACCTCGCCTCGTTCTTTTCTCGATCATCCCTTGTGCTCATTCTCATGGACATTCTTTAAGGAGAGCATCACCCGGTCTTTGACGAAGCCCAACAAGCATGAAAGGAGGAAGGGAGGAATAGATGAACAAGAGAGGTAGTCAGGAAATGAAGAGATGTCTTGTGATTGATGGTGAGGACGTCGGGGAAGCCAAATGAGTAGAGGGCTGAAATGTATCGGAGAGTTGCCTCTGCAGTTGAATCTCAAACTTGGACTGCATAGGCGAGAAGAGGTGGAACACATGACGACGCGATATTGCCAGTTACTTAGCACTCGGTACACTATGCGTTCCGTCGAGGTAAAAGTCCTGCACTTTTGAGTGCATTTCGCTAGATGACGCCTCTTGCGTTAGGTGTACTCGCTGGGAATATGTCACCAATCAAAAAAAAGTTGCAGCCTAGCGACAAAAATCGAGGTCCTTTACAGAGTGAGCGATAGCATCATTAGCCGTCGGCAGTATTCTATATCAAGCATTAGACTTCTGGGAATACAACGATATTCTTGCAAGTACCGGAAACACCAACCTTGCACTTGGGTCTTATCCTTGGCTACCGGAGTCATATCGTGCCTTAGAAGAGACGGGCGAGAGACGAAGCAATCTTGAAGGACGAATCGCTCACAAGCAAAAGCTTCCATCCATATATAGCATCCCTACTCCCGCAGTAACGGAATGCCGTAGAGCAGCGTGGCCTAGGATTAGGGTCAGTAAACTCTTTGAAAAGGGATAATGCAAGGAAGAGTCAACGTACGAGAAACAGGTGAGGTAATAAACCGTTGCAAAACTTGAAGGTTGTACGTAAATAGTCTCTGCCATCTATCGAGACATCGCACCGGATCTGTCACCATAGCGGGCTGCAGAACCATCTGAGACGACAAGAAAACGATCTCAAGTAGCGAGACTTAATGATTCCAAGTGAGTTATGGGTCGGATCGACAAAACAACAAAGAACAGCCGCATTTCTCCTTGCTCCTGGTTCTCCATAGAAGGGACTTTTCTATCGACACACGTAAAGATAAGCAATGAACTCGGTAGAGTGAGAATACAATCAGCCCTTGTTGCGGTAAAGCTGGTATTGATGACATCGAACAACTTGCGCCTGTGACGGGAGTCAGGATATAGAGAAAACGGTGGGTGGTACGAAACTCACGGTCACCATTGGCTGCAACAGAATTCCTCGGGGAGCTTATCCATGACAACACTAAATGCTTGATGGAACACCTGACAGTCGCGCGCATCAGCGGGGAAAGTAGGAGGCAGTCGTTCAGAAAGGGTCGATGGAACGACAGTCAACATACCACGAGGGAAGATACGTCGCGCCCAATTTGTACGCAGAAGCTGGTATTCAAAGTTAAAAGGCGTTGAGTAAACTTTCTGATAAAAGATATACCCATATATTCTCGTATCTTGTACGGCGAACTCCAGAGGCAGCATTCTTGCCTAACATGCTTTGTATTAAGAAAAGCAGACACCTGTAAATGGTCCACTAATTAATTATTAGCTGCAGTCACTGTCAGCTCCTAATCTAATATTACCTTACAATCATAGTGAGCTCTAATTGATTAAAAGCCTGCAGTTACAATGCCAATTTGGCAGGGGGTCGATATGCCACCTCCCTGAGTACAGACGCCCATCACTGTGGGCGACTGAGTAATGGCTCCCGTCGCTGTGGGCGACAGCGACCAAGAGAGACCCTGGCGCGCTCCTTCCAACTTGGATCGGACTATCCTATTCATGTGTCGGAAGGTGTTCCTTGATATCGGCTTGGTGACCTAGGCTTCTTTCTATGATTTGAACGTTGAACGTTGATGTGTCATGGTATGATCCCCCCTTCTATCTGTGACGTCTCCTGTCATTTTCTTTCGTGTTTTCCCCTGCATGTTGTCTTCCGCCATGATTTCTTCCGCTCTTATGTTTTATTCTTCCATACTCATGTTTTTCCACTCTTATGTTTCAATCATGTCTTTTCCATTTTCTTTCCCATCTGTATGTCTGCGATATAGCAATTTATTGCCCAACAAATAAAATATCTGCTACCAAAAATACTATAAAACATTGTCATTAGTCTCTTTGGGCCTCGGACGCGTACGACGCCCACGATTTGACTTCGGCACAATACCGGTCTCAAGCCACGTAGGCACATTCTTCCACCGTTCTATACAATGTTCCCGCATTCGAACTCGCATGTCAGCCTGACGCAGAGCGTACGCACATTCTCCCTCAGAAATATCCTCTCTCGTGTCCCGCTCCAACCAAGTTCTAGCCTCCCATGCAAAAAACGCTTTGACGTGCTTCATCTCCTCCAACACCAACACCACTTCCTCCCGCCAGCGATGTGCTCGAGCTCTTGTCTTGCACCATTCTATTCGGAGAGCTGCAGTGCTTCTTAGAGTAATAACTGAAACAGACATTGATTACGTACCTTCCGCTGTTTCTTCTGCATCGGTTTCATGTCGATGCACCCTCCAGATCCATGTCATTGCACGACGTCCTTCCGTTTGTCCGGGTGCGATGTCCTCCAGAGCACGAACATCCCCTGGTTCGAGTATGCGTAGTTGTCGATCCCACCCAGCTTTTCCCCCGTTAATTGCAGATGCGAGGGTTCCCAGATCCGCCCAGAGTGTACGATATCTTGCCGCAGCAGCATCAATGTTTGCCACCACACTCTTGATCGTCGCTATCGCTCGTGTGTTCATTGCCTGACCGGTAATGTTCCTGTCCTTGAATTTATAGATATGCGATCGGTATATAAGTAGGCGGCGCAGTGTTGCTAGGCATTCATATGCTTCCGCCTCACGCAGTCGGAACTCATAGTCCAAAAGTTTGCCATTGCAGGGAATACGGCCGACTGTAGCTCTCGGAAGAAACAGGGGAAGGTCGACGGCCTCAAGAGCTTCCTCCAGCGGGACGGAACTGGTCGATGCTTCTTCCGCGGTTTTCGTCCTCCACCCGTGGCTGCCCGTTCTTCTGCTGCTGCTGCTTTAGTGGCCAGTTGGTTTTTGGTCCACTCAGCTCGCAGAACGACTACAGCGGGCATATATACCTGCTGAACCTCAAACCAGGCCTCGAGACGGCGGCGGACCCGGTTTAAGCCTTCTGTCACCTTCGCACGTTCCTGGTCCATTGAGTGCGGACCAAGCCCTGCATATGCATGCTTCAAACGCAATCTATAATTAATTCCACCATAAGAAAATCAATCTGGTGAACCGTGAAAACACTCACTGATCAGACTCTAATTCAACACCCTGCAGAATCATCGTACTAGGCCCAATCTCGTGTCGTACCCTGAAGATCTCGTCATCTTTATCTGTTGCATCTTCGGCCATCGCGGATTCGTCTTCATGCATGTTTGTCGTATCGTCACCGTGGTGTGTGTTTTCCGCTCTCGTATTACCACTCTTCGCTGGTGCACCTCTGGTTTCCTTGCTTTTTGCCTCCCGTGCAACGATCTTTGCCATTTCAGCCGCTTCTTCTTTGGCAAGGGTGAGCCGAACCTTATTGGTCGTTAATTCTAAAGACGGCATCAGTAATATCTCCCAGACACTATTATGTTTAATGTACTTACGAGCTACAGTGGTCTCAAATGGATTTATTGAGCCAACTGGATCCTTTTCCCATGCTTCTATGGCTATCATCCATTTCTCCACATCCTGTGTTGGCAGTGTCGCTGTGAACTCAGCATACACGGCACTGTGGAGCACCCAGGCAGGAATGGCTTCTTGGATACCTGTCAGAAGGATGGTGCCTGGGAGAATGCATCAGGGCGAAGCTAGTGCGAACATCAAGACGGACTGACTCATCGAAGCTGTCTTGCGGTAGTTGTAATCACCGATATGATCATCCAAGGTGTCCAGGTACCCACCCGGACCCATGACCTTCAAGCTGGCTGCGAGTGGGTTTAGACGACTCCAGCCTCGCTCTGGAGCCTCACCGTCAGTCTCCCCCACGTATGGTGTTTTGTAAAATGAAAACTTGGTGTGGCAACTAAGTATATGTGCCAGCAAATGAAATTTCGGGATCAGATACACGAAGTCACTTGGGGATTGTTTCGGCGTCATCGAGGGAGGATAGATAGCAATACGTTCCCACAACTTCTTGGACCATTGGCAATTGATGTCATATGAGACGACGATTCACCGAGGCGTTGGGTGTTGTACACGTGAACAAAAGATGTAGTCGATACGAACTTGCCTATGAAATGGCTATGAGTATATGACATTATTTCAGAAACGAGGCTTACTCTTCTCCGTGATCTAGAATTGTGACTGCGCTAGGACCTTTGCAGTCATGCCATGCACAATTGACAGTGGCAACGCCACTTGTTGCCAATGCAGCTCCTCGTTTGGTCGTAGCGAGTTTCACGGCTTGATGGTCACAGCAATCACTCGGATCGTAGGGTATGCGCTTGCCATACTCAGCAACATGGTTGCGGAAATCTTCCTGTCGGACTATGAATCCGGCACCATTGAGTAGGCTAGGATCCCGATTGGAATTGGAGATGACCAGTCGGACCAGTCGAAAGTTGGCATCAATAGCGACGTATAGTGTGTACTTCCACCTAACCAGCATGTGAGTAAGGGATTTTATAGAATGCAACCAAGACACTAACGGATCCTCTGTATCATTTTCCCAGCCTTCGTCGAGATTTATTCCGGGCCAGGGACAAGCAGGACATTTTACAGCCAATGTGCCCGGTGGAATAGGAAGTTCTCCCAGTTTGCACCCTTTCATATCTCGTGGGGACCTATCAAGCTTGCGTTTGAGGAGCTTGATATGACGCCATTCTTGAACCATGCACATAAAAGCCTGGAAGCGGTCCTGAAGTCTTTCAATGAGCAGGCATAAAGTGATGGATGGCGACGGTGACTTACGGGAGGTAACTGTGTACCAGTATTATCGGTGAGGCGGACCAAAGTGTGGTAGAATTCATACCCAGACACCTTGGACATGAAAGATAGCAGGTGAAATACCTCGAGCGTTCGGAAGGTTGTGGCCATCTGGGGTTCAACGACTGTGGAAGGGAATAGCCGGGACCATAGAAGTTGCCGCCAGCATGCAACGGATTGCGTGCAGCTACAATAGTCGACATGGATTGTCTGTATACCATCCAGATCGATGATATGGAGTCGTCCAGGGTGTGGAGTTGGACAGTGCCGATTACCATCATGCCCAAGGGGATATACTAAGCCTAGGGTGGCGAGAGTAGTTTGTTTAAAATAAGTACCAGTCCATTCCTGTAAACCAGTCGTGAGTTGGATTTTTCGAAGACAGATACAGATGGTTAGTTTTACTTGGATACGATGTAAGGGATTGCTTATATGCAGGTTCACTGTACACTCGGCACAGTATAGACATCCCTCATTGCATGAGCCACAGTGATAGAGAGTGGCGTCATCCACAGATTTATCGCAGCGCAAACAGACCTTCAATATGTCCCCCGGAGTCTCATGTCGAAACATTTCCTCCATGAAGTCCCATATCAATGGCAGCCAGTCTCATAGGTATGGGTCATCCTGTACAGAAATGTGAGTGTGCCCTGATCCCCTGCTTAGACTTACCAACCTGTTGAATTGTTGCGTCCTCGGTGCTGCCTCGTGGATCCATGCTGCCATCCTCCTCCATGTCAGAGTGATCAGAGTTTTCCTCTTCAAGTGCAGGTCCATCCAGCCATGACAAATCGGCGCCTGCCCATTCGTCAAGCACAGGATCATGTCGAGATGGGGCATGAGGTTTCTGTGGACTGGCTGGAGCGTTATGGTAAGTGGTGGTCGTATGGGGGTGGGACCCAGTGGCAGTCGTGTAGACATTGAAATCAGTATGCCGGTGGGTAACATGTGAGGGTGCGGAGGGATTGTCCAACTCATCCAACTCATCTTTGTCATAGTAAGCATCCGCATGGACTTTCAGTCTCTTGATCTTCACCATTGAGACTTTCGGGAGACCCAGAAATAACACACATTATTCCTGCTGAAGCCAAGCAGAACCAAACATCACTGAGGAAAATAAAGCTAAAAAACATATTTGTCATGTAGAGCATAGAAGACTACAAAATAAAACTGCAACCCCCGGAACATCTCAGTAGTATCCTAAACATCATCTTGCAGCTCCCTATAACCCGTCGCCTCCACCCACGTGTCCACATCAACTCTCTCCCATTCCGACACATTGTTGAGTCCATTAGCCTGCATCGCTAAGCACCAGGCGAAAACCCTGGTTTTGGCTCGTAGCTGTAGCTGCCTCGCTACTTGTTTCCTCCTTACGAGGTGTCTATCATCGTAGTCCACCTCTGCGGCATTGATATCCGAGGCAATAACACATAGGGAGTCGCTGCTGGCAGAGCTGGATTCGGAGCTGTCTTCACAGTCAGACGATGATTCGTTACTACTGGAAGAGTCACGGTAGGAAGCGGCAAGGTCGTCCTTGGCTTGTTGACCTCCAAAGGCGTCCATCCAGTTTTCAATTCGCTGAACGAACATCCATTGAGTTTTTAATATGTAAGGAAACAGTAGCCACGTACCTTATAGCAGTTGTAATAGCTGTGGTTATACTCCTTCTGCCAGGGATGAGTAAATGACTCGGGATATAACCTCACCCACATGGCTATGAACCACGTCCAAAACCTTTCCGTGTTTTCATTCAGGATGGCACGCTCGTATGTGTCCTGGTGTTGTGCCAACGTTTGCTGCATTCGCTCATCAAACAAGTGCATGGGCGATCATGTCTTGAAACATAGGTCAGTACGCTCTAGGCATGGTAGGGATTGCAATATGTACTGGACGTGCAGATAAACCCCAAGGGTTGCGACCATCATCAGACATCCTATGGAGGTATAGCTCAACAGAGGGATTCAGAAGGTGGACAGGCGTGGCATGGATTCCAATTTGGGTATTCGTAAGGCCACGAGTTCACCAAGAAGGCCGTGGTGGTACACAATTCCACGGATTTCATACATAAGGCCATGTTACTGATGTAAGTATGCAAGAGTACCCTCGCGAAATGCACTACAAAGTTCGTCAGCTCCAGACAACGCTGAGCAGAGCAGGTCTTGCAACAAATCGACAACTTTCTGTATCTCTGCAAGCACCTGCGTAGCCTCCTTCCACAAGTCTGTACACCCTGCCTGCCGGTAAACATGGGTGGCTATTACGTCACAGCGACTGTAAAGTTTATTAAATGGCTTCAACATGTCGCTGAGCATAGCCATAGGGTCGCCATTTTGAGGGTCGGTAGCCTTGGCGAAAGCACAGGCCACAAGGGCTGAGGGGGAACTGTTTTCCAGTCTTGTGGCCAGTTTGGCACGTACCCGCTGTAGAGCGCCTGTCCACTCTTCCATAGTCGCTGATCTTTTGTGTGTATCCCTGTGAGAAATGTTAAATAAGACAGCAAATGTGTAACAGCAATGGCAAGGACGAAAAAAGAAACTGTGGGACCAGCATGTGCGCGTGCATGCTGAGGTTGAGTGTGTACAACATGGTGAGAGGAACGTTCTGCATTTCCATTGCGTTCAGCATACCGCTTGCGTCCTTTCTGACAGAGGGTGTCACGATTTCTGGTCGAAAAAAAAAGCAAGCTCAGTTATTCGAAGGTGCTGATCGATGAAACATAGAAGGCGCACCTCTCATAATAAGCCTGCTGAGAGAGAGCATGCACATAGGCTCTCTCTTCGCCATTGCTGTACTTGCATGGGTGTCCTTGCTGTCGACGAACTGGAGCAATGTGAGGCCATATAGCCAATATTGTGTACAATTGCCCTGTAAGCACAGGAATTAAATTGTATACAATCCTGTGAGGCCTGAGTTGTATACTTACATGACTTCTGATATGTAATGGCCTAAATCCGCATTTTCTCAAATATTAGGCATATTTCCCATCAGGATGGGCTAGATTTTTCTGTGGGACCTTTCATAAAAATCTATAATTAGCCTGTGAAGTCAGCCCATCAATATCTGGCCGAAAACGGCTGGATGCGACCAAATGAAAATGGATGTAGTGGCAGTGCCGAATTTTTGATGGCATCATAGGGGCTATTTTCCGGTCAGAATAGGATTTAGGCTGGTTTCTGGGTGCTCGGCAGGTCAGGTCATGGTCCTGTAATATTCACAAACCTAAATAACATAAAATAGAACCTACTGATGAGGTATAGGGGCTCTGGAGAGTATGTAATATAGGTATTTTCGCAAAAAATGGCTGCAATATTTGCTTTTTTGGGGGTTTTTAGGGTGATACATGCATTGGATCGACCGGGGGACTTCACCAATGAATTTCCTGACCTTGAAAACCCCCAAACGATCCCTCTATAGCACTTGTGGCACATTTTATTACCAGGATTAGACGAGCATATTGGATTTTTAGGGTGCAGCATGCTTTGGATTGCTTTGAAAACTATACCAGTCGATTGGTACACTATAAAAACCTTAGAATACATTGTCTTCTATAATATTTGACCTGTATAATACTGTAAAAAAGTGGGGATTGGGGTGCACATATGGTTTATTTTGTTTTCTGTGCTTCGGATGAGTCTGGGACCATCACCAATAGATTCCTTGACATTTAAAACCCTAAAACGACTATAGGAACCTTTTATTGGGTTCCATAAACAATGGTAATAACAATATTACAGTTTAGGAGGAGCACATATGGAAAATCACTTTTCTGTACCTCGGAATACTTCGGAACTTCTACCAGTGTATTTCTTGACCTCGAAAACCCTCGGATAACACCAGGATTTAAAGAAAACCTACAAAAATACATGTTAAAAAAGAGTAATAGGGGATGGAGGAGATATACCTTGTATTACGCATTTCTAGTGGTTGGAGAAGGTATTCCTGTTATATGAGAGACGATATGTATTGTATAATCATTTGTACAAATTCCCACATTCATCCGAAATGTATTGGAAGAGATATAAGTAAATCATTCTGCAAATGATGAGGAGCACATCCCCAATTTCAATATTCTGATCATTCTATGGCTTGGGGAATGTCAGAATCGGATTCCCTGACCCAAAAAATGGTAGGATCACCAATCATCTATGGTCATTTTATCAAGAAAACATCTGGTGGTAAGAACAAATCAGACTGCAGCAATTGTCAAGGAAAGTCCATATTGTACTTCGGAGTGTTGACACTTCACATCCCATGGATGATTGGTGATCCTACCATTTTTTGGGTCAGGGAATCCGATTCTGACATTCCCCAAGCCATAGAATGATCAGAATATTGAAATTGGGGATGTGCTCCTCATCATTTGCAGAATGATTTACTTATATCTCTTCCAATACATTTCGGATGAATGTGGGAATTTGTACAAATGATTATACAATACATATCGTCTCTCATATAACAGGAATACCTTCTCCAACCACTAGAAATGCGTAATACAAGGTATATCTCCTCCATCCCCTATTACTCTTTTTTAACATGTATTTTTGTAGGTTTTCTTTAAATCCTGGTGTTATCCGAGGGTTTTCGAGGTCAAGAAATACACTGGTAGAAGTTCCGAAGTATTCCGAGGTACAGAAAAGTGATTTTCCATATGTGCTCCTCCTAAACTGTAATATTGTTATTACCATTGTTTATGGAACCCAATAAAAGGTTCCTATAGTCGTTTTAGGGTTTTAAATGTCAAGGAATCTATTGGTGATGGTCCCAGACTCATCCGAAGCACAGAAAACAAAATAAACCATATGTGCACCCCAATCCCCACTTTTTTACAGTATTATACAGGTCAAATATTATAGAAGACAATGTATTCTAAGGTTTTTATAGTGTACCAATCGACTGGTATAGTTTTCAAAGCAATCCAAAGCATGCTGCACCCTAAAAATCCAATATGCTCGTCTAATCCTGGTAATAAAATGTGCCACAAGTGCTATAGAGGGATCGTTTGGGGGTTTTCAAGGTCAGGAAATTCATTGGTGAAGTCCCCCGGTCGATCCAATGCATGTATCACCCTAAAAACCCCCAAAAAAGCAAATATTGCAGCCATTTTTTGCGAAAATACCTATATTACATACTCTCCAGAGCCCCTATACCTCATCAGTAGGTTCTATTTTATGTTATTTAGGTTTGTGAATATTACAGGACCATGACCTGACCTGCCGAGCACCCAGAAACCAGCCTAAATCCTATTCTGACCGGAAAATAGCCCCTATGATGCCATCAAAAATTCGGCACTGCCACTACATCCATTTTCATTTGGTCGCATCCAGCCGTTTTCGGCCAGATATTGATGGGCTGACTTCACAGGCTAATTATAGATTTTTATGAAAGGTCCCACAGAAAAATCTAGCCCATCCTGATGGGAAATATGCCTAATATTTGAGAAAATGCGGATTTTGATTGGATCCAGGCTTTCATACATGTGTATACTTATCAGGCCTGCAGGCCTCACAGAATTGTGTACAATCTAATTCCTGAGCCTAGAGGAAATTGTATACACAACTGGCCTTATGAGGTGGCAATGTCTAAAGCTATGACAGGCATGCTTGAAGTGAGGGCAGGTTGTGGGAGAGAGCATTGCACTCACCAGTGGATTCGCTCTCGATGACTTTAGGAGGTGAAATATCACCCACAGGCTCATCTGCGATGTTCATCGAGTGAGGGTGTAAGAAAGTGACAGTGGCATGAAGGTGGCCTGACTACCCAAGTAAGGAAGGAGGCGTATTTCTGAAATGGAGGCAATATACTGATGAAAAATCATTACAGTGGTGAAAGTCGTTTGGTAAGATGCAAAAGGAGTGGGAATGAGAAGAACAAAGTTAACGTATTCAGGAGAAGCCGGTTTTCCAGGAAGTATTGAATATGGTAGAGCGCAGATGAGCCGAGTCGATGATGGCTACATTGATGCTAGCGTTACAGGGTAAGAATGTAGTGCCCTTACCTGATGATATTAAACTGATAAAAATTCATTTAGGCTTTTCCATGAGCTGTAGATGCCAGGAAGTGCTCAGTATTGAATGGTAGACTCATGCAGACACTTCAAAGGTCTCCATTGAATTTTTAGAGTCAGGGATAACTTCATGACGCCTTGTCGCTGTCTCGAACGTTGCGCAAGTATGTCCGGCTAATTGGGCCAGTCTGCCGAATTGCCTGCCGGTGTTTCGTATTGGACTCAGGGTTGTTCAAGGGCAGAAATCAAGTACGCATTATGGCTATGAGACTTATACTACAGACGCGCTTTGTATGTGATACACTTGGGAATATGACTGTTGGCCCAAATCCTCTCAACAGTCTCTGCATCCATGTTGGTGTATGGGTGTGGGTGTGGGCTGACTGCCAAATGAAACTTGATTTTGCGAGCATACTCCTGAAGACTGGGGGGCAAGCACCATGCGAGTTTGGGGAGGTCTCTGATGGGCAATGTCAGCGAGTATTACTTCAAATATGGGTGCCGAGCATACCGATCAGCTTGAATCTTGAGCTGAGGCTGCCGTAAAAGGACCAACGCTTTAGCGGTTTTACTGAAACAAAAAGTTAAGTGAGGAAACGATAGCGGAAAGGGATAGTTACAGCATATACTCGTCGACATCGGATTTTCCCATTGTTTAGGACTGGCTCTCTTTACCAATGAGGCATGGTGATGAGGTGTTTACCAACTGTACAGTTTCTCGGTATTACTCAAGGGCAAACCTTAATCTCGCACCAACCTTCAATTCCACAGCATTACTTAAGCAACTGTACAGTTTCACAGGCAAACCCAAAACTCAACTTTATTGTTCACTGGACAAAAAGACTGTGCATTGTTGAAATACCAAATGCGCCGCGCTTCCGATGGCCACCCCTCCTTTCCATAGTATATTTTCTAAATTTAGCATTAGTATATAAAGTAGGATACCTTGTAATCGAGCCCCTCGTGCGTTTGCGAGGGTTCCCTGCTAATCCTGGAGTCCCGCTTATCTGAGCTGAACAGCGTACTCCAACATGCATCACATGATAGGGATGGTATAACAGTATATTGCAGTAACTCTCTAACTAAAAGTAACTACATTAATTTTTTTTGGCTTTTTGTAAGTACATAGTGAGTCTGCAAATAGCTATTTTTAAGGACAGTGGGGAGAGCGACACAACAGAGCAACTGCGATATAACATGACGTAGATAACATGAGATAAAAGAAACACCAAGAGATTAGGGGAGGGCGTCAGCACCTCAAAGGACTCGGACCTTGCCTTCGGTGAGGGCATTAGCAAAGGCCTCCTCTGCATCAGCCTGGGACCGGTACTTCTTATGGCATGCATGAGCGACACCAGAGACAAGGGGCTGGACCTTTTCCCTGAAAAAAATATGAGCATGAGGGTAAAACATACATACGTGGTAGGAAAAAAACTGACCAGCTCGTAAAAATGCCGACCTCATGGCCAGCGGTCACCACATAGTAGGCTTTGCCGGTTTGACTGACTGCGGGGTTGAATGCCCTGCAATTTGAACAATGGAAACCACTGTGGACTTGGGCAGGTGGAGGGCGAACGCTGGACTCAGCGACAGAAGACTCTGCCACGACCGCAACCGCAGTCGCAGTCGCAGGCTGCATCGTGGCAGGGAGAGGTAGCCTGGTGAAAGGCGAATGCAAGATGAAGGGGGCTCCAGATCCAACAGGACGAGCTACGAAATTTTGGAATTAATACAGGAATCTAAAGATGGGGATTGGGGAACATACCATTGACAGTCGCAGCAGTCACGCTACAACCGGACGGTGCTGGTGTGGGAGGGGCAGGAGCAGGAGACGTGGCAGGAGCAGAGGCCGCTACCTCAGAGGAGGGAGCAGACGCAGTACCATCGTCACTGGCTGGGACGGTGGTGCTGGTGCTGGCTCTGTTGGAGGAGGGCGTCGTGGACATCGCAGCAGTATCAGAACCTGAGAAATCATTAGCAGTGATGGTTGGGAAAGAGAGGCAACGTACCCGTTGTCAGGTTCAGGGCATTGAGGGCCTGTAACAGGGCCACGAGCGCTTTGGGAGAGAGATTGAGTTGCTGTTGGGTCATAACGGAAGCAGTAAAGGACAGATGGGGAAATGAGCTGATAGGAGGGGATGATGGGTGATAGAGATCAAGGGATGAAAAGCATCCATGTGCCAAGATGGACACTTTAATACTCCTGTGGAACCTATTTGTCCCTGCTTGCACAAGAAATGCATCGGAGATGAATCTTTAAGACTGCCTGAACGTCAGCATTGTAAATGCCGTGCTGCAACTGTACAGTTTAGCGGATATAACCACATATGGAGGGATGGAATGTGGGCAGGCTTAGTCATAAAACTTGGCAAAAAAGGTACAGTTATGAAATTTGATGTGAACAAAACTAATCACATTTGATATAGATGGCATGCATATCAAAGCCTAAATTACCCAGCGAGGCACGGAAAAAGCCCGGACCAAAACCGTGGGCAAATGAGGCACAGCTGGCCAAGCTAGAGGAAGGCATCCCCAGGTATCGCAATGCTCAAGCAAAAAAACCTAAACGAAACACCATTAGTACCTGGCTCTGAGACAAGTTTATGCTGGGGTGGTGGGACACATTTCCCTTGAAAGAAGGAAAGTCGGCCGATGAGGAGCAAGAGGTAAGGGTGGCATCAACGTTAATGAGATCACAATGATAACCTTTCGCAGCATATCTGACAGTGGTTCCAGAATCACGGGTCAATGAACAAGGTTACAAGAGGTGTTCGTGTGCGGGACATCTTCCCTAGAAACTCAAGAGCGCTTAAGGCCAAAGAATTGTACTCGCGGAAGTATTATCAAACATGAGTTAAGCACCTCGTCGAAGACAAGAAGGAAGAGGGTAGTAGTCGGGGGGAGATATTGAATTTGGTGAAAGCGACGACCAAGGAGGTCTTTGTGCAGGAATCAGAGGAGATTCAAGAGGAAATTCTGACAGAGGTGAAAAATCAGCCTGACGTCAAACCTACTGTCAATGAGGAAAAGACCCCCAAGATGTTTGCCGCGTATGTCGTCTTCCGCTTCCATAGAATACGTACTCTGACATAGCCCTCAGTGCCCTCAAATCAGCGCCAGGTCAAATCAAGGAGTTCTTGAATATCGTTGCAGAGGCAACCGGCTGTGCCCTGCTTTGTATTCTGGGAGGTCCGGATCCTTGGGAAGGCAGTAAAGTTTGTTCATATGGGTGAGCATCTCATCGTTCACCTCGCCAGCTTCGCCAGATACTCATAACCACTTGAGGTTCCATGCCAGCGAAGATCAACATGGGTGAACATTTGGTCAGGCTTTCCTGAAATTCAGGGAAACCTACCTTCAACCGTTTACATGTTTTGTCAGACAGGCTTATCGTACGTCAAATAATACAAATTCTGATTGATGGCACTGACAGTAGTTACAGCCCCCGAAGTCCGCATGGCAAGAGCTCTGACAGACTTCACACCACCAGCAGAAGTCCCCGCAGGTGTCGAAAAGAGAGATGCGTCGGTCAATGTGGATGAAGATGTTACACCCAGGGATGGGGAGACGGAGATTACAGATGGTTTGGATAAAGACATCACAGCCGGGAGCAGGAAAGAGCCAGAAGAACTAGGGCCGAGTGGAACCGAATTGGCTGATGAGGTGGGTGGCAGGTTACGTGACAAAGATGAGCCTCGTGGGGAAGAAGTCGACCCGCCAACCACAAACACGATGCCAGAGTCCCAACCAGAGCACGAGCACGACAGGGAACCTAACCAGTCGGCCCCCAACCCCTCCATTTGCTCAAGTCCGGCCCAACCTCAGTCTCCTCAGGCTAACTGGGTCAATGATGTCGAACAGCCTACTCAGGAGTCACAACCTGATTCGACTTCTACCGCTGCTAACACCGAACCGATCAACGGTGATGTGCTCGGTAACGGTGAGTGACAAAAGGCTAGCGAATGGATATGAACACCACAACACCAAAACCCTCTACTACTCTACACTAATCACCAATATTATTGAGTTCGGGTGTTTCGAGTACGATAGAAGCACTCTGCAGACTTCAACAAATCAGGGAAAGGTTGTTTAAAGATGTATATTTGGTACTAGTGAGCTACACAAGATGTAATACTCGCACTAGCAGGGTTTTAAGACACGATTGGATGAATAGTGACTTGTGTTGAGCAACTGCGCTCGGTCTAACTCTGATACTTTGAAACTAGTGGCACTCTGGGCCAAATACTGGGTCTCACAAGCAGTCTACACTTGACTAGCGGCACCCTAGGCTCGACTAGTGGCACTCTTGGCCTAAGAACAAATACTTTAACTCCGAGACAATACTTTAACTAACTTCGAAATGCTCTGAGTCACTCCAAGATGGAATAGTAACTTTAAGACACTTCAATTCATTCAATACTATAGGTGACTAAGCAACTAGTAGACACTTCGTCGAGGTTAAGCACAAAAGCCTTTAATTGGGGCACTAGAATACGGACTAGTAGGTCACAATCGCAGGGATGGCTTGCCTGCCTGCGAGGCTGCCCCTTCTACTACTTATATACTACAGAGACAGGTACAGAATAAAATATAAATAGATTCTTTAGGGGTAATATTGGTAAGGATATCTTGGCTAGTCACGAATTATGGTGAATAATCACGCAATAGTCAGCCTAGCCTGTTCTTTCTGTCGGATAGCGGGTCGAGGGACTCCGCTATTGGGTCGTTTCCGCACCCTTTGCCCAGGGGTGCTCCACTAGTGACACAGCTATACGAATAGTCGGGTAACCGTGCCTGTAGCAACTGCTCGATCGTGATCGGGGCGCAGCCCGGCTATACTAGTGCCGATTGTATGAGATCTGTATCACACTAGCCGGATCTGGGCTAAGGGTTATGCCTTTACTGGTTCATTTCTAAGTCCTTTTCAGAAGTGCTCACATGACTAGTCATCCTGACTTAGGCGTTCATGCCCAGATCGGTCCACTAGCGACTGAATAGTCGAGATCTGTGTGGGTTCTTACTTCTTGTTTGGGCACTAGCAGCTGTATTCTTTACTAGTGACTGTATTTTACTAAGTCATACTAGCTTTGGAGGTGCTAGTCCGGTCGGCTGGTAGGGCTGACCCACTAGTGGTATCATTCCTAAGTCCTGACTCGACTAGTAGCATGCTAACTTGACTATCAGTCCGAAGTCTCAACTATAGCCCTTGATATATGACTAGTATAGGATAGACCTGCAACAGTATTGTTATAAAATCACAAAATCTAGGTGTGAACGCGTAGACGGCATATCAACGGTGACAGGTCAAAAAACATGGGAGAGCAACAGAAGACGGTGAAGCCACGTCGCGAGGCAAAGCGTCATACCGTGGATGCTACTTTGGCTGGTAATCATGAGAAGAGAGCATGTACTGGCCCTGCACCGAAGGAGATCCTGACATTGGCGGAGCGGGCCAAGCATACAGATGGGAGTCATCACCTGTCACCACGAGTGCGGAAGGGTAAGAAGTCTGCATAGTTCAGTAGGACTCGTAATAGATGATGAATATACCTTTGCTCTCCCATAGAGACATTGTGAACGTAGAACTAAGTTTGAGATGGATGTCCTCGGGGACTTGGGTGCAGATGCTTCACATGGAGATTGAGTGGACATGATGGTCTTATGTACGCGCAAGGCGTGGAAGTGAGAAAGTGAGCGAGGATGACTCTGAGAGACTGGCAGACTGAAAAACTCACTGAAAAACTCGCTATGTCAATAAAGTGACATGCTACACATTTCATTCACTCTTGTTGAGGGTGTCAGATTTGTACATTGTTGATTTGCATGCTGAGATACAATAATGTGTAGGGTCTGAAAAGAATTCAGAGGGGAATACAGGCAGAAAGGAAAACATACCGACAGAAACAAGCAAAACATATGGAGGAAGTGAGAAAACATAAGGGAGGGAAAGATGGGAGATGTCATGAGGGGATCACGGAAGACATATGAAGCTGCCACGGAATATGGGAAGCTCTTTGACAGATGCACAAAAATAGTACTCACATCATTGGAAATTGATTCACAGGGAAAGAATCCAACGATAAGGAACAAATCAAGGAGATCTATTTTTGCACAATTGTGTGTGATCAAGGATGCTAAAAATATAATCTGCAGTACTGATTCTTTGGAAACAACATTCAGAGATTGGCTACGGATCAGTCTCTGATTTCAAGAAACCATTTTTGGTGTGGATGGGGAGCATGAGGGCGCAAGCTAGCACCTGCCACCGCCCAGCCAGCGCAAGGCCAGTCAGTCCTTGTAGAGATGTTAATTGATTAGTAGTTTACTCTCATGGCAGGTATTATTATATTACCAGTGGACTGCTATCACAGTCTGTTTATTAATTGGTAGGGCATTAGAGCCTGAAGCAGAAAAAGTCGTGACCACCTCAATGATTGTCTCTGAATATTCAGTGGAGAGACTCAGGTTCAGACAGGGTCAAAAAATCTTTATTTTCCCTTGTTAGAACCTCGAAGAAAGTCTAAAACAAGTCCGTACCAGGGCTGGTTGGTAGTACCTGTCTCCTAAATCCGGACCGTGCTATGGACTAAAAATGTTAAATGAGAAAAATCCAAGGGTCATGCGTATCCTTGCCTATGAGAGAAGAATAAAACCATCTGGAATGTGCATGCCTAAGAAAAGATCCTAGAATAAAGGAAACGCACATACTCAGTATCCAGAGCAAAGTCATCAGTAGCATGACTACAATTGGCGAGGATTAAAAGCAATATATGGTAGCAGCTAGGTATATGCGGGTCAGAATGTGTCGACAGAAACGTAGGGAACTGGGCCTACCAAGTTGGAGAATGCACGATATGGAGGAAATTTTGGCAGAGCTTCTGGAGCACAGTAAGGTAGAGGCCATCCCTTTTCAGCACATGTTATGTAAGCAAAGCACGCCAACTTCTTCAACCGACATCTCCTCCATCACATCGGGCTGCTGACTCAAAATACTTCCAGAGGATGATAGAAAGATGTATGGAGATGGTTTCCCTGGAGTTACTTTGTTGATAATTGTGTCAATGAAAGACTAGTAGTCATTTTAATCAGAAATTTTTGAGGGCATTTTTTGAATGTCTAAAAGTCATTTCCCAGCAGTTCGGAGCAATATCAAAAATTTCACCCGGAACATTTTGTCCAGTCACGTGATTGAAACACATCATTATAATGACATCATTGATGTAACACGCAGTGCCATGTTAGTGCTATTAGGTGCTGTAATCCATCTTTTCAGTTGATTGAGATCTTCATATTTTTAAAACAACATATATTGCTGTACAAAGTGCTAACATGATGACAGGAAATGAGATGAAGCTGTTTTTATTCAGAAAATGTCATGATGCGAATTCAGATTCCCAAATTTGTCCTCACATGATGTGATGACTAATGATTATATAATGGTGCTGGAAAGAGACGGCCTCTACCTTAACAGTTGAATGCGTCTAAAATTGATGCTGAGATGGGTATCAGCTGGATCCAGACATTCCACAGCCTCGTCACTGCATGTAAGGAAAGAGTACAACCTGACAACAGGGCGGCATTCACAATTGCATAGCTCGGCATAAATTGGAGGGTTGCAAGATGTCGTTGTCGCTACAGATCCCTGAGGATATACAGGAGTAAAAAGAGCAATCCAAAAAATGATAGAGAAACTCATGGGCTTCACAGTTCGATGTCACGGTGGTTGTAGAAAGCAACAAGAAAGCAAGAATACTCAGTTGCACTGGGCCATACAGATGCATGAGAAATCAGGCCTTCTTTTGGACGTTTTGCCGACTCGCTGGTGATCACACATTCGCAACTTGGTCCCAACATTCATGATGCCCAACCAATGAGACTACTCACTGTTGTAGGCACGGATGCAATTCCTGTCGATATATCAAGACCAGTTCATCATGGGTTCTGACTTCGTCTTTCCAAGTTCCCTTTGTAGGCACTTGTTATGGATCTCATGTATTTTTCAGTCTGTACATGAGTCAACACATGCCTACTCTTGGCCTTCTCGGTCTTGACCTCAGCTTACTGATACTTTCTACTATTTTCTCTTACTTTCTCTGTTCTTCTTGCTGATACTAGAATACTACGGAATATTGTAGAATTATAATGACTCAATGCCTTACTAGTAGCATATAATATTGTCTTTACCGTTGTATTAGGACCTCTTAAGCTAATTTTACTCATCTTCAAACGTCCACTTAATTGTGTGATCTAAGCTCTCTGATCGGTTACACCTAGCGCTTGCCAATCAATTGCTTTCAACTACACCTAGCGCTTTTCGGAGACCCAGTCAGTTACACCTAGCACTTGCTGACGCCCTCGTTAAATATGCCTAGTGCTTGTTAGCACCCTTACGGATCCCTCTTGGTGGTTGGAACTCGGCTCTTGGACATCCTCGCTCACAACTTGGGTTTTACTCGAGTATTCAGTAACTCGTGTATTAGCTCAAATACCCTGATTCTTAACAGCACTTTCCTGAAGGTATGCATTCCTTTCTGTCCATTCTTCTCTCCTTGAACGAACAGTATCCGCTAGGAGAATACTTTTCCTAATTGCGAATTGAAGCTTCTGGATGGAGCAATCTTCATCCATCTCCCGCTACCTGTTCAGAAAGATGGTGACTTAAGACAATGACACTAAAGTAATTCCAATTCCTCGTGGTCTTTGATTATCGCAACTTCTGATGTAGTTGTCTTTTCGGTTAGGAAACCCACTGGTGTGGCGTGTGTATTCCATTCACTCAAGCTATCTTTCAGTTATTTGCAGTGTAAAAAATATCATATTTTCTATGGAATGTCTCACAGTATGTTGCTGTCAGAAGTACTTCGGCACCTCTCAGAAGCTTATTCACTTATTTAGGACCCACTTAATTCGACCCTCAGATGATATGGATAAACGCTCTACTATCTCGATATGGTGCATGTCTTCCGCCTTTCATCAACACAGAAGTATCATTTCTTTATAATTGAGGCTTGGTATCTCGTCCTCATGATCATTGCTCCGAGGTCCAGCTTTCTGTTCCCCAAGTTCAACGGAACCATGGGACATCCAGTTGGAAGTGTGCAATTGCTACTGGAGCTCTACGCATTCTGCTAGTCAAGTGGCTAGTCATCTTTTTGATATGGCCACCGACCGATCCGCACAAGCGACGTCAGGTGAATCTCTTTCCATCGCACTGCTGGGTTGTGGCGACATGTCCCTCCACTAGCTCTCAAAAATCAAAGGGTTCTGTGTGGA